ACTGGGGGGTTCCAGCCAATTAACAACAATATGCTGCAACAGCCTTCGTATGGCAATCAAATATCAGGTGGTTTCCAATCTAATATGCAACAGCAGCCTTCTTTTGGTCAACCACAGATGATGCCACAGACTAGCTTTGGTGTCCAGCAACAACAACAACAACCATCGTTTAACCAGTTCCAACAGCAACCTAATATGAACCAATTATCAAATATGTTCCAAAATACTAATATCAATGGTTCAAACACATTTAACCAACCCCAAGCCCAATTTCCTACTACAACATTTGGTCAACAACCTCAATTCCAACCTTTACAATCGCAACCTACTGGTGCCGGATTTGGTAATGCTCCATCTACTTTACAAAACCAACCTACAGGCGGAAGAAGAGCTAATCTTCAAGCTGCTACACCCGATAATCCTTTTGGATTTTAAGGGTGCTAATTTACGACTTGTTTTATTATGTTCCATAATTCGTATTTTTTTCCAACTTTTTTAGTTTTTGATTTACATTAGAAAATTATTTACACGCTTTTTTGTTATATAAGTCATTTAGTCTTTGTATCTATTACGGGTATTTTGTATTTTTATATAATGCACCAATTTTTGTTTTAAGTGTAATTGTTTCAGATTTTCGCTATTTTCACACTTTTTCACAGCCAAATTTTTTTATTGTTTTACTTCTTTTCTACTCTTACTAAATATCTAGTTCAGTTCTTGTGATTGAAAAATTGATATTACAGACAATGCGGAGTGCCTTAGAAACAATAACGAATTTCATCTTGGAATCGAAAGAAGATTTGATTCAGGATCCAATAAGAGGAAAATTATGTGTTATACATAACTTATTTAACAAATATAACGAAAAAAAAGGGACAGGGTCCAGTTACACATTTCAGGCATTCATCAAGTTAGTTCTTAAGTTATGTGACATTAGCGGTCGTGCATTAGAATTTGATATTGACTTACAAGAATACAAGTGGAATGAAACTACATGCTCGATAAGCGAGCCATGTCTCAAATGGATAAATTGGCAGCGGTTAGCCATTCTTAAAGAACGCTTAAGTAGCTTACAGATAAAGGAGACAAAATTCAAAGAAAATAATCAATTGTCTATGGACCAATATAAAAGCAAGTATGAATTCTTAATTTCCTTGTTGGGGCAGCCATTGCAAACCACCATCATGGAGGAACGGCCCATAAATTACGATTCGAATCTTGAAGTTAATATAGATTTGCCAATGCTAGATAATCTTTTGACAAAGCCAATAGCTCTGATTAGCCTAACACAGGAAAAAGTTCGGCGTAAAACAAGAATGAAGCCCTATTACGAAATATGTGATGATCCACAACATTGTCACATATTATCCAATATTTGTCTTAAAAGAGAGTTAATTAAACAGGGACTACCAGAATTGCTGTATACCCACAAGATTATACAACAAGCACACAATGTAATCCCATCTGAATTACTCAAATGCTCGCAGACTAAAATACATTATTTGCCCATTCTTAATAATCACACTGATTTATATTTGGGAGATTGTTCGTACTTGGATACATGCCATAAGATGAAAACATGCCGCTATTTGCATTATTATAGTTTATTTCCAATTGCTGCCAAGCAAGATGAGCTGGAACAAGATATCACTAAGCGTTCGTCTGACCACGAATATACCGTGGGAGAATGTTATACGGAATACCAAAGGAAACAAATACCTGCCCAGTGGATCAATTGTGACGTTAGATACCTCCCCTTCCTGATTCTAGGAAAATTTGCAGTTATTGTTTCAGATCCAGCATGGGATATTCATATGTCCTTGCCGTATGGAACATGCAAAGATTTCGAACTCTTATCATTACCTATGCACGAGTTGCAAGATGAAGGATTAATATTGCTTTGGGTGACCGGCCGGGCAATTGAAGTTGGTCGTCAAGCGTTGCAAAATTGGGGTTACACCATAGCGGATGAAATGATCTGGATAAAGTTGAACCAGTTGAAGCGTACTATTGTAACTGGAAGAACCGGTCATTGGCTAAATCATTCTAAAGAGCACTTACTCGTGGGAATTAAAGGCGATCCACCGTGGATAAACAGGTTAATGGACATTGATGTGATTGTTAGTGGAACTAGGGAAACTCTGAGAAAACCTGATGAAATATATGATATTGTTGAAAGAATTGTGGGAACACACTCTAGAAAATTAGAAATCTTTGGAAGAGATCATAATGTCCGGCCTGGATGGTTGAGTATGTATAGTTTTCAACACGCCTCAGATAAGGATACTAACATTTTCTAGCAATCGGAAATCAGTTACAAGGAACGTCTCTCTACGAAAAGGAAGTTTCGTTGAAGTACGATGAATATCTCAGGGACTTAAACGTAAAGAAATCGAATAAATTTATTATGCCCAGGAATAACAAAGACTAACTAGTTAACATTTGTGCCGCAGCTTCTTTTTGTTTTATTTCCATGATTTTTTTGCCTGCCCCGTTATCCATTCTCTTTTTCAAGTCTAGTTTATAGCCAAGCCAAAAAGCTATTTCAAACGATACAAAAAATGGTGCCAATACAATTGCTTGCAATAAATTATCTAACAATGCAGGTGCTCTCTTTTCATGAACACCATGTCCATAAAATTGCGCCAACCACGAGAGAACATGAAGAGCAATTGCATATTGTACAAACTCTTTTTGGGTAATAGCAGATACCTCACTCAAATTCATATAAATCGTTTTGAACACATATGCCAATGTACCTAACAATGCCATTGATGGTATCCCTAATTTCCAGTCAAGGAAGGAATAATATATACCATAGCTCCATGCCAAGGCTGACCCTAAATTAGCGTATGGATATTCTTTGCCCAATATATTCACAGGGCTAAGAAATGCTAGGGTAGAAAATAAAATAATTGGAATACAGCATAAGTGAATGCCAACATTTACTTGATTAAAATGGTATGACCTATAAAAGATCAAATGTCCTTCTAAATCCAAAATACCCATTTTTGAAGATTACACCACAGTAAGCAGCAATAAATTAAAAGCTGTAGGGGTCTCGCTTATTTATAAATTCGAGTTGCAATCATGTGATAGCTTAAAAAGCGGAGTTTAATATTTGCCGTTTTTATTCAATACTTATATAGAAATATATACTAATGATTTCAATACTAGTTGCTTATTCTCTTAAATCTAATGATGGTTTCTTTATAATTCTCTTTCTTTTGGTTTGTTGATTAGAAGATTTATCGAATTTCGCAGCAGAATGTAAATCTCTACCAATGTTGTCTAAGTCTTTGACTTTATAGATTCTTACAATCCAGTTTTGAGACGTGAATGCTTCTTCTACCACATCCAATTCTGGAGATTGAGTAGCAGGAATGGCTTGGTTTCTAACTCTATCCATACCGTCTCTACCGTTGAATAAATCGGTGTATCTATAATAGGACATTTTGTACATCAAAGAGTCTTTCATTGCTTTGGAAGCTTCTCCATCAACCTTATATTCACCTCTTTCGGTGAAGTAGTCACGCTCATGGATTTCATCGGGCCAGATACCTTCGGAAATTCTGACCATCCACAAGAATTTATTTATATCGTCACCAGAGTAGCCAAGTAAACCACCAAAGATAACCAATACATAGTCGACATCATGTTTCTTCAAGATATCATATGCAACATCCTCTGAAGAACACATTGCTTTACCGACAGTTGCAATGTGTGTGTTGTTCCATGTGTTGTTGTCAACTAAGGTAGTACGGTCGGCCATACCACCAATTTGGTAACCATAATCCCACCATGCCATCACTTTAGCATCTTCAGGAGTATTCATTCTCAACCAGTAGTAAGCTTCTCTATAATCATCAATAATACTTTGAGAGCCATCCGGGTTTCTAGAAGCTAAGACAACTGATGGAGACGAGTAAGCATTTGATGTTACCCAAGTACAGTGATATACGAAGTAGACAAGATAAAAGGTGAATGATAATAAGACAACTCCCTTTGATAATAATAGAATAAATTTAGAAGGCTTCGATGTAGAGGTAGAAGCTTTTGTTTTTGATTTCTTTGAATCTACTTTGATATCGTCCGATGAATCAGCCTTGAAAACATCAACAACGTTCAAGTAAACATCGAACAACTTAGATAATGCGATAGCAGCCGCAACACAAATGATTGGAGTCAAAGTTAACATTAATCTAACCATAACACCTGCAAAGTAAGAACACAAAACACCATAGATAATCACGAACACATGTTCATCTCTTAATTCTTGGAAACATAAATAGATACCAGCTGGGAATAACCAAATCAACATGTTCGTGTCGAAGAAAAAAGCAGGCCATGCAGTAGGTTGATGCTCAGAAACAGATGCAATAATAGGAATGTGAATCTTTGCATAGTTAGTATCCCATAAAGAATAGAAACGACCAGTCCATGGTGCAATCCAGCCTAAAGCCGTCAAAGCAAATAATCCTGCAACACCTAAGATAGTGATTAAAGATAAAGAAACCATCAAAAATCCCTTAAATTGTTTAGATGGGACCTTGGATTTGACATAATGACCTACTGCAACTAATTGTAATAAGCCAAATACACCCAAAGCTGCCATATGATCGTTGGATCTTATTGGCAAAAATCCAACAAACGGAATTTGCATGGAGGCTAAGGTACCCAATGCATACCACGTAGTGTATGCGGTATATAACCTGTGATTATAACGACCCATTAAAATTAAAACGAAGATGTGCAAAGGAATTAAGTTAGTAATGAAGACATAACCACCCCATGCAGAAACCATGTAGAAGTAAAACAATGCTGTTAATGTACCATAGAACACAGATCCAATCTTCATAGCCTTAATCCAAAAGTAGAAAGTGGCCATTAATAATGTGATTGCAATTGCTTCGTTATCGTACGACCCAGCAACGGATCTCGAAATGTAACCTGGAGCTATACCCATAAAGATGGCAGCCAACAACCCTGCATTGGAATCCTTCATTTCCTTAGTAAGGAAGTATGTCGAGATTGCGGTTAAACCAGAAAAGGCTGGCGCCAACAAAACACAAATGTTACGAATGTCAACTGGTAAACTGAACCATTCCCTCAATGTATGCCAAATTACACCTGAGGTAACCATCAACCCTGGATACAATGTTCCTCCGGTGACTCTACCCAAAGGATACCAAGTTCTATCATCGAACCAATTCAAGAATTCATAGTATGAATGTGTAACTAAGTATTTGGTGGCTCTAAAGTTGAACCATGGATCAAATTCGTGAATAATACTCTCATATCTAATAACTGAAAATAATCTTGATGAAATTGCGGCCCCGGCAATTGAAATAAAGATAATTACCTGCAAAAGTAATCGAATAGTCTCTATATTCACCCCCAATACCTTCAATTGAGCCTTAGTTTCTACCATATTTGATTAAGTATTTGATTATTGAAAGGATATAGAAACTAGTAGTCGTCATATTTAACCACCGTGTTGTTTGGGAGAATTTCCAAATGATTATGTAATCGAGATTGAAATTTTAATATACAGACAGGTACTTGTATGGGTACTTAGTTTGGTACCAAGAGTATGTACTACAGATAGATAGGGTTATTAATGAATGTTTGTGTCAATTATATCAAACCAAGGAGGTTTCAATAAATAAATTAGTAATATGTAGATTAAAATGAACTCCAACTCCAGTTTGCAGGTACACTTCCAACGGGTTGGTCATTTCTATTTGTAGTGGAATCACCCAACTTCTGGTTGTTTATGGACTTCATTAGAGATTCCTTTGGCAGCTTGTCAAGCTTCCCACCAGACGACTGCTTATTCAGAATTTGCGATGGCTGTGACTTAGAAATTTTCTTGTTATATGATGGGTTAATGCTAACTCCAAATTCATGCCTCATGAATTCATTGTATTCCTCGATACAGTTATCACATACTTTAGACAACGTACCACGGCCACCGGTGGTGAACTGAGCTAGATGATTAATGTAGAGGTAATGCGATGTGTGCTCTTTGCAGTATATGCCACCGCATTTTCTGCAGTGATGTCTTCTTTCGAAGAAGTTGAATACCTTGGAGCATGTAGGAATGCCGCACTTATTGACGAGCTCATCCTTGACCCAATGTCTTCTGGTAGGAGCCTGTCTTAATATGGTTTCGTATTTTCTTTTGCTTATGGTATATGGACCAGTTGGGGACATGGCAGGTGGCGACGAGCTTTCTGTAGATTTGAACGAATCAACAGAGTTCGTCGATCCTCTCGATGATGTAGAAGTTAAATTATCTTGAAGAGCATGCTGAACCAAAGGGTTTTGTGCAGAGTGAGTTGTTTCTGGGGAACCACCGGGATGGCTATCAGAGGAGTCGTTTAAATTGGGCGGGAAAATGTCATTCTGGGGAGAGCTAGTTGCTGACTGACAACGACTGATATCCTGAGTCATCCGTAAAACTGCTGGAATATACATGGGACTTCTTAAACTGTTTATTTGTTGCAATTGTTTGTTCAGCTTGGGCTTGTTAGTTTGATATGGTTGATGTTGTGGGCGAGGTACTGGCTGATGTAAAGGAACTTGTTGACCTGATTTTCTTCTTGCATCGCTGAGAGATGAAGGTCCAGTTGTCTGCGATCCACTATTTACTCCTGGTAAATCTTTTATATGCGCCTTTACGTCCCGCAAATGATTTTGATGCACCTCCTTATGGTACTTCTGTGTCGCCAGTATTTTGTCTGCAGCATCATCCGTATTCAAGCTGGTAGCAATGCTTGAATCAGACTGTTCCATTAAGCTTGGCAAGGCCGGTGCACGCTTGGGAGTGCCTGATTTATTCATAGGTACACTATCAGACGTACCGGGAGGATTATTCGTTGTATTCGGCGTTGTAGGCGATCTGTCACCACTAGAAGAGCTGGGACCTGTTATCTCGTTTAAGCTTAGTTTCGGTTGTCTCGTCAAGCTCGCAAACGACGATAAATCGACTTCTGCAGGTTGATAGGGCTCCGAGTTCCTTGTAGATTTGTCGGTCAATTTAGACGACGATTTTCGAGATATCAGCTTTCTTTGCGGCAAGCTGTCTTCGGTGTTAATTATGGGCATCGGAGACAAGGTCAACTTTCTCAATGCATTCAAGGTTAATTTTTGCTGCTGCATCATGATATCTTGGTCCGCTGCCTCGTCGTCATTCAACGACGTTGTAGACGACGACGACCCTTTGTTTCCAGTATCTGTTCCATTAACATCGCCCAGACCGTTCCCTGATTGGTTACTAAAGGGAAGTCTTTGGCCTATTTCGACGTCGTCACCATTACTCTTCAAGTTTGATATGCTCGATAACACAGGTGCCTGGATAAAAGATTGGAAGTTCTTCACCGTATTCGGGTTACTATGTGCACTTATATAACTGTTTGTTCTCTGCAGCGGTTGTCCTGGTGGTCCCTGTTGCTGGTTATTGGTATACAGCTGTTTCAACGACTTTAGTGACGCGGACGAAAGCACCGACTGAAAAGACTGCGTTCTCGACCTCCTCACGTCCTTTTTCTTGAACATCAAGTCCCCCTGTCCCGTCTGTTTGTCGTAATTCTGAGACGCTTCATCCAATTGTGACTCTTGTGCCCGATTTCCTTCTTCATCCCCATCCCCACCTCCGGAGCCCTCACGCTTCACCTCTTGTCCCTCGTCAACAACATCTTTTGCCGGCGAACTAGGCGTCGATATCGTGAATTTAGTATTCCTCTTACCATCATTTCTCATTTCGCCGCTTCCCCCCTTATCTTCGTCCGTAGTTCCGTCGCTAGCGACATTATTAGATTCCGTCATTCTTGAGTTATGCTACTAATCAAGGCGGCCTTTTTTATCAAGTGTACTTCAAATTCAGTTGACGTGGATTTCTAAAACTACCAAATGATTTCCTGTGTCCGTATGCGACCAATCAACTATAAATCACTAGAATATCCAGGTTTTCTCGTAATTAGCTGCTTATCTCTGGGTAATGGTAACGCTCTTCAACAATATCATCGATTGTTTGGTACGGTTAGCCGGTCATGTGACTAAATGCTGGCGATAACCGCGACATCGCGACATCGCGACATCGGCGATCGTGCGACATTGTCCGCGACTCGATTGGTTCCATCTACTCCCGAACTTTTCACCACCAACCCCGGCCCATACGATCCAGGCATAATTTGCTACGACCAACAATCACCAAAACAAACACAAGACCAGCAGTCAGAAGAGAGCTTGCGACATGGCGTAGAACCCCTAGGACCACTTCCCAATTCTCAGACTCGCAGGATAGACTCTGTAGAGGACCAGGTCCATCCCCAGAAACCGATTACATAAGCAACTTACGAGTGACAAATTAAAATAATTTCATTGGTTTAGTGCAAACGAAATATACCGGGACATATATATCAAAAGTTCAGATTATTGAATAGTTTCATAGAAAACGCATAGTTTGATACATACATATTCGACACACAACATGATTTCACGTATTGGCTTAGGTTTAGTTAGACGTAAGTAGAGAATAGTGGGAAAGACCAACTCTTTCGAGGGTTGTGACGGAGCCGAAGAATCGGACAACGATGAAAACAAGCCAGAACATAAATACTAACCAAGACAGCAACTTCCCGTTCAATTGTTAACACAAGCAGACTCGCTAGCAGATGTGGTGCCATGAGAGGTATTTCCACTGTCAAGGCTTCCCACGAACAAGAACAAGAAGTTTTAGTGGCACAACGTAAGAACAGACCAACCTCACCACATTTGACTATCTACGAACCACAATTAACCATGATCATGTCTTCTTTGCACAGAATCAGTGGTGTGTTTATGGCTGCTGGTTTCTACGCTTTAACTTGTGGATATGCTGCCACTTCTATCTTGAACATTCCATTTGATGCTGCTACCTTAGTTGGTGCTTTTGCTGGTTTACCAGTAGCAGTTAAGATTGCAGCTAAGAGTGCCATGGCCTACCCATTTGTATTCCACGCCTTCAACGGTGTCAGACATTTGATCTGGGATTTTGGTAAGGAATTAACTATCAAGGGTGTTTACAGAACTGGTTATGCTGTTTCTGCCCTTACCGTCATTATCGGTACTTACTTGACTTTCTTCTAATCTCTGCATAAATATGTTAAGTTTATTTATATATATCAGTATATGTGATATCTACTTTATATTATATATTGATTTTAATTCGTTATATCATTATTTGTGACTTCAGCTTTGGGCTAGCCAGCGCTTTCACCGTAAGTCTTGCAAAGTCTACGCATCTCATTACTTGAGCCTTTTTTCTTGTAGACAATGATTTTCCTTTGAAGTAGCTATCTTCTGAACTGGTTAAGCTCAACCTCTGAGTCCAAACATAAGCAAGCGTCATTTGTACAGAATCCGCATGTAAAAGTCTTCAGCTTTTTTAGTGAAACACCCTTTTTTGTTATAGACCTTTCTATTTCATCACGCTCCTGTATTAATTCGTTACTTCTCACAATATCTTCTTCTCCTTCGTCCTTTATTATTAATTTGTCTAAGAATTCTCCCTGATTTACAAAATTTTGGTCTTCTTCTACAATGTTAACCCCTATTTCATCCTGTGACTCGATATTTAGAGGCTTTAATAATGTAGGAATAAAAATACTATTCGTACTTATATTCCTCCTATTACCTGCTTTTATTGGGCGTTTCTCGTGTTTTGCCTTTTCAATTTCTTTTAATTCTTGATTTCTACTCAGTTTGTATGTTGCCCGTATATCAAGATAGTTTTGAATTTGATTATTCAAACCGCTTTCAGTCGCATTATCGCCGATAAACTTTTTGGTAGCACTATGAATAATATTCGAAGATCTTGTAAGGTAAGCCAAAAATTTATTCAAATCGTTTATATTATTAATTTTTTCTAATTGCTCGTACTGTGACATAGCCGGCTTGATTTGATTGATATTTCTAGTAATAGGAGTGTTAGATTGACTTATTCTTTGTGGCCTGGCTTCATTGTCGCTATTAAGAGCATCAAACGTTATAACCCCATTTTGAACAAACTTAAGTTCGTTAATTTGGTTATTGATTACGTCGATGTAATTTCTTATCAACTCTTGCTCTTTTAATTTAGATAAATAGCTCATTTTTAAGTCGGCCACTTGGTTAGGGTCTGATTTTTGAGCCGGCTTAGGCACATGAAGAGGATTAGTATTCATATTAGCTACTTTAGAAGCATGAAGGCCATCGTTAAGTCTTATCTCACTATCTTCCACCTTTATAGCCTCATTATGACCTATCTTTACCTTCTTCTTTCCATTATTTTTATGTGGCCTTGAATTAAAAGAGGTACTAGAAGATGCGGAATTCACCAAGTCATTACCTGAATCCTCGGCATTAGCTGTTGGCTTTCTTCCAGGACGTGGCCTAGGTGGTAGAACCCATTTCTTTGAAGTGTTAATGTTTAATGAAATATCATTTTTTAATGTGGACTTCGAGTGCATATCAAAATTTGACATGACATGATTGTTAGGTTTTGACAAAGCGATCGGAACCGGTTTAGGTTTAATACTAATAGCCGGTTTGATATTTGGATACTTGTTTGGAATATTCTTCCCTTGGTTGCTTAAATCACCATGCATGTGTATCGAGGTCTGCCCATATGGGTGGGAAGATTTATACGACATATTAGTAGGGGCTAATTTCTGTTCCTGGAAGCCATTATCTCCCTTATTATTGTTCACGTTGACGGGTGAGTACCTAAAATTTGATGGTATTGTACCTTTATCATCTGTTATATTATCTGTGGACATGTTCAAATAGAATGCTTATGCTATAAATACATCAATCAGTGTCTTTCACGATCTTTTTCACTAAAATCCGGGGACAAGGGTTGAAAGATGATCTCTAAATTACGGATTTTTTCCCTAAAACAGCTGAAAGTATAATCTCTAATCAGAACGATCTATATATACCCAAACTCTTGCACTTGTAATATGATATAATATTCGCTTACTATACCAAGGATAAAGAAGTCGTAAATTTAATTTTTTCAATTTTTCGTAGACTCGGTTAGCGGTAATTGCGGAAATATATAAACAAACTTAAACATATCATATAGCCATATTTATCATTAGATATTTCACTACTAGTCCGAATGTATAGTACACTGAACCAACCTACATCTAACTCGTCTTTGAAGCAAAGACACTTGAGTCATCTAAATTCTCAATTAGCACAATTACATGCCAATTTATCTGACTTTAATGAATTGATAAACACCACATCAGCACAGTTTAAATCAATAGAGAAAATGGGTATAATGCACGGATCGTTATTCATGGCAAGTCATACAGTATTTGAAAATGATAACTTCAGTCTGAGCGAACGTCAAGTCTAAAACCTAGCTTTGCACTCATTTCACTCTTTTGCTGGTCATAAACTACTTCATCGGATAAGGTACGGATAAACCTGCGAGAAGTGTTGGAATATTTTACACAACGGGAGTCTTACATCAAGAACAAAGGGCACAAGTCATAACTGGAAACTTGACCTATAAGAGGAATTGCTGTCCAATATTACGTTCTGTACTGGAATACAGATTGTAACTGTCTAATTTTATCGAGCGATACCTCGATGAATATCTATTTACTAATTGAAGCTACTGTTGGAAATCCTAAATAGATAGTTTGTAGTGATCCATATAGATTTATTAATAGTATATACATGTTTAGGCTTCATTTTGAGTGGCCTTTAAGGATTCTCTGTACAATTTTCTCTTTTCCGCCTTTTCTTTAATAAGAATATCTCTCTCAATATCAAGATACTCCACCTTTTGGTATTTGGCTACACATCCTTGTGCAATATTGTTTGCTGCCTGGCATTTTGTCATCGCTTCGAGTGCGCTATAACTATTAGTGCATTCGATATATTTCTTTATTAATTCATCGCATCTCAGGAACGCCTTCTTTCTCCATCTTTCAAAAATAAGCTTCTCTTCTTTTGGTGTAAGCATCCATGCTGGTAAATTAGGATTTGAAGGTAATTCAACGTCTTCAAACGTCTTCTTTTCTGGTTTAGCCATGATAGTAGTTCCTGAATATTTGATACGAAATGGTCAAAATTTCATTGATGATTTTTTTATCGCGCAGTTCTTTAAAAAAACAAAAGGCCCTTACAAAACACAGAATATAAACAACACATAAGTCAGTAGATTTATTGGACCATTAGCATAAGAATATAATGTTTCACGAAAAGCCGGATAAATTGCTTTTATCATCGATAGAAAGCTTTGAAATAGAGCCTGACTTATTGACTTTAAGAAGAATAGAAGAGGTTATAAACAAAACTAATCAATACAGATCAAATATTATTGAAAATTATGAAACCAAACTAAATGCCATGAAAAGTGAATTCCAGAGTTTAATGTCAGAGATAAACTTGCTAACTAAAGTCAGTGGAATTAATTACGAAAATTTAAAAGTCTTGGGTAATGGAAACGAAGAATCTATGGGTGACTTAAACAACAAAAATATATTTAATGTAATGAATGAGAAGTCTATAGAATTGGATAATCTTAAGTTATCACTTGCCAAAAACTTGAATGACTTAGAAAGTCAAATAAATTCTATTAATATAACAAAGAAAGATTTGATGGAAAAGTATGAGTTAGTGAAAATGAAGAATGATAATTTGATCAATGATAATATATTGAAGAACCCCGATTCAAAAGCAATCAAGATCAACATTTATAAAAACCTTGGAATTGAAATCGAGAGTGGTGATGAGGGTAAACCCGAGAACAAGCAAGACAAAGTGATTATTTATAACAAGGAAACCAACTTATCCAGCATCCTTAACATTGATGACAAGTACAGCGAGTATTTCATTACTAACTACATATGGGATAGGCTCCAAGGTTACTAAGGGTGGGTTAATTAATATCTCTATGTTTGAAATTGGACCTTGCTTAAAATGTACTATACCTCTACCAGTTTAGAGATCGTCAGGTAACGATCATACTGGAAGACGTAGAGAAATTATGTTCACTACCCTCCACTTTAGTATTGATTACACTTGCCAATGTTATGATCATTGGGCAATTATGTTTTCGTTCTTGCATGTTCCTTTATAAGAATGATTCTGGTTCCAGCTGACACAAGGGTTTTTAGTTTTTAATAATTTACACTTGGACCTCAACAATTTTAATTTAATTTATTACTATTTACAGACATTAAATATAAGCATTCAAAAATGGCGATCTAGAAGTATTTAGGATTTTCTCTGAACGATAACTTGGTCCATTTCGGAACTCTATGAATTGACTTTCTATAATCTTTGGCTTTCTTGTCAAATGTAGTATATTTGTCCTTAGGAGTCATTTCATGTTCTTTTGGAAACTGAAACTTTAAATAATCAATCTTGTCGTATCCCGTGGATTCAACATTATCTAATTTCAATGATTTATATAAAACTTCAATATTTTCGTCGACTGTTTTCATTCTTCTTCTTAATCTGTACTTTTGTGGACCAGACATTCTTGGTGCCACCTTCCATAAGTAACCACCGCTCAACGATAAGGTTGACTTGAATGCACCAAACATATTTACTTTATACTTAACTAGTGAAGGACAGACTTCATGATCAAGTATTTTATTTTTCAGAATTTTTCAGAAATGTTTGTGTGCGCGTACCATTATTTCAATAGCCATATAGTCTATACCTGGAACACTGTATTCTATCGGTGGTACCCCATTACCGTTTTTCTATTACGATGCATTGTTAATAGAATGATAACACTATTATTTTCCTATACTTACAAAGTGACATGAATATAGTCTTATATTCCTGAGAGATGAATACTTGGTTGGCGATCAAAAGGTAAGAGCAGTATACATGAATAACCAACTGTGTTTAATATTAAAATCGACCTTGTAACTCTTTTGCTACTCCTTTTGCTACTCCTAAACTCTTTATTTAATTAAGCTTTTATTAGAAAGTTTTTAGGCTCTCGTTTCTCTCTTTAACATTTGATGTACAAGAATGAGACAGCCTAAACTATATGCATGTGAAGTTCAATGATGTGAAAGATACACCCAGTTGCCTGTTCCTGATAGCTTTGCTTCTTAGTTTCTTGGGAGCATAATTTCTCATTATATATTAAGTAAATGTCAATTTTATTCTGAATCTTGCAAAAAATATTTATTACTTCCAATTTCATTTCCTGTCGCAAACGAGTCTTTATACTTTTCTTATCAACGGTTAGAGGATTCAACGCTATTGATCTTCACACCATACCATTCCCTCATCTTTACTTTTATCAAATACTAGGGTATCGCCAGCTAAGAAACTTAATTATAATTGATATCAAATTTCGCAGTAATTTCTAAAAACTGAGAATTCATAAAAAGTTCTACAAAATTATTATTACGAGACTACCCAGATTTGCTTTATTCTAACTACAAAGACATTGTTGCCTTTTTCTAGTTCAATCGGATTTATGCCTAACTTCATACATTTACATCAAGTCTGGTCAATCCGCCCAGTCCAACAAATCCATATACACCCCACCAAGCGCAAGCAGGACTCAGAAGATAGCAACCCAATCTTCGCAATATAAGTTAAGGGCGTAATAGACTATATGTGAGTCTTATTCCCGGGTAATGATGTGCTATTTGCATTATCTAGTGGATACACAAGATCATTTGCCAACAAGCAATAAATCAACTCTATAGTAATTCGCATAAACATGTCGTAGTGCACCTTTCCTAAAATTTTAACGTCATTGACTATACATATACAATTGCGTACAAAAAGAATTTTTTTGTTTAATTCCCGAATCCCGCAATGAGCAACAATAGCAGGTAAATAAAGAAAATTGCACTTTACAAGAGTTACACAATTGGCAAATGTTATATTAGTGGAGAATTTGTTTACAGTTGGCAGGCCTATGTCTGAGAGCTATTGTATGACTTAACACTAAAAGGCTAGTAAAGGCGCACACAAGACTGTGTGTAGACTCTTTTGGTAGTGCTAAGTATTAGCATTGAGAGTGACTCCACTTAAAATGTCGGACTTTCTTTAGCGAGAAATTTACCCCATAATAACATCAGTGAGCGGGTGAATAAATATCCAACCACCAAGCTATATAGTGGTCTGCGTAATTGCAGTAGCATATATGCTGTCTTCTACAGCATTCTACTTCTTCATGCTGGGGCGGTTTTATGTTCTGATACGATCTGAGTCAGGTCATATGAAACACAGTAGTCACAAATGCGCGAAACCTACCCCGAGCTACGAAACCCAGCAATTGTATAAACATGCAGCACTTTAGGACGAGCGGGCAGGCCAAAAATGGGGTATGATGTGGTGATCGCTTGGAAGCGAATGCAGCGGTAGCAGCAAAAAAAGGTAAATCTCACCACTGTCCTCTCAGGCCAACTTTTAAAACCTACAATAATGATAATTTCCATTTCGTAACCTCTATTAAATTAATAAATCAAACCCTAAACTATTTAATATTTTCATGACTTCATAAGAACAATATTGTAAACCATATGCGCTATATATTTGCGAGGGCATTACAAGCACGCCGTTAACCACTTTCTATAATTGTGTGACGTCGACGGCATGTGCTCCGATAGTATGTTTTGTTTCGAAACATCTGTGTTTGTAGTAGTGGTGTCCCCCTTTGAATTCACCACGTAGTTCAAGTCAAACTGGTTGTAATCCAAGTCGCTATTCGAGTGCTGAGTACCTAGCACCAATGGTGACGTGATTTCGCCATTATGGGCGCCTGATTCCGGGTTGTAGTGTTGGTATAATGAAGGCGTCAACATAGGCGACACCAATTCTTCCGATCCTTCAGCACATGAGTCTAAAATTGTCATCGATTGCTTTTCATCTATCGCTTTACATTCGTCACTGCAGTAAATCGAATTCTGCGAACACAACTTGTCACACGCTATACAGTAATCATTGAATGCAAAGTCCGACATTGTATGCTTATTTATGTGTTTGAGTTGTATGATATGATATTAGTTGTATGTTATGTGAATGTTGTGTTAAAAGAACTTTAATTCTTAGAATGTCTGTACTAATAATATGTGCAGAGTCAATCTATCCACTAAACTGTAGAAATAATTGACTATAATGATATAATATTATATGATATCAAATGAAATATAATAATATAATACTAAGATTATAATACTATACTAATGGATGTTTCGTTTTATCTATGTAATATAATCTTAAATATGAAAAAATTTATATGCGGTTAATTTTACTTATATACTAAAAACACTTACCACCCACCACACTTTTGTCATAACCACTATTATTAAGTTTTTCCCCAATATACAGGGGTTATGCAATCCATGTAAGAGAATCGCGACATGAGGGCCCATGAGTGACAATTTTAGACAATTTTTTCTCTGGAACGAGTGTCCCCATATGCATTAGCCACCTGTTCCATTTAAGACAAGCTAATTTGGAGTAAACAGGCAGCCACATTGAGAAATATTGTTTCACAGGGCCCGGTGTTCGGGCATCGATGTGTTGTTGCACGTGTAGTTAGCCAATAGATTCTATTATTAGGGGCCATGGGCAACAATAGCACACGCCAAGGTGGTCTAGAAACGTGCTGTGAGTCAACGAGGTAGTCTCGTGGCACGACAATGTCGCGAATTTTGACCATGAGGCTTCTGGAATGTGGTGCTAGCACGGGTGGGAGCTAGGTCAACCACTTCTAGGTCAACCAGGCTTCTAGGTCAACCAGAAGCACAGGGCAGTGATGGCGGTGGTGGTGGTGCCACCACTGCCATTTTGTTCTGGTACTTATCGCAAAGATAATCAAAGGGAGATCTGAAGAGATTCCGAGACAAAATGGGGGGGCTACGGTGGAAGGAGTGACCTAGTAGTACAACCAGCCATAGTGTTGGGTGAAAAGGGGGGAGTGATGGAACATGATGGAGAGTGCGCTAATTGAGCGCGACATTGGGAGACCGCATGGCCGGACATGCATGTGCGAAACGACATCGAAACGATGGCAACGCTAGATTTAACTGATAAGAGGGTGTCGTGGTGGTGTCATGGGCAATATAGTCGGACCGTGAGAAAATGCGAGGGCGGCAATAAAATCGGAAATAAGAGAGAAACGTTCTCTGCGTAAAGATGCCGCGTAGTTTTGAGAGAAACCAGTAGTTTAGTAGGTGTGGTAGATTTAGTAGCGCAGTGATAAGTGAAAATGGCTCATGAGACTAGGGCAATTACTCTGTTGGGAAGGACGAGAAAAAAATTGGTTAATGGAGTTGGGTACATAGAATCAGCTAACAAACTCGATAAATGTACAACTGAATATAGAGGTGTTGAAAATGGTACGTTTTCTGAATACAAATGATCTGAGGCATTTGATCGGTACGATCGCAATTACATCATGTGAGCTATCAACCGTTGACTAACAATAGCTACAGGTGAAACATGGGTTCAGTGCGTATATTGGAATGTCGTGCGACACCGACGTTGAGACAAATGTCGCATGTATTAGCTACTACGATGAGATTGATCTAGGCGATGTCCTGATCAGTCTAAAAATAGTAGGATTGAAATAGAACCCTTAGCCTTGATGTAGCCAGTGAGCTGGAATATTGAGCAAATGTTCTAGGTTGATAACGAGAGGTTTACTTGATATCGGCTTTGCGGCGTCTTCCACTCTCCTTATCGGGTTGTTCATATAGTCCGTTTGCTGTGGTAGGATCAATTATGATCTCTATTTACCAGGCTCAGCTCATCAGTAATCCAGACCAGACTTTTACTTTTCAGTTCTACATAGGCTGTTGCTTCCTGGTCATCTTAAATACAGCCCTCTAGGCTCTGTTCACCTCTGAATTCCATCCTTCCTATCCGGTAAACCGTTGCTACAGGATCAACTATGATTTTTGTTTCTCAGGTTCCGTACCATTTTCGCGGCCCAATCCCGAAATTCAGTGTTCAGATCTCTTCACTAATCGTATGACATCAATGTAGTTAAATCGCATCGTCTAGCCTTCGGCAATTATACACTCTTGAATTTGTACTTCATACCATCCAATCCCCCTATGTCCCGCGCCAAATATTGATGTGACCTCGTCAAGTAGTAGTTGCACCCTAAATTGATCGCCGGAAGAACATACACCAAATGCTCCAAGTCAACATAGTACAATAATACAACCACTACCACCACATTGGTTCCTCTTACTACCCGCCGATACTCAAATTCAGTCAACTCGACAAGCGAAAGCACAATCGATGCCAACACCGCACTCATCATCGGTATTCGCGACACCTTGTTCATCACCATTACCACTATCACCTGCACAACCTCAAATATCATCAACACCCGACTGTACATCTTGTAGAATCCACGGTTTCCCTCTGAAAACTCCCGAATCAACTGTTCTTGATCGTCAATGTCGAGATAGCTCGAATCGTCGAGTATGTTTCTGTCTACCTTTCGTACTCGGCTCATTGGCGTTTACTAGTACTACTCACAATCAGTCCACAAATATCAAATCAATCTACTATATCACAAGCTATATCTCGTATCACCTTACTATTCGTCTAGGTTTGATTTCCCTGTATATTATTTATGTAATCGATCAAACGATCTGCCTTCGGCTCTCAATCCGCTATTGGTATTATAAACATAGAAAGGCAATTCTAGACTTTGCTGCCTTTTTTCACGATTCTCGCCGCAGGTCCAGAATTAATACTCACTGTAGATTAGCACTGCGGTTACCACAAACCGCAAAGTTGGCGTAATTTACAGCATATTATCGGTAATAATCAGTCTAGATTCCTCGGCTCCCAAATCTAATTATACCCCTTTCATACGCGCCGCAAGTTTATTTACTATTGTTTGGTGTCAACTCAACGCATTTGTCCGTCTAACAATCCGTACCTGTTTTAAGGTGGAATTTTGGGAGGAGATTACACAAAACTCACAGGATAATTTTTCTTTTTTGAAAAACCGCGATATACATTCTCTTAGATACTGTTGTTAAGGGTTATTAGTTGTTTTTTTTTTATCATAGTTTTCTTTTATACTATTATCATAGGTATATATCCTTCGTTTGGTGAATCAAAAGATATAAGATAATATTCACATTTTAAGGATCATCATCAAAGCGCAGAGATATAAATAGGTCAATTGTTACGTATAACATATTGCTTAGCCGCCTAGTCTATCTTTTAAAATAGGTTTCCAACTACAGTCTTTCTTTTCCCTAAATAACAGAAAACCGATCGCTAATCGATAGAACCACCTGGAGGTATATTTATGCAATAAGAACTAAACGAAAACAACATATCTAGAATGATCTTTGAAACTACTAATTTTGTTCGGATAGTCTACTTATTGGCTTTATTGCAAGCGCCAGGGGTGCTAGGAGAGAGGAAGAGCACAGGAGAAAAGCACGGATTGTCAAATAATCGTAAGGAAGCAGCCACGTCGCTTAATGGATGGGGCAATTCGAACTGGAATCAGGATAACGAAGCTTCAACAACAAGAGAGGCAGACGAAGGTGTATCGACAGATGCTGCGACTACGGCCTCATCGACGACTTCTTCGGGCGGTTTTAATCCATTTGCATGGATGAATGCTAAGTCGGGGACTACAGAGGCGGATACCAGCACTTCTTCAACGAATAGTCCTACAGACGTTACAGCTTCCACCAGAGAATCTGCTAATACTGCCACCACTTCTACTGGAACATCCAAGGATACTGCAACATCATCTACTGAACCAGCAGCTAATGTGGCTATTTCAAGCTCCCAAACCACTCAAGGAACCACAGAGCAAACAACAAATACAGCTGCTGCAAGCACTCAATCCACACAGGGCCCTACTGAGCAGGCAATAAACTCAGCTGCTTCAAGTACAGAATCCACACAGGCTAATGACCAAGTGGATGATCAAAATATTGAACAAACCACCTCTACCTCTGAACAAGGAACGTCACTTAGTCCTTCATCCATTCAACCTACCACTGCAGAAAGCTCTGGTATTACAACTTCGTCACCAGTACTGGAGACTTCTACGGAGGCATCATCCTCTGGGTTTAACTGGCTTGGGTTATTTGGTCAAAAGTCTTCATCCGAAGCATCTTCAACTCAATCTACACCTGGATATACTGAGACTTCCCAAAGTTCCTCAATCACCGAAACTTTAACGAGTTCGTCTAACACAGGTACGGAAGGTCCAACAAGTTCGTCTACCACAGGTACAGAAGATACAACAAGTTCGTCTACCACAGGTACAGTAGATACAAGTTCGTCTACCACAGGTACAGAAGGTCCAACAAGTTCGTCTACCACAGGTACAGAAGGTCCAACAAGTTCTTCCACTCCAAGCACGTCAACTGTATCTCCATCAGTACTTGATCTTTTTAATTCTGCCTCGTCATCAACAGAGTCTTCCACAAGAGCAGATTCTACTACTTCTGTCGATGATGACTTTCAAGCTTTAAGTGATGCAACGGGTGCATCAGCTTTGGGTACATCGACGCTTACCTCTTCTGGATCTTCTACGACTAGTCCTGGGGATACATCTTCGGAAACTTCGTTTGAAAGTGCTAGCACTGCAGATCTTGCTTCTAGCTTAACTTCCACAAGACCATCAAGCTCGAATACTATGGATACGGTCGCATCTTCGTTATCTGTGTTAAATAGTTTGTTTGAAACTACTGATTCTACTGACTCAGCTTCGTCGGCTACTCCTACAACCAACGTTGAGGAAGGTTCAACCGTTTCATCGTATAAACCCTACCATATCTTAGAGTCTTCATCTGAATTTGCAAGGCCGACAGAAAGCTCATTGTCTTCTGCTACATATGAGGGGCCAGCATCTTCAACCGACTTTGCCAGTCCAACTGAAAGCTCATTGTCTTCTGCTACATATGAGGGATCGGAGTCTGCAACGGAGTTTTTAACTCCAACTGAAAGTGCTTTGTCTTCTATCACATCTGAGGAACTGTTATCTTCAACTGAATTTGCTACTCCAACTGAGAGCTCTATTCAAATATCGTCGTATTCTTCGTTGAGTGGACAGGAAACCATATCTGACTCTACAAGTGAAACCTTCAGTGCAACTGAAAGCTCTTTTGCAGCTCCATATGAATCACCCTCGTCTGGCGTTTCAGGAATTGCATTGTCTTCTTCAACAGACTTAGCACCAACAGAAAGTTCTTCGGAAACACCGTTTTATTCAACATGGTCAAGTACACCCGTAAGTACTCAGGATTATTCTGCTGAATATGTCAGTGCCACGGAGAGTTCTTTCGAGACTCCTTTCTATTCTACGTGGTCATCTGGTTCATCAAGTTCATCATCGTCTTCACATTCGAGTAATCCAGAAAGCCTGATTGAAAAACCAACCGAGACAACAGTGAATTCTGAAACATCTTCAATTGCCTCCATTACCGAAGATACGTCATCTTTATACCCAATCGTTTCAACCGATTCATCGATATCTCCAATTTTGGACTCAACCTCGCAAGCCGAACTGACTGTTTCGGCAAGCACAAGCTCTAGTATGCCATCTGTGTCGAACTTGCCAACTTCGACTGTTGTTCCATTGTCAGAGTCTGAAGTCGAATCAAGCTCAACTTTTGTTCCAGTGTTATCTTCTGTTGTTTTGACTCCATCTGCAAGTGTACCAGCAGTAGAAACAGACGAACCATTGTCATCTCTTGTTGACACATCATCTATCAATAGTGATTCAGCTATATTATCTCAATCGCAAACCCAAATTTTACCCGGCTCGCTGACTATAAGTTCTGAATCAATAAATTCGATGCCATCCTCCATTACAGCTAGCCCTCCAATTGCATCCTCACCGGCTGCTCCATCATCTGAGGCATTGCCTGGGTCGGAAACAGTCCCATCTGCTTCTACTACAAATAATTGGTTGCCTTCTCAGATTATTGAACAAACTACAACTAGTAAGCCATCCGCATCTGCTGATAATTCTGTCAGTCAGGCAACACCAACTACAGTTGAGCCTTCTGGTTTACCAAAGGCAATCACAGGACAGCTGGCTGCAGAACCAGGTAAGAATTATGAAGTTGTGTATATTGGATTCAAGTCATCATTGAATTACCCCTTTGTTGTTGAAAATTCATTATCTTCTGCGCAAATCTTCCAGTACTTGCCTAACACTTTAAATTTCCCATTTGAGGATGAATCGGCATTAGATAAAGTTTCTGTTAAAAAAATTATTCCGTTTACTGCTAGTGGGATATCATACACAATTTCGGTTGCTGAAGTGTACTTCCCATCAGAGTTAGTTAGTAAATTGAACACATACATACAAACATCTGATTCTAAATTATACTCAAATCCATCATCGACTGAACATCAATTAGCTTCGCTTATTGATAAGAGAATTCCTTTAACTGGGTTAGTGACTGAAGATACTTCCAGTGACAATAAGAGTGGAAGTTCATCAAATAACGGATCTATGGATTCGGGCAATTCAACTGTATCAAATAAAGGTAAAATTGCAGGTATTGCTATAGGTGCAGCAGCTGGATGCGGTATTTACATGTCATTGATGGTTTTATTGTTCAAGAAGTACAAGAAGAACAATGGTGTTGAGTTACCTTTGTCAGACTCAGAAAGCAATATTGGATTAGGAACCAATAATTCTACAGTTCAAAGTAACGGAGCTGGTATTTCCGGATTATTTAATAGGTTTGGTGACAGTTCCTCTGGGGAAGGAGTGGGCAGTGTACCGATATCTGAACCAGTAAACGCGTCAAATTCATTGGGTTGGTCTCATTGAATGAATATTAACATTATGCATCAAATTCTTTAGGTTGGGCTCATTGAATGAATATTAACACTATGCATCAATTCTTTTAATCCTGGTTTACTGACATTAAAACTTATTTTTTCGCCTTTAAGAATTGTTGGAAATCAAGATGATTATCGATAATTGAAAAGCAATTCTTTTATTTTAGATTTTAATTCTTATTTGCATATTAGAATTATACTATTATAGTGTGTATTACTATTTCTCCTTTTAACTTTAAGATACATTTTAAATCACAATTATAAAAGACCATTTGTAGTTATTAGACCTAGGTTTATTGCAATTGTTATCTGATACTGGTGACCAACTATAGATTTTTGAATAAACATCCTATGCAGCAATGCACTACACCCTCAAAGAATATAACAGGCACAAGTGTAATAACAATACACGTATTTCCCTGATGTAAAAATTGTAGCTACAGTAAGAGAGGTTAAATCAGAGATTCCTTACTCACTTGATTATCAAGTTTTCAAGTTTATCAATCAACCAGTATCAAAAAACTTGTAAGCTTAAAAAGAAGTAATCAGATTAATATGTTTCAGGCCCGTCAAAAGCCCGCAAATTTTAGGAGCATTGGGGGACTACAGCACACATTTAAATCTGTATCTATTCACAAACATTTCCTAAACAAAAAAATGTAGCTTCAAATCTTGCGCACTACTATAGCTTGCCATTAATTCATTTTTTGCTTAAACCTGATTGCCTCAAATTGTTTCACTTCAAAGAATGCCTAGAATACCGGTGTAACGAAGATAAAGTTTGAAACTGTCTAACATTGGTATTCGTTTCAGATATGTTTCAAAGAAATTTATTTCAGTATACTTAAAGGAAACATTTAATATCGTGAAATAAGACATATATTAATCTCTTAAATAACATTACTACAAATGGACAGTAATTTGCATTCAAATGATGATAATTCATTCATTGTACCGGAGGATTTAGTACTGGATGAAAGAGTTGATAATTGGTACACGAAAGAGGGTGTGTACGGTGCAAATGCATACTACTGCAAATCAAAGAAAGGAGGAGTCCCAACGCAAATAAGGATAGCCAAACGATTTTTTGAACAGGTTAAAGACGGGTATCACGAACAGGAATTTGGACCTCCGCCTAAGGTAAGGAAAATCGAAAGAGATATCGAGATGACAGAGCAAAGGATTACACGATTATCAAATTATCTTGCACTAGATGATCAAGACATGCCTGTACAAGCCATACCACCAGATTTAGGAGATGAGAGATTAAATCGCTTGGTATCGTTTTTGAGTTATCATTTTCTAGAGATTGATAGAAAATTTGATGCTATGAAAGAAGATTCTAATAGCAGATTTGATGGGTTAGAGCGTAAGATAAACAGTGTAACAGGACGATTTGAAAACAGATTCAAAGAAAAAGGAGGCGAGGAAGATACACCTCAAGCTTATGATCCAATTCTTAATAGGTTGAATCAGTATCCTCATGAGAATGGATTGAACAGGATAACGTCACTTCATCAAATTAATCGGTTCACAGGTCAGCAAATCATAAGATATTTGGAGTTCTACGGTTTGAATACGGAGGGGACACTTCAAGAGAAGAAGTTAAGACTAATAGAATTTCTTGGAATTAATGTTGAAACAATAGTTAGTACGATTAAGATTACGAATACGAGCAAAGTAGCAGGCACAAAGGCTTAAAATCTGATAAATTAATATCAAATTGCTTTTTGATATATAAGAACTGTAACTGAGATACAAAGAATATTATACCTAATAAGACTGTTTACATTTACCTGCTAAAGAGACGTCCCAATTGAAATTTATTATATTATATATTTGTCCGTTTATCTAATTTGCCAATTCGTCAATATATTCCCAAATCTCATTTACTACGATGATAGAATCTTCGTCTAAAGTTTCAGACAACTCTTCTACTAATTCTTCTTTGGAGTGTAGACCGTTGCTTAAGAGAAAGCTGTAAATAAACTTTATCAATTCATCCTCACGTATTCCTAAATATTCCTCGATTAATTCACCGATTTTATTATTCAAGGAGGACAACTTATTTGAATTAAATTGAGATATGTGAATATTATTTGCCGATATATTCTTGATCAGAGTAGATAATTGGGTTTTATGTTCAGATTTTGGTGTGAAGGAAGACAAGAATTCGGATGCTTTATTCATCGCTTGTAATTCTTCCTGTTCTTCTTCCAAGTCTTTTCTATCACTCTTTTCCTCATTCATTCTTTCATGATTTCTCATCTTTAGGTACTCTGAATAATTATTGTAATATTGTTGAATCTTAGTTGGGTTTAACGATACCAATTGACTTATATTCGAAAGATCATAGTCATGAAAATCCTTCATTTCCTCAATAAATTTAGCTTTGTTTGATATTAAATAATCCTCATAATTCTTCACAGCATATAATTTATCCAATAAGTTCTTCTTCTCTATCGTTTCAGACTCTTTAAAGCGGGATAAGCTTTCTTGATATTGGGTTTCCAAAATTTCTTGTTCTCTTTTCTTGAGAATTTCATTATATTGTTCGTCACTTAATTCTTCGAATTCCGCATGTGTACCTTTAGAAATTTCTACTCCTTCTTCTCTATCATTCTCAGAATCAATGGCAATGTCATCAGTAGTTTCTTTGATACCTTCGAAAATTCTCTTTAACCTGTTTTTGGCTTGCATTCTTTCGTTTTCAATCTCCTTTTTACGACGGGCTTTTTCAATGCTCAACACTTTCGATCTGAACTTGATGATATCATTAACTATTTTCTCTTTCATATCCTTTGGAACTTCAATTAGCTCGGTGGGATCTACTTTATAAGTATTATAATATTGCATTACCTGATCTAAATCTTCCGTTCCTGTCGTTTTGGAAAGCTTTTCATAATTCTTTTGATTTTGTAGAATCTTGCTTATTTCATACGTGATATTTTCTACCTGAGATTCATCTAGGCCATTCGAAACTTCTTTTTCACCATTCAAAAAAGCTTCACTTGCAGGATCTGCAGTGATTGTGATGTTCTCAAATATTTGATGTACTGTGTCAGACAAATCACCAAAAAACCACCTCATGCATTCTATACTTAAAAACCTGATAAATACCAACCTCTTATCAATATGATCGTTGCTTATAGCAGACCATGTAAACGATTTATCGTGTGGACTATATGCCAACAATGTCTTAAAAACCTTTTCAATTGCAATTTTCTTTACATTTGGAAAGTTAGTTATAGTTAAAGTATTCACTTGATCCTTTAGTGTCTTGGGAATGAAATCGTCTATATTTATATATTGCACAGCATCATTGTCTATTTCCATCAAATCGTTTTCTTGATCAGATGCATTTGAAATCTCCACATCGTTATATGTTTTTGTTGTAGATGCCTTTTGATTTCTAGAAAGTAATTTATTATTATTAAATTCAATTATGTCTGATACATCTAAACTTTTGTATATTGGAACATATAATGATGGGTTTTTTATTGGTGTTGATTTATCTGGAGAAGTAATCAGATTATGTCCTGGGAAAGCCTTAAGTATAGAGAATAGCTTTTTATTATTATTCAGTGAAACTGTAAACGGTTCCACCGAAGTTAACGAATCATTATGACTATTCCTTGTATTTATCATATCTATACCCAATGTAGTTATTGATATATTGAATGAAAACTAATTTATTTGATGTATACAATTTTTTGTGTCATCTTAGAACTGCATTTTATTTTCAACTATTTTGCATTATTATGATGGAAGGAAGTGAACAGCTCATATTACTCGTTAAATATGTTTAGTAAAAGCTTTAGATTACCATCTGATGCTATAGAGAGATGCAGTAGACCGGTAAGTTCGATAACTGAAGCCCAATCGTTGTCTCAGGAACACAATCTACTTGCAGATCAAGACTCCGAAAAATTATCAACAAGGACGTCCAGAACTTCATACGTTGATACCTGGAAGGTGCAAGAGCAAGACATTAATGAAAATCCGAATGATATCAGTAAATGGGACTTACTATTCAAATCGTTCGATGATAAATTTGAAGAATTATACGATGAACAAAATGTGGAAAGTATAAATGATGAGTTCAAGAAGTTTGTCTATCGAAGCTACTCGGAATTGCTACATCGGTTCCCATATCTAACAAATTATTGGAAGGATTTCCTGATCTTTGAATATAAATTGAATGGGGCAGACGCTTCCATTAATGTCTTGAGTAAATCAGTAGATAATTTTCCACATTCTATTGATTTGTGGACCGACTATATGAGTGCTCTAATTACTCAGTATGAAGGAACATCTGAAACGTCTAAGCAAAAAGAACAAATAGACTTCATAAGAATACAATTTGACAAAGCACTTGCATATAATGGGCAACATTTTTTATCACATCCATTATGGGATAAACTACTAGAATTCGAAACTTCAATAAATGGTGAGAACGAAGAAATAAGTAGAGAAATATTTCTTTCTTGCTTAAAGGTTATTAGAATTCCTTTATATCAATATGCACAGTATTACAAGAAATTCATGGAAATTAATAAGAGGTTTTCAATTAACGATATATTTTCCATGGAGCAAGACAAGGATTTGTTGATCGAGGAATATTTGGATAGGTTCAATAAAAGTTCTATTGAAGAGTTGTCTTTAATCGAAGAACACCAGATTATTGATGATTATTCATACAAGATTTTTACAAAGACCCAGGCCAAAGTGAATGAAAAATGGATATATGAATCAGCTATAACAGTAACTGAATTTTCATTACAAAATTATAACCAAATTGAGGAAGAATCGAAGAAGTGGATGAATTATTTAAATCATGAAATTGAGAATTATAGATCGTTAGAAAATGAAAATAAAGATAAATCAAGGCAATATGAGTATGTTATTAACATTTTTGAGAGATCGCTCATTCCACTTTGTTTAAATGGTAATGTTTGGTTGAAGTATTTGGCATTTATAAACTCACTGCATTTCAAAAGCGAAATTAAGTATGAAAAAATGAAGGCAATCTACGATTTGGCAATTAATAGATTTGTTCCCTTAGACGACAACTATATTAGATTCAGCTATGGAATATTCTTCATGAAGTACAATAAATTTGACCTAAGCAATGAATTATTTTTTGAACTCATAAAATTGTTTGGTGCGTCAGGAAGTTCGAAGGTATACCAGAAAAACGATTATTTAGAAGCCGTTTCTTCTTTAATAAAACTTTGGTCTCAAATATTAGATGAGAGTAAAACAACAAATGTACTAGAGGAATTAATAGACAATTATTTTGAAAAAGCTGATCGGTATTCAAAAAGGCCTGGCGCTGCTGAATCGAACAAGGAAAAGGATGAAAACTCAAAGGAGTTTACATTCGACGATAGTTACGTTAAAATTTTGGAAAAACTCCTAAATGATGAATCGATATGCGTAATAATAGATTTTTATCTTAACTATTTAATGAAATATCTCACCCCATCAACGCATATTAAGATTAGGAAGTTCTTCAATCGATATTATAAGGAATCAGCATTACAAAAATCAGTCAAGTTTTGGAAGTTTTTTATTGAATTTGAAGGATTGGTACATCATAATATGATAAACTTAAAAAAAATCGTTAGGCATATACAATACAATACTCAATTACCTAAATCGATCTTGGATAGTTTGATCGATTTAAATTACGATATAGTTAGTTCAAATGTGTCTGAAATCTTTGATACTAATGCTAATACCGGAAGAAGCGATGATACTCTAATAATGTATGACAATGATGTATCTGAGTCATTGATAGTGAATTCGTCAGCAAGGAAGCGCTTGTCTAATAATAATTATTTGATTCAAGAATTAGAAGAAATGAAAATTGCTAAATCTCAAAATAAATACGAGTCGGGCCAACCTTTGGTTAATAGAGAAGAGGAGTTGTTAAAGATAATCAGAAAGCATGCAGACCATCCAGGTATTATTGTAGATCATACTCCAGAAATATCTAACAAGATAATGAGTCAAGGAAATTGGATATCTTTGGATAAGGACGTCGTAGAAGTGCCAAACTTCCCTACTTTTAAAAATGTAGAGAAAGCCAGTTTACCAGTTGTATACCCACCGAATGATATATAGTTATAATTCAAATTTATTCTTTAATTGTAAATAAATACCGCTAACTATAAAATATCGTTTTGACGTCCAATAACCATTAAATCATTCCTTACGTTTGCTCTCAACGTACATCTATTATTGCCGTAAGTTTCCAATATAGTAAGTTTTGAGCAATTATCACTAATAAAGTTCAAAATTTCATCATCAACAGCTCTAACAAATCCAATGTCTAATGTTGTTAATAACGGAAAATTTATCCTACTATAAAAATTCGTTATTCCATTTCTGTTATTCTCTTCATCAGAGCGAGCTGGCGCAATACGCTGTGAAGAATTATCAATGGAATCTTTCAAAGCAATTTTCAGAGGATGATGGTCATCAGTAAATATTTGAAACAAAAAGTCTTTGTCAACATTATATATAGAATTCAAGCTGAGCTCAACTAAAGTTTGAGCAGAATAATTAAGCAAGGAATGTATTGCGTTGTTTCCTAATCCAGTGCATTTAGTTAACTGAACATTGATCAAGCCACCACTATTAACCTTTGAATAGTCTCGAAAAGCTGCCGCAAACCCTTCATCGGTTAACTGGTCCAATAATTTCAAAGATAAATGAGTTAAATTTGGGCAAAACCTAACAACTCCTTCTGATAAAAACCGGTCAGTCAAATTTGAACAGCCATCGACGTTTAAGCTAGTTAAGCTCTCACCTGTAATAGATAGAATGTTTATTAATAAATCGTCAGTAATTAATTCTTCCTTGTATGGGTATGATATTTCCAAGCTTGTCAAAGTTGATGTCAGAAGGTAATGAGGAATTAAATCATAAACAGGAGCAGAATCTAGACCATCTAATCTAGAGAGCTTTAGTTTTGTTAATTTTGACCCACAATTTTCAAGTAAACTTATCAACGAGTCATTACCAAATCTATGGGTATTCCTTATTTCAAATTTTGATAATCTTGAACCACCATTCTCAAAATATTCCTGCCACATGGCATCGCTTATCAAAAACGGACCATTTAGAGATAAATCGGCCAAATGTGGAAGATTTGAATCAAAATATTTTAAATTGTCATTATGAAAGTGTCCACACATGAAAAGAGTAAGGGATTCTAAATTAGGGCAATAAGATGCAATCTTATTTAATGAATCTGAGTCGACATTCGAACAGTCCCAAAATTCCAACTCTTTCAACCCAGCATGCAAAAATAATGTCATGGTTGAATTGTTTAGTGATCGATTTTTTGATAAGATCATTGAAATCTTATTCATATTAGTCTGGCCAATGTCACCTAATGCATCGACATCATCAATATTCTGTGTAATCTTCTTGATACAAATATCTTGCAACGTTGGCATTTGGACAGAGGATTTATCTAACAACGCTTGGGCAACCTTCTTTCTCTTTTTTCGGGCATTAAGTTGATTTCTACGAGCTATTTTCTCACGTTGCTTCAAGTTTTCATTACATGCTTCACATAAATAACCCTTTCTAGCCCTATCATATCGAGAATAAACCGTCATATTGAAAATTTTGCCGCAATCTACGCAATTATCTTCCTCTCCAAATTTCTTAAAGCCATTTCCCCTAACATCATCATCGCTATAATCCTTATCATCGTCATCATCGCTGTCGCTTTCACTTGGAAAACCGCCTCCCAGACGCCGATTAGCAGCCTTCCTTTTCCTTCTTGCAGCTTGCCGTATCGCTCTTTCCTCTTCGTCTTCCTCTTCATTCACAATATTTTCATGAATATCCAACCTCGATGATGGCAAAGGGATTTCACTTTCTTCAGTATCGTTTCTATCCGTAGGTGATTGTTCTCTAGATGCAGAATCGTCTCTTTCTTGTCTTCTCCTAAACGCATCTGTAATACCCTCAACTCTCAAAAACTCAGTTAAAGCTGAGTTTGGGCCACGTACCCCTGTCAGAGTTCTATTAGACCTTCTGGCCATAGTTTAAAGCAATATTCTATGTAGAAAAAGGGTGTAAATTGTGAAAATCTATCATCAGAATATCTATTAATGAGTAGTGTACTTCGCTTTCTCGATCTAGCGCCCGAAGAAATTGCCACTTTATTTCATTTCCTAATTATCATCTCTATATACAATAACTGATTAGATAGTTGTAGTATTAGCAACTGTATTGAAGAGGGACAATTAATTCAGCATGCAAATTATTTTCAAGGATTTTAAAAAGCAGAAGGTTCCAATTGAAGTGGATCTTTCTGACACAGTATGTACTCAACACTTGAATCTCTTGAAAACATATTAATATTTTTAGACATTTGCTAACATATCGACAGGTTTTGGCTACTAAAGAAAAGCTTGCTTCTGAAAAGGATTGTGAAGTATCTCAATTGAAGTTTGTTTATTCTGGTAAGGTTTTACAAGATGATAAAACATTAGAATCGTTCAAGATTAAGGAGGGAGACTCGATCATCTTTATGATTTCTAAGGCAAAGAAAGCCAGTCCAGCACCGGTACCAGCAAAAGCAGAAGAAAAGACTAGCACAGATGCTAGTGGTACTACCGATAGCACTAATACTAGTGGTACTTCAACTACAGCTGCTGGAGCTTCGACGAACCAGCAAAACTCGGAACCAGGTTCAGCATTCACTCAAGGTGATGATAGAGAAGCAACGATTCAGAACATCATGGAAATGGGATATGAAAGACCCCAAATTGAAGAAGCTTTAAGAGCAGCATTTAATAATCCACATCGTGCGGTTGAATACTTGTTGACTGGTATACCTGAATCTTTACAACGCCACGCAGAACAACCAGCATCAGCACCGGTCGGTGAATCCACAGCAAATACTACTAATGATCATGAGGATGATCATGAAAACGAAGGTGAAGAAGGACACGGGGAAAACTTATTTGAAGCAGCAGCGGCAGCAGCAGCTCAAGGAGAAGGTGGGGATGCAGCAGGTGGTGTAGGCGGCGCCGAATCCGGTGCTGACGAACTAGGTGAAGACAATCAGATGCGTTTATTAAGAACTGCTTTGCAAACAAACCCAGAGTTGATCCAGCCTTTGTTAGAGCAATTAGCAGCATCTAATCCACAAGTGGCAGCCTTGATCCAACAAGATCCAGAAGGCTTTATCAGAAGCTTTTTAGGAAGTGGCGATGACATGGGGTTTGAATTTGAAGAAGGTGAAGGTGAAGGCGCCGAAGGTGCTGGTCAAGGAAACGAACCGGAAACTGTTCGTATTGCAATGACAGAACAAGACGAAAGTGCTATAAATAGGTTATGTGAGTTGGGATTCGACCGTAACTTAGTGATCCAAGTTTACATGGCTTGTGATAAAAATGAGGAAGTGGCTGCTGATATTTTGTTTAGAGATATGTAAGAGATATTTTGTACATTAGTAGTTTATAAAAGTAATACATAAACGTTAGCTAAGCACATTTCTCAAACCGTTTTACACTTTCAAGTCCTTGAAAGTTTCGATAATGCTTAACGATTGCTTGTCCTCTTTAGTCAATGGCGCATTTCCCGGTTTGTGGACAACTACGCTGTTCATACCTGCCTTAATCGCAGCATCAACTTCTTTAATATTGTCACTCAAAAATAACACACCAGATGGTTTCTTTTCATAACCAATATCCTTTAAAATACTCACATATGAGCTCGAATCATGCTTGAAACCAGAAGTCGTAATATCGTAGTAACCTGAAAGATAACGATTCAAATCGACTGAAGATCCACTAGCATCTTTGACATGGCCGAAAAGCAAAATCTGCGCCTTGATACTACCAGATGAGTATATGTAGATCTTTTTGGACTTACATAAACCGCTTATGAACTCAATAGCATCATCATAGACAGGTGCCATCAATTCTCCGTTCTCATAGCCCAATTTCCAGATGAGCCCTTGAAACGATTTCAAGACTGGATCTTTAATATCGTTATTGACCAATGATGTCACATATTCGAGCAAATTGTCATAAGACTGTCTAGCATCCTCAGGAAACTGGCTGCATATCTCTTCAACCTGTGAATTGGTTTTGGATTTGACTGGATATGTTAAAGCTGATAATTCCAGTGGTAATTTTTCAAGAAAATAAGGGAACAAAGTGGTTTTAACGAATGATATAGGGCATACTGTCCCTTCAATATCTAAAATAACAACTTCAATTGGGGTTGCAAAGCTAACAGGCATAGTTTTGTACCATGAATCTATATATATATGAATCTATATAGTATCTTTCAGTTAATTGTAAGATTTCATCCTGTATATGAAATATAGGTATCATCATCATGAAATCCCATAGAGTAGACAAACAGCAATATATATACAGACAAGTATGGAGAATATGAATCGAAAGAAACTATTTGACGAAGATAGTAATTATATAGTCGAAGATCATATCCGTTCGTTTGCCAAGGCCTTAGCTTGGGAAGAGCAATATGAAAATATCGAGAATGAAAAGTCTGCAACTCCATCTGATAAAGAATTTCAAGATAGTACCACTATACAGAGAGATACAGAAGAAATAGATGAGGTAGGAGCAGATATGCTTTCGAGTACATTGAAAGGTACACATAGGCCGGACTTGATTTCTTCCAAGAGCGATTGGTGGCCAATTAATACTAGCAAATCTATACCAAAGACAAAGATAAGGAACAAGAGTAAAAAAAAGTCTAATGGGAGTGAAGGTCACTCCAAAATAACGAACGAATTTCGGTCGAGTGCATCATATACGATGCTTAGATGGCCTATTCTTATATTTATTCTGTCATGGATTTCGTTATTATGCTTTATGTATGTTATCGTAAGAGCGTACGTTGCGCTACTGGAATACTTCTTGACATGGGTGGGTAAACGTAAAGACTTGAGAGACAAACTAAGAGCCTCAAAGAGCTACGATGAGTGGGTTCAAAATGCATTGGAATTAGATAGATTTTTGAATCTTGACAAGTGGTCTGAAAATCCTAAATTCTCTTACTATGATTATAAAACCGTCGAACTCACCATATCCAAACTAGCATCTTTAAGAGAAGAGGGGCGTGATAATGATTTAATGGTGATATTGCAAGGATGTATTAAAAAGAACTTCGCTGGCATTGAAAACAGACAGTTGTATTCACATAGATACTATGGGACAAAACATTTGGTAGAAAAGTACATTGATGAAGTCATTGTATGTATTGATAAGGTAATAGTGTCCGAGAATATCAGTTTTAGTGACAAGCGGAAGTTTTTTAGAACTGTACTGAAGAACTATGGTAAAACAGCGTTGTGTTTAAGTGGAGGTGCTTGTTTCACATATACTCATTTTGGGATCGTAAAAGCACTTCTTGATAATGATTTGTTGCCTTCAATAATTTCAGGTACATCTGGTGGAGGTTTGATAGCAGCATTATCGTGCACAAGGACTGATGATGAATTGAAGAAATTACTAGTACCCGAATTGGCCAGAAAAATTACGGCTTGTGAAGATCCTTGGTATGTGTGGATTCCTAGATGGTGGAAGACGGGTGCTAGATTTGATTCTCTTGCTTGGGCAAGAAAGGCAAATTTCTTCACTAGGGGCTCTACAACATTCTATGAATCTTTTAAAAGAACGGGAAGAAGACTTAATATCTCTACGGTGCCTTCAAATCCTCATTCTCCAGTGATTTTATGTAACAATATCACATCTCCAAATTGTATAATTTGGTCGTCGCTTTTAGCATCATCCGCTGTTCCAGGAATTTTGAACCCAGTTGTCCTTTTGATGAAAGATTTGAAAACTGATCGTGTTGTTCCATTTTCGTTAGGAAGCAAATGGAGAGATGGATCATTACGTACAGATATTCCAATTGATGCTTTAAATACATACTATAATGTCAACTTTTCTATTGTGTCACAGGTTAATCCACATATTCTGTTGTTCTTTTTTGCACCTAAAGGAACAGTGGGAAGACCAGTAGCAATACCACGTCGTAAGACACATAAGGAAAAATATGCATCATTACGTGGTGGGTTTATTGCGACAGCCTTAGAACAATTATTCAAGTTGGAAATAACCAAATGGTTGCAGATGGTTAAAAGCCTTGATTTATTGCCTCACTTGTTAGAACAAGATTGGCTGAATATTTGGTTACAGAGGTTTTCTGGTTCTATTACAATTTGGCCAAGAAACAGATTGAAAGATTTTTGGTACATATTAAGTGACCCAACTGAAGAGAGATTGGCCGAAATGCTTTCGAAAGGGGAAAGAGCGATGTACCCAAGGATATTATTTGTTAAACATAGACTAAGCATAGAGAAAGCTATAGAGAAAGGGAGAAAGCTAACAAAGTTATCAGCTAACTTCAATACCATGACATCGTCTGTTAGTCCCGAAACAGAATTATCTCCAACACTGGCTGAGGTTCAAGCTGCCACTTTCGATGATGATGAATATGAAAGTGATTCAAGTGATGATGAGATCTTGAGCTTTGAAAAGGAGAAGCATATTGCCAATACGCAAGACTGTGACGGTGAGAACGAAGAAGACAATGCTGATGAATATTATGATGATGATGACTACGGAATATCCACGGGAGATGAGGCCAATGACGAAAATACTGGAAACACTCTGGAAGAGCAAGAAAGTACAAGTTCACATTTCATAAAATCTTTATTAAGACCTAGTTCACGAGACAGTAAATTGCACAGACGGAATACTGTTTTCTGATATAAAATTTTCCAATAGACATCTATTAATATATATATATATCTAACCCGTTGCGAAGTCTTTTCATGCCTGTAATTTTGATCGCTTCGTAAAGGATGCATTTAATTTACTGCAATCTGGAATTTCACCATTTGCATCTATGATATGATCTATATAATCTATAGCTAGGGGTATACTTACATTGTCTATAATTTCCCGTTCCTCCGGCTTATAGTTTGATAATACCCAAGACGACATGGTACTTGTAGTTGCATTCGAAGGCTTTGGCCCGATTCCAATACCCAATTTATACACCCTCAGGTCAGAAGGCTGACGAGATATATATTCCTTTAGAGATCTGACTCCATTGTGCGATTCGTTTTTCTTGAACTGTGATATTCTAACCTTTCCTAGGTCTAAATCAAACTCATCGTAGAGGATAACTAAGACTGCTTGTGCTAGACCTATTCTCTCCTGTTCAATATATTGCTTCAACAGCTTACTTGAATCATTAATGTAGCTATTTGACTTGACTAATGCTAAATTATCAATCTCCGTCATAGAGTACATGGAATTGGACAGAGGTTTCACTAGTTGCTTTGCATCAAAATATTCAATCAATTCTTTCAATACTAAATGTCCCGTAGAGTGTCTATTGATAGGCCCAGGATTTCCAATAGAGAAAATGATGAACTGTTTCTCTGCTATTATTGACATATTGTTTCCCTGCAAGTTAGGCTTATTATGGAAAATACACCGATAGCTGCAATAAACTTGCTTAACATCAAATTGCACAAAAATGTCAAAAAGATATCAACAAAAATATATTTATTCTAAAAAACTCCAATTACATCTAACAAAAGAGAAGCGACAAGGATGACAGATGAAACAATTAAGAGTAAAAACAATGAAGTACTTAATGACATAAATGATAAGGAAACCAATCAACAGATGGTGGATAAAATAGAAGAAGGAATTAATGAAGATTACAATAAGAACCAAGAAGATGAGAATAAGAATGCCAGACGAATAGATGATGAAACAAACATCCAACCAGAGGAGGATATCAATTCTAATACAGAAATGGACGACGGCTTTGAGAATGTTATTGAAATCGAGAGTGGTGTAGCAGCCGAAGACGATGATGACGATAGTGATTTTGGATCATTTGATGACGCTTCATTTACAGAATTAGAAGAGCCTGAAGAAGTTAACTCAGTAGAAAACGTAGAGAACAAGATTTCTAGTGGATATGTAAGTTTTAGTGAGGAAGTGCTTAACAACTCAACGTTATTTGAAAAATCCTTGCATGAAACAATGAATAGCTTATTTACGAATATAAGTCATATTCAAGACCATGATCATGATACCCACGAGAATACGTTATTGACAGAAAGATCAAGTCAAATATATAACGAATTGTCTCAAATTCCACATTTGCAACCTCCAAATTGGATTAAACTGAATGTCCGCCACAATTTGTTGATCAAATTGGGTGTTCCAATTAATTTGGATGAGATAAAGGAAGAAAATTTGCTACAAGCTCCAAAAGTACCACGGAGAAAGTCTATTAATGAAGAAGATATTAAATGGGAAGGCTTTGACATACCAGCATTTGAAGATTTGAAAGTTTCACCTGATCAAAAGACAGATTTATTGAATAAAACTACAGAAATCTTATCAACTATTGAAACTGACAATTTAAATAATTCATCTCATCAGTTCTTGGAATCTTCGACTTCAGAAAGCTTGCGAGAAAAATTGAAACAGTACAATGATAATTATAATCAATTAATTGAGTTGAGTAGCGTTTGGAACAAGCAATTGGATGATCAAAAACAGAATAACGAAGTGTACGAATCTGTCATACAAAATTTAATTGGATACAGCCAAAAATTAAAGAGAGAGGAAATATTGGCACATTTGAAGAAAATCAAACTGAAATCTAAAAGCAAGAAGTCGTTTTGGAAATAAATCATATCATATTATTACAAATACAAATAAATAAGTATATACTATAGAATTTCTTTGTTAAGTTGAATCAAATATAAGGTAATATATATTCTATATTATTAACCTTGAATATTAAAAAGCGATGAAAGGTCATCATCTAAGAAATTGTTTCCCGTAGCAGCGGATTGTAAATTCATATTAATGTATGAGCTGTCCATAAAATTTGTATCTAACATGGACCCACCAAGAGACTGATACATATTTGTCTGGTCATTCTCATTTGCCTGATCAAAACTACCTTCATTGATATCTTGGACTGTTGATGGCGACTGTGCTCTTGTCGGAGGTAAACTGAATTTAACATCTGGAAACAACTGAGTTGGCTCAAAGTTTTCAAAAAAATTCTGATTCGTTGGTAAGTTCTCTGTAACTAACGATATATCTGGGAAAGATTGGTTTGACGATGTTGGTGACGTTTCTCCAGTCTTAACTTTTGGAGGAGATAACATATCAGATTTATTATTATTATTAACATTTTGTTTAGGATGTTTAATTCGTTGAACCAATTGTTCAATATTTGGTTGACTTCCCGCCTCCTTATTTAAAGTGTTTCCAGGGGAGACACCAGAGGATATCAGATGATTAGGAGATGGTCTATTGCCATAAGACAAAGGTGAGCCATCATTATTTGCAATAATATCGTTCTCAATTTTAGTGCTGTCTTCACTACAGTAGTAGTTATTCAAATTACTTTCAGAAGACATCGTCTTTTGGTCGGCGTGTAATTCTTGTAATTCGGCGATTTTTGAACCTGTTTCGATAAGCTTTGCCCTTTTCATTTTATCATTGGCATATTTATCAAAGAGCTTCATAAGAACATTTGCAATTGGCCAGTGCTTGGCTAATTCTTTCATTACAGCCCTTGAAACAAATAATGAATCTGAAGCAGTAGATGCAATAACATGGTTAGGGGAATCAATATGATAGATCAACATCACTAAAGCCGTGAAAACAATATAAATAAACATAACAGGACAATATTTGATAAGATTTCTATCCAATAGGATTTTGGAAACTATTGAAATCATTCTAGCAGCTTGGAAGGAAATACCCCAAGAAGGATATTTATAGTTATTTGGATTTGTTGAGTTTGACTTTGCCATTCTTAATAAGTTCGATCTATGAATTAAGTATAAACGATTATAATATTGCGCATTCAAGAAACAACTGTAGAAATTGTGTGTCGAAGTATCTTTCAATGAAAATACCAATTGGGGAGGTAAATTTGCAAACCAAATACCCATCAACATGTCACAATGTTGAACGATGGAAAACTTGTTCTTTGTTTTCATCAGTTGTGCCTTGACTGTATACTGATATTTGATAATTATTCCTGTAATTTCCGCCAATTTAACCAAGTGTATGATATATAAGGCTTGAGTTTCATTCACAGGGTAAGGTGATTTATAATCCGGCTCATCTTCATTGAAATCTTCAACTGTAAGCATTGGAACATCACAATCGTTAAGGTCTATAACCAACGGTCTACCATAGGCAATGGACACGTTACGGTCTTTTTCAAATAAACACCACCAAATTCTTCTCCATACTTTTTTATCAGTCTCGCTCATATTTGGAGAACTACTAATATCCCTTTGAAAACCAAAACCTTGGGCCAAACCTACGGCCACTCTGGTCCAATAAAACGAGTTCTTTGTAACATCTTCTGGTCCTTCACCGTATGAACCAATTAAAATTAAAGTTTGTATAATCGAGGTTGGGTCACTTTCATAGTTAGCTTCGTATAATGCCTTGGCTCTTCTAAAGAAGGTCAATGACGCTAAATTATTAGAGCCTTTAGAATCGAGCAACAATGGATTTTGGGAAATCCTACATCCACAAAGTAGCACTGCTTGAAGGACCATTAAGGACGGGTTATTTTCTGGGTCGTTGAACTTTCTCATAAATTCAGTTCGGTTGATGACTGGCATCAATGGATGAACATGTTCAAAATATGAATCAATCAAATCTAAACAAAGTTCATGGGATGGTAGAAGGAAAGCGCCTCGTAACTTCAAAATCTCCAATTCTGCTGAGTCAAGCGATTCTTCTGTAGAATCAAAAACATCCTCAGTTAGCTGAACATGATTCTGTCCCACTTTCTGTGCAACTTGTGCAATTGACGAAGACCCCAAAAACGTCAACGCAGCTTTACCTTTTCCATTGTTCAACTCCTTTTTGTGCATGGATGGCCTTGTTTTGTAATTTGATGTTAAAGATGGCGGAACACTTACTTGTGAAATATTCAATACCGGTTCAATAGTCGATGTAGTGCCGTGAGACTCCGCCGTTAACGAGGCAAGATTGCTTATACTAGGATTCACTGCTGCATTCTTGTTTTCCAATTTAACACTCGAGCTCATTGATGACTGAGTTCCTGCTTCTTTGTCATTGGTTTTATTTCTCTTTGCTTTTGATTCTGCCGATACATTGCCCCTCTTTTTAGCTTCAGGTAATGTACATTCACATCCAAAAGTTATACAGTTGGTACATGGAATATGAATTTCAGCATCACATCTAACCTTTCTTGATCTGCAAACAACACATGCTCGCGACCCCCTTGGTCTTTTATATTTAATCGTAAAGGCTTTTGGTTTTTCTTGATTATTATTGTTATCATTATTATTACTATTCTTTGGGTTCTGGGTTGAACCACTTTTAGCAACTCCATTTGTATCATCACCAGCAGAACCTACCACATCCGCGGTATTATCTTGTCTTTCTTTCTTAACTTTACTGGCCATGATAGATTAAGTTAATTGATTAGTATAATCCTTCACTAAATCCTCCACTAAATATCCAATTACTGGGGAATAGTTTTCGCAAAAAAAAAAAATTCCGCGATTTGTTGTCTATATAGTTAGTAATCTACTAAATTTCAGTTCGGTTAGCATTATCGAACTTGCATATATAATATATATCTATGTATAATTATCAAATATATCGTACATTTCTTAGATAGTTACAAGTTATTATACATATCGGGAAAAAATGAATAGGTCGGAATACGAAATTGTAGCATTGTCTACAATAAAATATGATACCAGATTAAATATTATAAGTATTCCAGTTGACACCGCTATTAACGTTTAGGAAGTACTGACTATCCAAGACCGCATTGTCTTGGAAATCGAGAGAGCTAGATTGTTGTGCAGGCGGTGGATATGGATACATAGGCGCATCAGGGGCCGTAGGATAAAGTGGAATATTTTCAGTACCGAAAGATGCCGCAGATGTATGCACCGGGGTGGTAGTTGATGCATTTGAATTTGCAACGAAGCCAGGAAAGCCTTCTGAAAATAGCTGATGATCGGAAACAGAGTTGTGTGGTCGTGTGTTATTTGCATCATTTGATGGCTGTAGCTGTACATTAGATGGCCCGGAATGTGAGTGGAATTGCTGTTGGGGGTTTATTTTTGATGAAGGAGGAGATTGCACCGGGGTTGGCGTAGGCGAAATAGTGTGGATCTTTGCTGTGTCCTTAGGGAACAATTGTGTAGCACTAAATGCTTTGTAAAAATCGGAATCTACTGGTGGAAGCTCAATAGTTACTATGTTGTGCATAGGCAAACTCAAGTCTTCATCGTCATGGTCATAACCATGGTCCCCGTTACTTGAAATATCAGAAACATCAGGATTGGCTCGATCATCAGATTCGTTTAGCATAAAGTTCAAATCAAATGTTTTCAGATGTCTCAGATGATCTGACTTTCCTCTTTCTTCGTCTGATTTGAAATCTTCACACGCTTTGACCAATACGGCTTTAGCCCTTGAAACCATATCATCTTTTTTATCTTCTTTGTTCAATCTCTCTGTAAAAAATGTAACTAACAGATAAGCAACACCTGGCCATGAAGCATGGAATTGTTTTGAAAATTTTAAGCATATATGCATTTGTTTTGATGCAGTTTGAGCAACAATTCTATTGGTAGAGTCGGTGTGAAACGATAGGATAATCATTGCCATGGACATGGTATACACCAACAGAGGCGACAACATCAATTTCTCTCCTGTACTCATTCTATCACTTAAATATTGAGCGATGAGTGATGTCATATATGCTGCTTGAAATGAAATTCCCCAATACTTATTATTGTCCTCCTGGGTGGTAATTAGCTTCACCCTATTGATATGGTAAAGTGTAATATAATATAAGGGTCCTAATAAACAAGAAAACGCATTCATAGATTTAGGATCATTAGCGGTGAATTTGAGTTCAGATGGTAAGTTCTTGAAGAATATACCCATTAATAAATTTAGTTGTTTAACTACCTTCGTATTTCTAGACATGGCGACTTCAGTATTGTGAGGATGTCTAGTCTGATACTGCTCTTTTATTACCAAGTCCAAAATTTCAGATAGATAGATTATATGGATAAAATATTCTGCAAGAAGTCTATCTCGTTTATTCTCCACTGACCAATTTTCTGATTCGTACTTTTCAAAATCTTTCATAGAAGGCACACCACAAGATGTCTCATGTATGTCAATTGTTAAGGGTCTTCCAAAACTCATTGCCGCAGATTTATCTCTGCAATATAACCACCACCATATCTTTTTCCAATTGAATATCTGTTGATGAATTTTATAGATTTGTTGTTCGTTGTTGTTGTACTTGTGCAATAAATCTTGAACAAAAGGTGCTTCCGCCATATTAGTATGAAATCCGAATGTCTGAGCAATAGTAATAGCATTTCTGATCCAAAAATATATACCCCTAGATATATCTTCAGGATCAACCCAATGCCACGATAATAAACAAGAAACTTGTACTAACATTGTTGGATAGTTAAAAGCTAAATGTCCATCGTCGTCGTCACCATCACCAACGTATTCAAATTTTACCGTGGAATCATATAACGCCTTAACCCTTTGATAAAATGCAAAGCTTGCAGCCGAACTACTATTATGCGAGTTAACTATCGCTGGATGCTGTGAATATTTTGATCCTGCCAAAAGTATTGCCTGTATCAATATTAGAGGAGGTTGCTTGTCTGGATTTGGATCATTAAAATGATTCATGAAGATATCTTTATTAATTAAAGGAATCAGCGGATATATGGCATCAAAGAACGCTTCAAATATGTTTAGAATGACTGGCCTGGAAGGTAAACTGAATGCTCCCTTTATATTCAATACTTGTAATTCTGTAATAATCTCTCTTGGATCAATACTGGATGACTTATTATATCCCAACTCGACAATATTTTTGTTATGTTTTTCTTCATTTCCCTTGAAGCGCCAATCATCTGCAAAATATGAATAACAAGATGTAGGTCCCAAATATAAGTATTTACTCAACTTTCTCCTAGGAGCCACTTTCACTCCATTATTAGACGGAGTGTTCATATCAGATGGATTATACTGGGGCATGACATTTCTGACAGATATGTTAGTTAGTGGGTCATTGGGAATATATGAGGGTGTATTGATATTCTCAAGCTTATTCGCTGGATGTTGTAGCCAAGGTTGACCTTGCAGTTGTATCGACAGAGACGGCACATACAGTTGATTAATTAGTGGAGCAGTATATGACTGATTTGAGGGTGCAACATACTGCTGATTTGGTGCCATACCTAACATATGATTACTATTCTGTGCCTGTGGTCGTATTTGCTGCATATTATGGTCTTGTACCATCGGTGTGAATTGTTGTGCTTGTTGTTGCACTTGCACGGGTAATATATGCTGGTGATGCATCTGATTCAAATGATTAACTTGATTACCTGGCTGCACCTGATATGACTGTGGAACTGGTATATTGGTTCCTTCGTTATACGTATTGTGTAGTCCAATAGTTGAATAATTATTTGTTTGGATAGAGTTACCATAAGTATTAACTATGGGTAAATGATTTTCCCTGTCGTCCATTTGTACCGAAGGACTACCAGGTTGAGGTGAGTTGGATGCAATATTACTGCCCTTCTTTCTTCTAGGTTCAGGAAACCTGCAATCCGATCCAAATGAAATACAATTCGAACAAGGCATCTGTGTTTCTGCATCACATCTGACCTTCCTTAATCGACAAACTGTACAAGCTCTGGAGCCTCGAGGTTTTCTAAACTTCCAGCCACCTTTGTTAGCCATATTTACTTCCAATTAGCTTGAATCCGATGCTTAGTATTCAATTTAACACGGTACTTATATTAGTGCTATTATTTTTTATGATACCGTCATCATCACCTGATTGAGACAATTTTGAGAATTGATTTTATATTGTAGATAATATGGATTCATTATATATCAAGATGATCAATTGGAAGCTTGTTCTAAAATCAAGTGCTGCTATAGTATCAGCTTTAATAATTCTTAAACAGATTCATGATCAGATAAATTATAGTAAAAAAAAGCTTACTTCCTTGTCCCCTAGGTCCAGGGGTGTTGAATCTTTAATTGGAAATACTCCGATGATTGAGATCAAATCGTTATCAAAACTTACAGGATGCAAGATCTATGCCAAGTTGGAATTAATGAACCCCGCTGGGAGTGCTAAGGATCGTGTGGCATTGTCAATTATAAGAGCAAACGAAAAACTTGGAAAATTGAAGCCAAATCATGGGGACGTCATATTTGAAGGTACTTCAGGATCGACTGGAATATCGTTTGCGGTTTTAGCCAATGCTTTAGGATACAAGGCACATATATGTCTTCCAGATGATACTTCACCTGAAAAAATGCAATTATTAAAGTCATTGGGGGCAGAGTTGGAGCCTGTAAAACCTGCATCTATAGTGGATCCCAACCAGTATACAAATGCTGCCAGGTACGGGGCACAGAAAATCAACGAAGATAAGTCTAACAGTAAGAATGCTATATTTGCGGATCAATTTGAGAACGATTTCAATTGGCGGATACACTACAGCTCTACAGGGCCAGAAATTTGGGAACAGATGGAAGGAAATGTTGATGTGTTTATAAACGGCTCTGGTACTGGAGGAACAATTGCTGGTGTCTCCAAGTATTTAAAAGAAAAAAATGAGAGTATAAAGATAATATTGGCAGATCCCCAGGGCTCTGGATTAGCCAATAGAGTAAACTATGGTGTGATGTATGATTCGGTGGAAAGGGAAGGGACGAGAAGAAGACATCAGGTAGATACTTTAGTCGAAGGTATTGGATTAAATAGGTTGACTTGGAATTTTCAACAGGGCGAGCATAATATCGAAGAAGCAATTAGAGTTCGTGATGAACAAGCGTTGAAAATGGCAAAATTTTTGTGTATTAATGATGGACTATTCTGGGGTTCTTCTTCCGCAATAAATTGTGTTGCTGCAGTTAAAACTGCTTTCAAATATGGTCCAGGACAAAAAATAGTGATAATCGCTTGTGATTCGGGGGCAAGACACTTATCCAAATTTTGGAAAGAAGCTGCTGAATTGCCTAATGATATTACATTACAGGATATTATAGGAGATAATAAATTGCCTTGAGTTCATTAATCTCTATATAAAGAATTCTATTATTTCCGCAAAGACTCAGCTATCAAACGTTTTCTTGTTTCTCGATATAATTTAAGTATACTTAAAGAAGAAGCACTTATTCCCATCCATATTTGTAGGGTATCAAATGGTAATGCCAACTTAAACACAGTGTAAGTGTTAAAAACAAGATCAGATAACCATTTGTAAATATCAATGTAAGAGTTGTACTTTTTGAATTGAATTTCCTTTAAAAGCTGAGTGTCTTTCGTGTCATCTTCGTGAGAAAGCCCTTCAATTGAACCAGCGCCCAACAATTGTTTTGATAATTGTCGAGCTTTACTTTTCACTTGTATTTGAATTTTCAAGTCCATTTCTTGTTGGCTGAATTTTTGCAATCTAGCATAAGCATTATAGATACCAAGCAAAGTTTCATAGTACCATGCTAAAGACTCATGTCTTGAAATAATCTTACGAAGATCTTTATTTCTGAAGAAGTTCATTTTAAATAATAACCCAGCTTCATCAAATACACTATAGTATAACGATAATATATCACCCAAAACATCCTTTGTACAATACTTACCGAGGCTCGACACATCTATTGTGTAATCACCCGATTTCGAAGCACTTAATGTTCTTGCTCCTAGCTTATTTTTTAAACGACGGAGTCTGAATGGAGACTGGCCAAACCTAAGAAATTGTCTGAACAATGATAAACCGCCAGCAGTACCGCTCAACCTGGATCTGAATATCGAACATGCCAATATGACTATTATTTTAATAAAGTCCTGAGGGTGGTGTATAAAGTTCCGAAGCAAATTTAACTTCTTTTCTTTATTATTGTATCTTGTATTTATAATATTTATATTGATATACCCGTCACTGAGGTAATCTTGAGTTTGTTTGGCATGGTGGAGTAAAAGCCTCAAAGTAAACTGGCCAAACTTAGCCAATTTATCCTTACCGGTAATGTTGTTTAACATTGCCCATAATATATCCATTGATTTGACGTTATGCTGTAAGTCAGGCTCAGGTGATGAAGGCTTGAGTTGCTTGTCATTGAGAATTATAGTATCATATGTCTTGGAATCAGTGACCGGTGTTATAAAAGAAATTGATGCCTTAGGTTTTGATGGTGTTTCAAATTTAGACTTATGGGAAGAGTTTTCATTCTGTGAGGAAGCTATAGTTGCAGTATCTGCCAATATGGTTGTAGACATATCCTGATTATTGAATTTGGTGCGAGATGGCGAGTTGTCTGGAGAATCTACCCACTCAGAATTAAAGGTATGTATTAAGGGACTTGAATTTGGATTCGATGGATATAAGAAATGTCCGTTATATATTGAATTCGATGGTAATGGAGAATTTTTAATATTACTATTATTATTGTTATTATTATTATTATTAGAAGTAGTAGTACTTATATTAGCCTGAGAATCGTTATTAGTAGATTTTTCTTTGGTATATGTAGGATGTAGGTTATTTGAATAAGTCGATTGTCGATTCAGACTATTATCGTTCATTATCTACCATGAAATTAATTTAGAAGATATAATGTTATTATATATTACGTTCCATTGATCGTTAATTTGGGGTGGATGTTTTGTGTCATAAAATGATTTTTGATGTAACCCTGAAACTACAACGTTACATTGAAAAGTGAAATATTACATTGTAATATGGTAAATGAATGAATAATAAATAAATATACACAATGTATATATGCAAAGTGAGAATTGAATGATAAAGAAAATATTCATAGCACATAAATGTTCATGATTTGTTAGACTTTGGAGAATTCGATTCATGATTTTTCAAATTTTCGCTGTTAGGACCCATCATAAAAGCACCGACACTTCCTAAATAACCCTCATGCCTTAAGAAATAAGATTTCATATCACCATGAGACCAGAAGTTAACAGCGTATGATAGAGTATGAATAGTCTGCTTATGTCCTGAAATATAGCTGCCTCCGAAATATATTCTCTTCAAGCCAAATCTTAATGCTTGTAAATACGAGATTTGACCAATGTTATTAGAAATCAGGTATAGTAAGGATCTTGCAATATCCTCTTGCTTAAACTGAGCTAGTTTTTCAGCTGGTGTCAACCTAGGACTTCCATTGAGCATGCCATCTTTGTTCAGGTCATTGTTGAATCTCAATTTTTTAAATACTTTGGCAAAGGAAGACGCGATGTGGCTCGATTTCAAACCTATCTTGTTGTAATTTGATCCATAAATATCACCAACTAACAAGTCGATATTTTCGTTATTACCACGTTGAGCCATTTCTAACATTTCATTATAATCGTTTGCTTCGGTTAATAGAGATAACAAACCCCACAATGTACCTCCACCCAATGAAGAGCCCCCAATTCTTTCAAATCCATTTGGACCTGGACCAGTAACTTTGATCATAGAAACACCGCTTCCAATGTTAACCAAAAGATAAGGATATATTTGTTCGTCATGGGTATATGGGTTGGGGATGAATCTTGTATTGTTTTCTTCCAAATCATATGTGAAGATTTCGTTTGGAATCTTAGTTATCAACCAGTCTAAACCTTTGATAAGACAATGCATTTCGTCTTTAGCTATTATTTTCATTGGAAACTTGTATTTACGAAACGTTTTAGTCATCAATTGGTAGAATTTGTGGGCACCACCACCCGTAGCCATTATGTAGGTAATTGGTGGAACTTCTTTTTTGTGAATGGATTTCTGAATAAGCTTGATCATAAATTTCAATACCTCATTACTGAAATTTTCAGTTTGAAAATCTTTGAAATGTAATTTCCCCCCTCCTTTTCCGTCTCCCCTATGACTTTTTGTAAAATACACAAGCTTAGTTAATGTACCGCCTATATCAACCGAAATATGAATCACTTCGGAATTGTGCTTTGGCAAGGTAATATTTTTTGTGAGATCGTACTCATTGTTCAAATTTGTGGTCGTTAATTCAATTTCTCTGATTTTATTGGAGGAAATGTCAGCCTTCTTCAAATCTGGCGGTAAAGCAGCATTACCTTTAGGTTCATTGCTGCTTTCACTCTCGCCTTCCTTAAACCCATTGAGCTCTCCATCGACGTCTCCATCTGACTCAGAAGAAGAATCTGACGCTTGCGGCGATGGAGTAGTGGATGGGGTCGGTGAATGATACTGTTCTCTCAATAAATGATCATTAGCAATATAAGATCCTGAACAATCAATCTTTATCCTTCCTGGATCAATAAGTTGTAAATCTAGTTCATCGTTGGAATTTGGTTTTACCTGCGTTAATAACCCCATTAAAACTAATTTATTAATAATTCACTGTCCACGTCGATTAAATTTGTGAATTGTTTTTTTTCTTTCAAATCAGTTCGCTTTTGTCACTATTGGTTATACTCCTATACAATTTTCGAGGTCAGAATATCCCTTCAATGAAAAAATGTGCTATTTAGTTCGCTATTTATAACGGTAAGTATCGTATATAATAAACGAAAAAAATTATTGTTGGGACTACACTCTATGTACAGGGAACATAATTTTTCACAAAAAAATCGTTTCAACTGGTTAAACATAGAAATACCTGAAACTGGGGTTATAAATCAGAGAAAATGTCAAGCAAAGAAGACAGCGTCAATGACTTGTCTAGGAAATTGGATAAATCTCAAATTGATACGAGTTCAAAGCTTTTGTCATTGAGAAATCAATACATTCCAGAATCTTATGATTTGCACTTGGACATTAATCATTTGAAGCCAAATTTCAATGGTTTAGTTACAATTGACATTAAAAAAAACGATAAATATCATGGGTCGTTTGATGATTTCAAATTAACATTACATGCGAGTAAACTTATTATTACAAAAGCTGTTTTGGTCGACGGAGAAGACACCACGAACTTAAAAGTGGAATATGACCGAGGTAGACATGAGGTTTCGTTTACAATTAATTCTAACTACGAATGGAAAACTCCAGAAAGGGCAAAAGTTAGCTTGACTTATATGGGTCAAATCAACACCATCAAAACATATAAGGACCAAACAAAGGGGCTCTTTAAGACGAATTATTTGGATTCTATTTCAGGCAAATCAAATAACTATGTATTGGCTACCCATACACAACCTCATTTCTGTAAATTGATTTTTCCCGTGGTAGACGAATTGAACTTCAAGGTACCTATCAAATTGACAATAGTTACATTGAGCTCCTTCAAGGTATTGTCTAATTCATCCTTGATTGCCGATCCTTTTCCGGTCCCTATGTCCGAAAATGCAAGTTTTGCATTCAAACCAACACCTCCAATTGCTTCTTCTGTATTTGGATTTGTTATTGGTGATTTAGAATACTTAGAGAACAATGATCATGTAGTTCCAGTTAGAGTGTACGCTCCTATTGGGACGTTACCTTCATGTTCCTATCCGTTATACGTCACCTCCTCCTTATTGCCAATATTGCAAGAAATGCTTAATCATGAATATCCATTGGATAAGTTGGATTTTGTTGCATTGCCATTCTTAAGTGACGGCGCAATGGAAAATTGGGGCTTGGTAACGGTCTTATCCAGCCAATTGTTGATTGATGAGAGCTCTCACGAAGCAGTTAAACTTCAAGTACGCCAATTGATAGCTCACGAGTTAGTCCATCAGTGGGTTGGGAATTTGATTTCCTTTGATGACTGGTCGAACTTATGGTTGAACGAGTCATTTGCTACATGGTTGGGTAATTATTTACTCTACGTTGCTAGGTTAGATAAAGAGGATTATGAGGACGATGCGTTCGAGATAAGATTATTGCATGATCAAGAGACTAGAATGGATGAAGATTGCTTTTATGACGAAACCACAAATTCTTCCTCGTTACCTAGCATTCATGAAATTACTTCGAGTATTAAATCTTCTTTGTCTGACTCAACTCAAGATTTATTTGATAAGACAGCGTACGAAAAGGGAATAATTTTGTTGTCTATGATTGGAAGTATATTGCAGAATGAAAATTCAACCAGAGAAGATTTCTCAAGGACCAATTATTCGAATATGCTAAAAGGCGTATCAAAAGCTATAGATAAATACAAGTTTAGGAATATTAAGCCTTTTGATTTATGGAATGTGTTGAATGAATTTACAAGCATTGATTTATTGAGCTTTGTCCATTCGTGGGTAAGATATCCTGGTTACCCTATTGTCAATGTGACAACAAAAGATGATAAATTAATAATTGAACAGCATAGATATTTGTTCAACAATAATCCTCAAGATTTTAACTTGGAAGATACTCCATATCATTTGCCATTATCTATAAAATTAATTGACGATAAAAAAAATCTTAAAATTTTGAACATTATGTTGACTGATAGAAAGGTAGAGGTCCCAATTCCTTTACATCAATTTATTACATTAAATTCCAACAAATCGGGCTATTATAAAGTTGTTTACAGTAATGAATTTATTCCACGTATATGTACTAACATAGTTAATAACAATTTTACACCCCAAGAGACCATTTCTATAATCAATGATTACGGAAAATTATTAGGTCAAGAGAATTCTACCAGTCAACATTTAATATCTCTTATTGCGGTATTGAACTGCTTTATAGATTACAAATGGGAAATTGATAATAATGTTTTGAAGGTAGGCTTGAACTACCTAGAAACTATCAGTAATATATTGCTTCACTTTAGCGATTACTCAGAGTACAAGATATGGCTTGAAAGATATATTACAAAGTTATATAACAAAATTGGCAACTGGGAAAGGTTATTTGTGTTAACATCTGATTATTCGCCGATTGAAATGGAAGTTAGAAACCTTATATTACATATAGGTCTGAATATCCCAAAGTTTCAAGACGTGTGTAGAAAAATGTTCAAGAACTTTATCAATCCTAGTTCTAATAAGACTTTCACGCCAAGGGAATTATTCCCATCTATTTTTAATTTAACCATGAGAAAGGCTAACCAAAAAGAATACAAGCAAATTTTGCAATTAGTGAAAAATTCAAATAACTCGATATTGAATAATTCTAATTCTTCTATCGAACATTTACAGACTGTTGCTGTTTCATCATTGTCGTTCGCTGAAAATGAAGACCTACTTTCGAAATCTTTAAACTTTGTTATGACTAACATTGATTCCAAATTGATTGAGTTAGCCTTAATAGGATTTCAATTCAAGCATTCTAAATCTGATATTTTAAAATTATGGCACTGGTACAAATTGCACTATGATCAGTGGATTTTGAAATCTTTAAGAAAGGGTTCAGATTGGGCAAAGCAATTAGCAATTACAATGAAGAATATTTCAAAAATAATTCTTGGTGATTTAATGCAATTCCATAGTGATTTAGTCTCATTGAGAGAAGAATTTGTTAAAGAAAAGCTTCAAAAATTACCTGAACATGGTCTCAAAGATCTAGTTCAAGATTTAGAAGATACAAATATTGAAAAACAAACCATTGGTAAATTTTATAATGATTTGATTAAAAATTTACCATGATTCCTGTAAATATAATTAAAATTTTATAAATAAATAATAGATATAATAAAATTAATCTTCGTGTATACTATTACTATTATTAACACACTTACGCTAAGAGTGAATTTTAACCTCTAATTCATTTTCCTCGTTTGCAACTCCATCACCAAACTTAGGAGGATATTCACTTTCAACACCGGATCCCGAAATACAAGTACACCACAGTTCCTTAGGAACCAAGCTCATAGCGTATGGAATATGCAATCCACAACCTATCCAAGTCTTTCCAGCTGAAGTTCTTGTTAGTAAAAAAAGGTTCCATAAACCAAAACTGGTAATCATCAGTATTCTGGCATCTGTAAGCCGAGTGAATACTTACGGCAAGTAGAACAATCTATTGGTTTGCACATGTTCTTTAAGACCGAAGAATCAGTTCCAATTAGTCATTTTTTCCAGTGAAATAAACTACTATATTATCGCGAAAATTTATATTTACGAGCATCTATTCACATCTTTAGTTATACAACTATTTATTTTTTACTGTCATCTGTATTTGCTTCCAATTTTTCAGCTTCTTTTGCGTATTCATTTAATTCTTCATCTATATCCAAGTTTTCTTGGATATTCCATAATTGGAAATACAATGAATTTGGGTTCCGCAACAAGTCATAGTGAGTACCTTCCTCTTGGACTTGGCCCTTGTTCAAAACAATAATTTTATCAGCATCAGCGATTGTTCTTAACCTATGAGCAATGGCTATATGTGTATTTTCCTTTCTGGTCAAAACAGTTCTAATTGTTCTTAATAACGATTGTTCTGTATGAGTATCTAAAGCAGAAGTAGCTTCATCAAATAAGGTAATGGGAGCTCTTTTCAAAAGTAGCCTAGCTATAGCCAATCTTTGCTTTTCACCCCCAGAAATCATCATACCCCTTTCACCAACTATGGTGTTAACTCCATTTGGAGAATCCTCCATTAGCTTGGTCAATTGGACTTTTTCAATCATTTCGAGGATTTCTTCATCTGTAGCATCTAATCGCCCATACCTGATATTTTCGAGAATAGTATCGTTAAACAAAGGAGTATCTTGTGGAACAATTCCTATTGCCTTTCTCAACGACTCAACAGTAACCTTTGAAATATCCTGGCCATCAATTAAAATTCTACCACTTTCTACATCATAAAATCTAAATATTAATCTTAATATAGTTGACTTACCACTTCCAGAAGGACCAACAATGGCAATTTTTTCACCGGCTGGAATGGTGAATGATGCATTCTGTAATATTGGTCTGTCTGGATGATATCCAAAGGTAACGTTTTCAAATTTAATTTCTCCGGGGATTCCTCTACTGTTCAACACTAATGGTTTTGCGTTTGGAGCGTCTTTAATTGATACTTCGTGATTTTGCAATTGGAATAAGTTTTCCATGTCAAGCAAAGATTGCTTCAATTCTCTGTACACAGAGCCCAAAAAACTTAAAGGAACAGACAATTGAAACACTAACTGGTTAATTAAGACCAAATCACCAACGGATAGTGATCCAGTGGCAACCCCATTGCATCCCATATACATCATTGCCGTTAAAGCTGATGTGAAAATAAAGTTTTGTCCAGCATTCAAATACGCCAAAGACGTAGCCACTTTAACTGAAGCATTTTGGTAGTTTGTTAAAGCCTTATCGTATTTTGATGCTTGAAATCCTTCGTTATTGAAATACTTAACTGATTCATAATTAATTAATGAGTCTAAAGCAACAGTTGCTGCCTGATTGTCTGCATTATTAGCTTGTCTCCTGAAACCTGTTCTCCATGCTGTAGTCTTTATAGTAAATACGGAATAACTCAACATAGTTGCCAATGTAACAGCCGCAAAAGAAATCCCATAGTTATAAATTAAAATTCCACATACCATAGATATTTCGAAAGAAATTGGGATGATATGGAACACCATGGCGTTCAAGACATATGAGATACCTTTTGTACCTCTGTCAATAGCTCTAGTCAACCCACCAGTTTGCCTAGATAAGTGGAAGTTCAAATCCATATTCAACAAATGCACAAATGTATTATGAGCAACTCTCTTAATGGCTGTCTGAGCTACTGATGCGAATACCGCATTTCTTAACTCCCCAAATAAGACTGCTCCAAACCTTGCTCCTCCATAGGCAATAATCAAAGTACCAATTACAGTTCCCACAGTTCCTAATTGTTCTGTCCAGTCTATATTCATCTCATCTATTATTTTCTTAAAGAAAAAGGGAACCTCCACGTTCAACAATTTCGAGGCAATCAATAATGACAATGCAAGTATGACCCTAAGTTTAAAACTTGGTTTATTTTTGGGCCATATAGTCACTAACAACGATTTGATCATCTTCAGTTCTGAAGTAGATATCTTTCTTCCGAATAGGTAGGTAGACGAGTCTTCCTTAGAATTAACACCCAATTTATGGGAAGACTGAAAAAATCTTCTTCCATGGATCGTAGGATACTTATAAGCCGGAGTCAACTGTAGCCTTACCCCTGGGATTCGTTTGGAAGGTATAAATGGAGATCTTAAGGTCATTAATGTCCTTGTTTGTGAAAATGGAGTCAATGACCTGAAAGGCTTAACCGCCCCAAATAAACCCCATTTCATCATTCTTATCTGATAAGCGATGGTTTAGATAATATATACAGAAACAAAAATTCTTAAAATTTTGTGAAGATCTAGGTTGAAAGTAATGGATCAAACCAATCAATATATGTTATAATCAACAACGTCTATAAAAATGTAGGTCTGTTTTAGAATGCTTATGGGATAAACTAAGAAACCTTTAAGGTAACATTGCACGCTTGTTGCTTAAAAATTGTTCCACAGTTGATCATGGTCGTGTCATTCGCCAATTAAACGTTTACATATTTTAACACTATGTAATATGAAATCTAAGTCTATAAAGTATCCGGCTAAAGCTAAGTATCAGTATTCATTTTCGAAATGAATTCCATCTGTTTTATTAAATTTATTGGCGCATCCATTCTTGGTAACATAACTTCTATCATTCTGATTTTTGAATTAATTGCAAAATCTTCGTCACTGAACAACTTTTCAAGTTCATCGGTGGTGGAAACTTGAATTGCATCGTAGTATTTCGCATTAAATAAAGGCAACAATGCAAGGTTATTCCAAGGCTGGATATCGTTATATGTTGCACTCATCCCGTGTATTAATCTGTCGATAGTGTAACCATCGTTATTGAGAACGAATAAATATGGTCTGGTTTCCCATTTAACCATGGTCGAGATTTCTTGCACCGTCAATTGAAGCGATCCGTCCCCTACAAATAAAATGACCCTCTTATTGGGATCGATTTCTTCTGCAGCCATTACTGCTCCTAATGTAGCCCCGACGGTAAACCCGACCGAACCCCATAGAACCTGGGAAATCCCAATTGTATTATTCGGAAATTTTGTTTGTACAATTCCAAATGCTGATGTACCAGTCTCGGTGATAATTATATCACCTTCTTTAAACCAAGAACTGACCTTGCTCCACAACCATTCCTGTGTAAGCAAAGCTGACAGGACCTCCGAATTGGTGACAGAATTAGTCAAAAGGGTTGGCGAGGGAATGGTAACAGGACTGTAATGTTTAATTGCTGAGTCTACATTATCAAGCAATACATTAAGGACTTCTTTCATTTGCACTCCAGGATATGTTCCTTGTTTAATTTTTATGCAATCAGCGTGAAATTCGACCACATTTTTAGTCTTGTACGAATAGGAGAAAGATCCAGTATTGAAATCTGATAATAAGGCTCCGACAGCTAAAATCAAGTCGGCACCATCCACTAAGTTTTTAACTTCCACATGCGACATGGTCCCCACGTATACCCCGGCGAATCTGGGATGCGATTCGTTAAAGCCAGACTTGCCCATTGGGGTTGTTAATACCGGAAACTGTGTCTTATTTACTAATGCTTCTACTTCACTGTTACAATTATGTCTCGAAGTACAGGCATCTACCAATATTATCGGGTTGGAGGCTTCGGATACCAATTGCAAGATATTGTCTATTACCTCTTGTTGGGCTTCAGGATCATTTTCACGTAGTGAAAGATCTATTGGGGTACTCAACAACATTGCTGGAACATTTATATCCACTAAATTCGCTGGTAATCCAATGTATACTGGTCTCTGAAAAATGTAAGCTTCTCGTATGCATCTATCAATTTCTTTGGGAGCCGACTTAATATCAGAGATAAATGCAGTTGTTTGTGAAATATTATTTGACATCCGATGGAACACTGTGAAGTCTCCATTTCCCAAAGTGTGATGTAATAAGAGTTGCTTTGCTTGAGACGAGATCGACGGAACACCTACAATATGCACCAATCCTACGTGCTCCGCAAAAGCTCCACCAATCCCATTAAGAGCACTCAATTCACCCACTCCGAAGGTGGTGATTAAACATGCAAGCCCCTTGACCCTACTGTATCCATCTGCTGCGTATGCTGCATTCAATTCGTTGGCATTACCTGCCCATCGAAGCCCATCTACCTCGTAAATCTTATCTAAAAGTGACAAATTGAAGTCTCCAGGGAGCCCAAATACAGTCTGGACCAGCAATTGTCTAAGTCTCTCAAATATATATCTTCCTAAGGTGACTTCAGACATTTCTGTGATCATATAAAGTTGAAATCGGAAATCCAATGAATCAAGTATGTATTTATCAACTGTCAACAGTAAGTATAGATTTATTATATTCAACTAGTGCGACAAAAAAGACCCCAAGTCTCCCTAAGCGCATATATTTGGAATTATATGCGTTAAAAAGTATTCCAGATTTACAATCTACCGTTAACTATAATATGGCTTTCTTATGCATTTGCAACTTAAACTGATAACCTTGATAAGCTTTATTGCAGTTTTCCCAGAAAACAGAATTGAAATTATAAAATGATCTTATTTTTGATTCAATACGTACACTCTAAACGAGTATATATTATAATGATAGTAGATTTCCAGTTTATGTCAGCATTGTGTATATTTCAATCACCATAGCCTATGATTCTGTATTATAATTCTGATATCTGCAACTTGTAACCAAGTAAAGTAAATGAGAACGTAGTCAATTCTCAGGCTTAAATTTTCCTACCCATGAGACATTTAAGTTCGACTCAGAAGAAACATAAAATCCTTACATGTTAATACATATTTTGAATTTCTATACTAATTTTCCACTTTTCAATCATCAATCCTTTAAACTACAGAGTTAAAGTACTCCTTACATTTCAATCTAAACAGCACATATTGTACCATCCTACATACACGATATTGAAATATTTTTCTCTCAAGCTATTGAATGATTTATTGTCGTTATCGGACTTGCAGCCATACATCAATATGATAAAATATACTTGGTCGCCTAATCCATAGACTTAAAATATCACTATGATTTATATGCTTCTATTGCCAATTATCTATATAAAAAATATAAAAAATATATAAAATAACGCTATTTAAAGAAATAAGTTTATAGTTGCCTTATATACACCGTAAGAAAAGTACAAACCTCAACTGCTTATTTGATAGCCACCGTAACAATCGAGTATCAAGGAACTTTATAGCACAAACACAACATAACTGAATGTCGCAAATATTGCAATGTCGGGATAATTAAAGAGGTCACGCCGCTGGTATCACCCTCCGCACGCCCCGTGAGAAATCAAAACATTACCCGGCATTTAGTTAGTTTAAATAAAAATCACCTGAAATCCATGTGAGAATACTCCTCGTGATAATTTATTTATTTTTCTTTTCCTTGTTATTGTTAGTACTAGGGTAGTAAACAAGTAATTGCAAAGGTCAAATATGTCGAAAAGATCATCAGAAGACGGTAGCCACCAAACCGACAAAAAATTGAAGGGTGATGACAAGAAGGACGAGATTGCTATCGATTCGGAGCTTTTGGGACAGCAATCGTCGTACACCAACAATGGGCCTGATGACTCCAGGGGAGATAATCACGGGGGAGACAACGACAACAACGTCAATGCAGCAGCAGCTGCTGCTGTAGCAGCTGCAGCAGCTTCGGAACCTGCCAATGCAGCGGCTGCTGCATTGAGCTCACAACAACAGCACCACAGTCAACAATTACAGCAACATTTGGCATACCAAAATGCGTTCAGGCAGCAGCAACAAGTGCAGCAGCAACAGGCCCAGCAACAGCACCATCAACACCATCAACACGGTCACCATGGCCAGCATCCTTCCCATTCGCCGCAAAACAACCTCTCGCATTTGCAGCCTACGACTTTGCCGCAAACTTCGAGCACCTCAAAGCCGCAGCACGGGTCTGATGAGTGGCACAAGCAGAGGAGAGAGAACCACAAGGAAGTGGAAAGGAGAAGAAGAGAATCAATCAACCAAGGTATCAAAGAATTGGCTGCGTTAATTCCTACTAACGACACTAACAAGGCGCAAATTTTACAAAGAGCCGTCGAGTACATTAAAAGATTGAAAGAGAATGAAAATAACAATATTGAAAAATGGACACTTGAGAAGTTGTTGACAGAACAAGCAGTTTCGGAATTGAGTGCCTCGAACGACAAGTTGAAGCAAGAACTTGAAAGGGCTTATAGAGAGATCGAGCAATGGAAAAAATTAGTGAAAGATGAAAAGAATATGAAATAAATCTCAAAAGCAGTGTATTTTTAGTTTGTTATTGTTTATTAGTTGTATTATATTAGTATTTGATATTATAAATGTTTTGTTAGACAAGTATCTAAATTTGTAAAATACGTTGCAAAATGCTTTGCATTTAACAGGAGAAATTAATGTTGTGAGAATAGTATTGCGGCTGAGGTACTTTTGGTGGCATTAATGTCTATTTGTCTATGATGAATATGCAGCAAACAAGGCAATGTACTTATCGACTTGTTCGTCGTAGTCATAGCCGTTGTTATGAATATGATAATCGAGCATGTTGGTTGTAAATGGCCTGAATGAATCTTGCGATTTAAGCAAATTCTCGGTGGATTTGCCAAACAAGAGTCTCATTATTTCTTCCTGATGGAAGAAAGTAAAGCCCCTAGTCAGACAATAATTAATGAAAAGCTCGTCTTTGGATAATAATTCAAGAAGTTGCTCTGGTTTGAAATTATAAATAGTATGCAAATCTTTGTCGCTTAATTTTGTTGATTTCTCGCCAGATTGACCTAATTTTTTCCTTGTTGCTGCTTCATCTAATAACTTTGCTTTTTGAGATTCGGTCAATTCAAACCTAGCATTCTCTTTGTCCAAATCTTCTTGTGACTCGATATTGGAATATTCTTCATTGTAGTTGTGTACCTTCCACTTCTCCCTGTCATGCAAAAAGTAATACAAATCCCCTTCTTTAACCCATAATCGCAATTGAGGTATGTACACATGTCCACTATATTGTTTACTTAATAATCCCTTAGGGTATTCGACAGACAAAATATCACTGTATCTCCTAGGAACATAAGATATTTCACCTTCAACATATGTTTTCACTAAGGGAGATAATTCATCTAGTGTTGAGAAATGGTTATTACGACAATTATATGCTTTCATACCTTTATTAACTTCCGTGTAATCTTCAGCATTATCGGCCCATTGATCAGGATAAAGTTCCTTGTATCTATCTGGTGGTTTTGTGTTAGATACTGCTAATCCCGTAATATCAATATAGATACCTGTATCAATATCTATAAATCTAGCATCAATATTATTATTACCATTTCCCTTAGCTCTTAATGTAATAAAAGATCCACAATCTAAAAAGTATCTTCCATAGCCCTCTTCCATATCTTCAACAACTAAAGTCTGATTAAACTGTAATGACAATTTATGCAAATCCATAACGGGAACCTGCACGTCAATATCATAATCCCATGGAAAGGCAAACCCATTCCAGTACCACGATAATAATGATCCGTGTGCAACCCATGTGTTGATACCATTTTTACGACTAAAAGACAACCAAGACCTAACCAATCTGTGCAATATCAAACTTCTCTGTGATGCTTCATACATAACTCCATTGAAAAATCTCCAGTCATAATGATCGCCCACTAAACTACCAATTAACCTCGCTTCTGCAAAATACTTTGGTGGATTACCATTTTCACTTCATTATCCGAATATTTGAGGGATTGCAAATAACGATATTCACTAACGGCCAACCCACCATTTTTCAACTTGGATTCATATTTGTCAATAAGTTCTTCATGTTTCAAAATAAAGGAATCTTCAGAAAGATTAATTTCATAATCATTTATACTTTGATGTGAATTAGCTTTTACTTTCTTTTTCAATTTCTTGAACTCATTTAATGAATTAATCGATTTTTGTTTCGTCTGGGTTATATAATTCCCGACCAAATCAGAATCCAATAGCTTTTCCCTTCCCTTGACGGTAATGTTATAAGATCCATCTTTTGTAAGGAAGACAATCATCGAAGGAGGTGGAGCAAAGGTGTATAAGTACGATTTACCAAGAAGAATAGCTTTGTCAGGAGTTGTCCTCAAATCACTCTTGAAGACATTGAATCCAGGTCTTATGGTGTTACCATCTTGAAAATCACTAGGTAAATGAAAGTCATCGACACAATATTCTTTAGGGTCCACAGATTCTCCTCTCTTCTCGAGTCTTTTTTCTTTTTTGGTCTCGTCTTTATTCTGTTCTTTTTCTTCTTTCTTGTCCTCTTTCTTGTCCTCCTTCTTATCCTCCTTCTTATCCTCCTTCTTGTCCTCCTTCTTGTCCTCCTTCTTGTCCTCCTTCTTGTCCTCCTTCTTATCTTCCTTCTTATCCTCCTTCTTATCTTCCTTCTTATCCTCCTTCTTATCCTCCTTCGTGTCTTGTTTGTTCTCCTTCTTATCTTCTTTATTATCCGCCTTCTCGTCTTGTTTTACAATGTGGTCTTCAATCTTAGTCTCCTCTAATTTTTTCTGGGATTCTTCAACTTTCTTTTTGTCTTCCTCCTTATTAATTTGGTTTTGTTCAAATTCTTTCAACTTGGAATCTTTTTCTTTCTGTTTCTGCTCTATTTCCAGATTAACCTTAATCTCGTCCATTCTAGCATCCAATAACGCACACGATGGTTTCTCATTGGCCGGTGCTAATAAGTACTGATTCAAGGGCGATAAATCCACCCAATCGTACCAATGGAACGGAGCCATAACAATCTTTTTTGGATTCTTCTTAGTTTGAGTCTTTATGTGATGAAAATACATCCCTAAAGTGAATCTGATGTCAAACGGCAGAATTGGCGGTTTTTCCGACATATCATAGTAATATCTTGGAATATTGAGAGAAACACCCTTGATTGTGGTGTCCATTGTCCATAGTTTGCTCTCATCATCCTCTAAACTCTTTTTCTCTTTATAAATAGCATCAATCTTCTTATTGAAATGGGATTCTGGGTCGAATGTATCTCCCTTGTCCTTCTTATCGAAATAACCTGCGTATATCTGGCTCGTCAATCTATCAAGGTAATTAAGTCTAAGCTTCGAGTTTATTTTAACCCTCGAAGTCTCATTTAGAACCGATAGCAATGACGCTATCACCATAAGAAGCAAAGTTATCACCACTACTAGCTGTATGTATTTTCTTCGAATCAGGATAAACATTGTGCCCCAAATCTCCTGTTACCTCCTGCAAAACACTGCTTATATAACGTTTATTATAAGCTCTAAATAGATCCAGAAGGAAACACTATTTCCTTAATTATATAAATGTATCTTGGATGATGAAATGTTGAATATTCAAGTTTCTAATCTTAGATTATAAGCAATGAAGGTTTTATCATGAAGATTTTTTTATATCGCGTGACAAGAACTTTTTTCATCCCCATTGATAACAATAGAATACTCTTGATTATATTGTACTCTACAATTTGAATCCTATAATAATGCTAAGGCATATAGACCAAACTATTTTGCACCCATATTTGTATTTCTATAATACCTATGATCAATTGGAATACCAATCAGTCTTGGTGCAAAAGAATTGAAATTCAGTGTTCTCTAAGCGCCGTGCGCATCTCATTAGAGATTATACGCCCAGAGGAACTAGTATAACCAAGTAGAGACAAACGGATGAATGAATTAATTCACGAAATACTAACATTAGTTATTCTTGTATTTTGCTTGATTCTTGTTCCTTGAAGTCGGATCTGAGGTAAGAACATCGTGTGACGTTTTCAATAGTCGGCTATCTCCAGTTACGCTAAGCGCCAGGGTTATCTAAAGTAATTATGTCTGATCATAAAAAATACTGAATTGGCAGAGAATATTTTATAGCAGAGAACATTTTGCAGCAGAGAACTTTCTAAGTGTGTTTTATGACAAAGGAATTTAATGGATTCGTCTGTTGAGAACTTAATTACTAAAAAGGCGATTGTTGCAAAAATGATAAAAACAGTGAAAGTACGGTGTATACAATGTGCTTAAGGGTTCAATATATAATAGCTTAGATTTTGATATCGGGGTTGGAAAATATAAAGCTTACGTGAGTGCTTTGTGGGTGGTCCTAGATCTGAAATTCGCTTATCTTTATAGGTCGGTCTTCTCCATAGATAAGTTATCTTCCTGCAGATAGACCGACTATTGGCCGAATTTGCTATCAATAAATCAAAAACTGCCGTTCATGTTGAATATCTATTCGCTAGGATAAGATTAAGTACTAGGATATTAGAGATTACGAGTTTTTATTATTTTAATGATAAACGAGAGCTAAAATATTTTTAAGATATATTTGAGACATATATCTGTGAAAAATTACGATCTGGTTAAAATTCCAGAATATATAACTCAACAATACAATGAAAGTCCAAGATATAAAACAAATAGGAGAAAGAGTGATACGCAAATGGACCACCAAAGATGGTTTCATAGGCGACTATGACTACAAGTATCTCTTTGTACCAGAAATTCCATTCAAAAAGACTGCAACCAAGAGACAGCCCTTTTTTGGATTAAATTCAGATATGCCACTTTTGCTAGGATTTATACTCGGGTTTCAACATGCATTGGCGATGCTTGCTGGTGTGGTCACACCACCTATTCTTATTGCCGTTGCTGCAAATCTTGATAGTGCAACACAAGAGTACCTTGTTAGTGCTTCCTTAATCGTGTCAGGGATATTGTCATGCATTCAAATTACTAGATTTCACATTTACAAAACTCCTTACTTTTTGGGAACTGGTTTGCTATCAGTGGTGGGTACCTCGTTTGCAACCATTTCAATTGTCACCAAAGCCTTACCAGTGATGTATCAAACAGGAGTGTGTCCGGTAGTGGACGGTGTAAATCAGCCATGCCCTGATGGATATGGGATGATTTTGGGAACAGGAATAGTTTGCTCACTATTGGAAATCCTCTTGTCGTTTATGCCTGCTAAGCAATTACAAAAGATATTCCCTCCTATTGTTACAGGGCCTGTCGTGTTATTAATTGGGGTGCATTTAATTGAAACTGGTTTCCAAGATTGGGTTGGAGGGTCTGATTGTGTAGGCGAAATGTGTGGTACGGCTCATCCATTAGAATGGGGTTCTGCTGAATTCATAGGATTAGGTTTCCTCGTTTATGTTACAATCATTATCGCCGAAAGGTTTGGTTCTCCTATTATGAAATCATGTGCTGTTATCGTTGGTTTATTAGTAGGTTGTATTGTTGCAGCAGCCTGTGGATACTTCAGTAGAACAAACATTGATGCTGCTCCAGCAGTTACATTTGTATGGGTCCACACGTTTAAGTTAAGAGTTTACGGGCCTGCTGTCTTACCGTTCCTAGCAGTATATATTGTGTTAATGATGGAAGCAATTGGTGATATTACAGCTACTTCTGATGTATCGAGATTGGAAGTTGAAGGAGAAGTTTACGAATCAAGGGTCCAAGGAGGTATATTGGCAGACGGGTTCAATGGATTGTTATCAGGTTTGATGACTGTCACACCCATGTCTACCTTTGCCCAGAACAATGGTGTCATTTCTATAACTAAGTGTGCTAATAGAAAAGTCGGGTACTGGTGTGCCTTCTTCATGATCATAATGGGTATATTCTCCAAGTTCGCTGCTTCAATTGTGGCGATTCCAAAGGCAGTGTTAGGTGGTATGACATCGTTTTTATTTACATCTGTTGCTGTATCTGGTATCAGAATTATCTCTACGATTGAATTTACAAGAAGAGATAGGTTTGTGTTGACCGCATCTTTGTTGCCAGGTATCGGTTCAATTTTGGTGGCAAACTGGTTTGATAACGTATTTACCTATTCTGGAAGTAATACTGCCTTACTGGGCTTTTTTGATGCAATAGTTTTGGTTATGGAAACAGGTTTTGCCGTAACTGGTTTCATTGGTTTAATTTTAAACCTCATCCTTCCTGAAATGGATGATGGCCTTGAAGAGTTTGACGATGTTGTTATTGAATCGTCGGATTCAGAACAAAATAGCTCAGATGTTAATTCTAAGCAAAAGAGAATTGTGAAGGTAGAGAGTGTGTAATTGTTTTAAATATATCATGTATAATATAAATGGAAAATAAAAGGATATTATAAATTAGTGTGTTTAACGTAGCAAAAATAAAAAATTCATGGGGTAATCCTTGATTTTATCAAGTTTTCGAGAAAGGCTGCAATTATTATCAAAATTACTAAATTTTAAAGCAAAATGTTATTAGCAAAATATTATTAGTAATAAACATTCTCTGGCCAATATGCTTAACATATTATATCACTACACTTCAACAATAATACCTACTAGGACAATTTCACGAATTGCATATCCTAGTATGAAATTTATTAATCAATCACAATTCAGATAATTGTTGCAGCTATAGCGCATTTTTTGGAAACACAAAGTTGTTATCAGATACCTCGGCTCAGAGTACCAAAAAGAGTTTACGGGCAGTACTTTAGATTTTTAATAGATCTTTACCTGTATTTTTATTACTAGAAGATCATACATAGAGAAGCCTTTAGTATTTTAAGGTCGAATAGATATACTTAGAGAGAATTCACAATGAGTATAGCATCCATAGCACCATTAAACATTACTGGTAAAAACGAAATGAAATTTCTTCCCATAAACATATTGCTTAAGTTAAATGCAATCCTAAAAAAATCAGTATTTAGCAGAAAGTTTTATCAAGAAATCAATGATAAAGTATTGAGTAAATCTTCAACTGTTGATGCTAACTTGTATTTCATTTGTTACTTTACATTATTGTTATCGAGTATTTTGAACAATAAACCAAAGATCAGACAGTACTTGTTAAAGCAAAAATATAACCTTGTTAAAGTTGTAAATTCATTCTGCAATAACACATTGGGGAGAGCACCTAAGGATTCATCTAATAAAACTATTTCCAGATTTTTCCTGACGCAGGATCCATCAATGAATCCAGCAGTTTCTAGTGACAGCGATAGGCCGGTTTCCAAATTAGCTGTTCATTTAAAGTCTATTTCTTCGTACATTTCTGATGTAAGAATATTTAATAGACTAACTGAATCCATCAAATATATGCCTTGGATTATTGATGAGTTTTATGCTTTTATGAACCCTGCCAGTGCAGTCCCCAAGTTTGATAGATTTGTGAATTTGTTACAATCTTTGAATTGCTTACTTCTAGAATTATTTGAACATGCTGGTTGGTTGACAGACCACAATTGGGTAGGAACTCCAGATAATAATTATTGGTGCCTTTTGACGTATGTCTGGTGTTCCAGAATCTGGGGGGCTTATTTAATTATTGAAATTATTGAACTATTTAGAAGGGTACCAATGAGCAAATGGGATAAGAATTGGAGACTTAGCTTATTTAAACAGGCTGTCCAGGTTCCCCTTGTGGTCCACTGGTCATTGTACGAGGGCTGCTTAAGCCCATTCTGGGTTGGTTTATGCGGTAGTGGTGCTTCATGGTGGAACTTTAGAGATATGTGGCTGTCTATTGACTTAAGTTAAGATGAGAACACATTTACATCATAGGAATGACTTTTTTGTTAAAAACTCAATTTATTTAATTGCATTATTTAGTCTCTATACAGCTAATTACTAGATACCGATTGAGAAATTTTGGAATCAAGCCTATCTAACTGTCTTGATCTGTCAAAATAGAGATTCGGATGATTGATATGCATTCCTTCCGTAGCCTTATTGTTCTTACCGAGTTGATTTTTGTGGGTTATCTCAAATACTCTGGTACATGCAACAGTGTAGTCATTTCTGCTGACATCGTCGACAACACCGTTAATGTCTTGTTGATCATTAATGCCCATTTCGTTCAAGTTATTAACTAGAGCATCAACACTTAAATCACGATATGGACATCCATGGTATTCGCCTTTTCCAGGTTTTGGTTTCAGCAAGATCCTTGCACAATCCCACGGTTTATAATTAATTCTTGCCCCTTCCAAACCGTAGTTGTGACGAATATTATATTTGTATTCTTTATTAAACTTTTCTAAGTTAATTGCATTGGATGACTTGGTGAATTGATAGGACCAGAACTTTAATGCTTCATCAACGTTCAAACCTATCCCCTTTAAAAAGAGACCGAGTTGTTGACGTCCTTGATATTTCAAATGAGAGCTTAGTATCAAGTTCTTTTGTAAATGAGATGCACATAATGGATAGTGCTTATTGATGGCTGGGGTGGTGATAGATTGTGCATTTATATCTGATATTAAGGAAGGATCATTTCCAAATGCTGATTCATATTGAACGTTTGAAAAGTTATGAGACAAGTTGTTTAACAATGGTAATAATCTGTCATCTTCTTCTAATCTTGGTAAAGTTTGAAACGTTCTCATTAAGTTTCTAGTCAAAATATCTTGAAATTCGATTGACAATAAGTTTAATTGCAAAGTGGAGGGAATATACGCATAACCACCTCTTAATAATACCAGTCTTGAAGCCACCAAATTTGGCACCTTATCGAATGGTAGTTTAATAAAATTCTCCTTAACCCTGATGTGTTGCTTTAATTGTTCATTCGCAATGGTGAAACTTGGATCTCCACTTTCCATGAATAATACATTTCTAATGGTGGCCCCAGTTGCTGCATACAAGTCCTCAAACATATCCACCTTCTCTTCGTTTGATATGTATTGCCATGGCAATTTGTCTTTGTAGCTAGCTATAAACTCTTGTTGTTCCTTTGGCTGCAACATATTGTATCTGACTTTGAAGAGTATAGTCTCATTCTTGATGAACTTCTTTCTTAATTCTTCTGTACGGCAAAAAACCAACCTCAATATATAATGCGAGTAATGATCCTTTCGACGTTCTTGGTATGTCATGGCCTCATTATTATTCGATGTTGGATTAAGTGGTAAATATTTCAAAAATAATGGTTTGATTGTTTGTTCAATGTCTTTTATAGACTTAGACCTAGCAACACATGATTCAATTTCTATTAATATCTTTAGTCTATCAATCGCCCATGTTTCAAACTCCTCTAGAGTGATTTCTTCCAATGGCGGTATATCATAAAATGACAACCTCGAACCGTACTGATTTGAGTTTAAAGATTGGTAAATGCTACCATTTTTCCCTTGCTCAAAGTTTCTACGTCCTGCGGTTCTTCTCTTAGTTTGCCTGAACATCTCCAACTACCCGTTGTCTTAAGAACTACAATATAGTTGAATCAATAAAAAGAATACTAATATATAGATATATCAACAACGCGTACGGGCGCGTTTTTGTGATGATTATACGGCTTGGATTTTGTGTAATATTTTGTTAGTAGACAAAAATTCACATTGGCCATTATGAATAGGCATTAAGGCAAAGGTCAAGCAAGCAATTAAGACAACTTGAAAAGGATAAGACATAAAATCCATCTAGTATGTCTGAAGTGAAGATCGATTCCAACTCTTTTCATAAGAGATTGTCGCTTATTCAGAAAAATTTGACGGCTATTCAAGATAAGCAGTCATGTCTCTTGTTTTTGGTAGGGGCATCAGATGATGAAAATACTTACAAGAAAACCACTGTTTTACAAACATGGCTCTTAGGGTATGAATTTGTTCACACTGGGATTTATATTACCCAAGATAAATGTGTTTTCATTACATCTGAGGGTAAAGCCAAGTACTTGACTGGGTTGACGTCGAAGCCGACAGAAAATTCGAGTACTGTTGAGATCTGGCCAAGATACAAGGATGCTGAGAAGAATAAGGAAACCTTTAAGAAATTGATTGAAGAATTGAAGGAAATAAGTTCAGCAGAGAAGCCCATCGGACATATTACGAAGGACCAATACAGAGGTAAGTTCATTGATGAGTGGAACGAAGTATCTACCGATGCGGGATTATCATTCAGCGATTGTGCATTATTGCTTTCCGAATCAATGGAGGTTAAAGACCTGGAAGAGTTTAATAATACCAAGATTGCGTCAAAATCGTCTACAGTATTAATGGATGCATTTGCCAATGAAATGATGGTGGTCGTTGACGAAGAATTGAAGACTTCTAATTCTGATCTCTCCGAAAAGATCGAAGACAAAATCGACAGCAATAAATGGTATACTAAATCCGCCACTGGGAAGAAATTGCTTCAATCGATGAAGGAATTTGACCCAAGTTTGGTTGACTGGTGCTATTCTCCAATCATTCAAAGTGGTGGCGAATACGATTTAAAGCCAAGTGCACAATCAACAACGAAGGCTTTAGTTGGTGATGGTGTTATTTTAGCTTCGTTAGGTTTGCGTTATAAGTCTTACTGTTCGAACGTCGCTAGAACCTTCTTCATTGACCCTACTCCAGCTATGGAAGCTAACTATGATTTTTTGCTTAAATTGCAAAACCATGTTACCTCCACCTTATTGAAAGATGGTACTGTTGCGCTGCAGGTTTATCAAGGTGCTCTTGATTTCGTTAAATCTGAAAAGCCAGATTTGGTTCAACATTTCACAAAGAATTGTGGCTGGTTAATGGGTATTGAGTTTAGGGACTCGACCTTTGTATTAAATACTAAGAATGAAAGAAAATTACAAAATGGTCAAATAATTTCTTTAACTCTTGGATTCAACAACTTAACTAACGATAAAGCTCTGAATCCTAAATTAAAGCAATATTCATTATTATTAACTGATACTTTTAAAGTAAGTGAGTCAGAGCCTATTTTATTAACTACATATCCAAAGGCTAGATCGGAAACATCATTCTATTTTAAGGACGATGAGCCTACTGCAGTTAAAGCTGAAAATGGTAGAGATAAAAAATTAAAATCCGAAAAGAATATTAAAACTGAAAAGAATTTGGCCGTGAATGAAGCCAATTCAAAGATTTTAAAATCAAAATTAAGACACGAGTCTTCAGCTGCTGATGATGCCAATAATACAGAGAAGATACGTCAAGAAATCCAATCTAAATTGCATGAAAAGAGACAACAAGAAGGTTTAGCTAGATTTTCTAAAGCCGATGCAACTGATGCGCTGGATTTTAAGCCTGTTTTCAAAAAGTACGAATCTTATGTAAGAGAATCGCAAATCCCTAGTAATGTTAGAGATTTAAAAATTCATGTTGATTATAAAAATCAAACCATTATATTACCTATTTGTGGTAGACCAGTTCCTTTCCATATCAATTCATTCAAAAATGGATCCCAAAATGAAGAGGGTGATTTCACTTATTTGAGATTAAACTTTAATTCGCCTGGGGCTGGTGGTAATGTTTCTAGAAGAGCTGAATTGCCATACGAAGATTCCCCAGAAAATTCGTTCTTAAGATCAGTTACTTTAAGATCTCGTGACCACCAGAGAATGGTGGATGTTTATAAGGCTATTCAGGATTTGAAGAAAGATGCTGTTAAAAGAGAACAGGAAAAGAAACAAATGGCTGATGTCGTTAGTCAAGCTAATTTGATAGAACTCAAGGGCTCGAGAGTAAAGAAATTGGATCAAGTATTCATTAGACCACAGCCAGATACCAAAAAGATTGGAGGCGTATTGCAAATCCATGAAAACGGTTTGAGATATCAATCATCGATTAGAATGGATCAAAAAGTGGATATTTTATTTTCCAATATCAAACATTTGTTTTTCCAATCTTGTAAGGATGAATTAGTTGTTATTATTCATTGTCACTTGAAGAATCCAATTATGATTGGTAAAAAGAAAACGCACGATGTTCAATTTTACCGTGAAGCCAGTGATATGGCATTCGACGAAACTGGAGGTCGTAAGAGGAGATATAGATATGGTGATGAAGATGAATTGCAGCAAGAACAAGAAGAAAGAAGAAGAAAAGCTTTATTGGATAAGGAATTCAAAGCGTTCGCAGAATTGATTTCTGATTCCTCCTCAGGAATGGTAGACTTAGATATTCCATTCAGAGAATTGGGATTCTCTGGTGTTCCTTTCAGGTCTGCTGTTTTATGTATGCCAACTCGTGATTGTTTGATTCAATTGATTGACCCTCCATACTTAGTTGTGACTTTGGAAGAGATAGAAATTGCCCATTTGGAAAGAGTTCAGTTTGGTTTGAAGAATTTCGACTTGGTCTTCGTCTTCAAAGACTTTAACAAACCAGTCGTGCATATCAACACGATCCCAATGGAATTACTAGAAGATGTCAAGTCTTGGTTGACTGATGTAGATATCCCAATCTCGGAAGGTCAAATGAATTTGAACTGGGCTACCATTATGAAGACTGTTCAATCTGATCCTTACCAATTCTTCGCAGACGGTGGTTGGAGTTTCTTGACGGGAGAAGGCGACTCTGAAGAAGAAGATGAAGAAGAGGAAGAATCTGAATTCGAAGTTAGTGACGAAGATCCTAGTGATGAGGATGTAGAAAGTGAAGCTGGTTCTGAAGATGATTATTCATCTGATGCTTCTGGCAGTGATGCTAGTGGAGATGAGAGTGAAGAAGAAGAAGGTGAAGACTGGGATGAGATGGAGAGAAAAGCTGCCAGAGAAGACAAACGTCTAGGTGCTTCATAGTTTCTAGTTTAGTATTATTAATCAATATATATTGTATCATGTTATGGAATTTTACTTATACGTTGGAGTGGTCGTGCGTACTATCATAAATGTGTTTTTGTTTGTGACAGATTGTTAGCAATAAATCAAGGTAGAATTACATTACCGTCAAAAGTGCTAATAAAACCTAATTAGAATCATATTATTCACTTGTGCATTCATAGATTAAGGAATATTAACCTTTGTCGTCGTTGTTTTATAAAGAATAATTTTATAAGAACTTGGGTGTGAGAATTTATTGAAAATAATTGGAATTATTAAGTATACGTATAAGAAACGAAATCTGGAAAGTTCAAATTTAATTAGTAATAATAAAATAAAATGTCAGACAACACAGATGATTATTCATACGATTATGAATATTTATATAAGATTGTTTTAATTGGGGATTCGGGAGTAGGTAAGTCTAATTTATTGTCTCGTTTTACCAGAGACGAGTTTAACTTAGAGTCGCGTTCGACTATTGGGGTTGAGTTTGCTACAAGAACATTGGAAATTGATGGTAAGAGAGTCAAGGCCCAAATCTGGGATACTGCAGGTCAAGAAAGATACCGTGCTATCACAAGTGCGTACTACAGAGGTGCTGTAGGGGCATTAATTGTGTACGATATTTCCAAGGCTGAATCATACGAATCGGTTTCAAGATGGTTGAAGGAGTTAAAAGAACATGCTGATGCTAATATTGTCATTGAGTTAGTTGGTAACAAGTCGGATTTGGACCATTTAAGAGCTGTGCCAACCGACGAAGCCAAAAATTTTGCGAACGAAAATAGCTTGTTATTTACTGAAGCATCTGCCTTGTCATCTGATAACGTTGATTTATCATTCCACCAATTATTGAAAAACATCTATGAAATGATCAGTAAGCATCAGTTAGATACTAATGAGGGTTCGAATGCTAACAAACCATCAGGAGGACCAACCATTTCTTTAACTCCTGCTCCTCAAGAGAAGAAGAGCAAGAATAACTCCAACTGCTGTTAAAGAAACCTGACTCATTTTATCATTAACTTTTACTTGTCGTTCCATTGTAGCTCCGCTACTTAATATTAACGTTGTTTATCACATGGTAACTAGTCACAATATATATTATTTTACACGAGTACCGAATTACTATATTTTGCTATATTAACTATTACATATTATGTAGTATAACTAATGTACATTTAACCCTAGTCTATTGACGTTTGAACCCAGGGCCAGCATTTTGCGGAGCCTTAACAGGTCCTTGTAACTTTGATTTAATACTGACAGGCGTCTTTAAAGGTTTGGTGATACCCTTACCTTTTTCCAATCCTATCCTTTTTTTGGTGTCAATTGGAGGTGGACTCTCTATACTCAAACTAACAATTTGTTCTCCTCTTAAAATTATTAACCCTAACGATCTCTTCTCTTCGACTATTGAGTTGGAGTTTTGCGTTTTCTTTAATTCTTGATATGATTTTTTGGTTATTCTAGACTCCTCAGTTTCGGATAATACTAGATTCAAATGCTTATCATATGCCAATAGTTGTCCTATAAAATTTCTATTATCAATTGTAGTGATTCTTAATCTGTAATGTACTAAATCTGACATCTTCGTCTTTTTGGAAACGGATAAATTCGTAGCCTGAATAATGTTAGTAATACACCCTGAAATAATAGGTTTTACCCTGGTCGTACATACCATTGCTTCTAGTAGTCTCTATATTATTTGTATACTAATCGTTAGTGTATTTACTGTTAGAACCATCTTTTTCATTTCTTAAGCCAAATGAGGGCGTGTCGTAACCATATACGAAAAGCACCTTTTTAGCAAAGTACCGTGTAACGAGTTGATATATTAATATTACTGCACCAAACACCAAGATGTCGGATACAGAACAAGCTACACAACCATCAATTGAAAAGAAGGAACCAGAAGTTATCACTGAAAAGAGTGAAGCCGAAGAAAGTTCAAAGAAAAGAGCTCACGAAGAAGTTGCAAGTGAAACCAAAGATGAGAGCTCTGTAGGCAGTACTGATAAAAGCTCCAAGAAAAAGAAGCATAGAAGACGTCAATATGATGATGCTTTACCAAAGGAGACCAAATCTGAAGATGAAGAAGAAGAGGAAGAAGAGGATGAAGGAAATGAAGATAATCTTGGACTCGAAGAAGGGGAAGAGGATGATTTATTGGAAATCGACCAATCTAATATCATCACAGGAGGTAGAAGAACAAGAGGAAAAGTTATTGATTTCGCTAAGGCAGCAGAAAAGTTGAAGAGCGAACAAGGTGTTCAAGACGACGAAGATGACGAAGAAGATGATGGAGAATTTAATGAAGAAGTCAAGGAAGCGGCCAAGTAAGAATGCCACTTAGTTAGAATTTAGTTGAATTGTATATACAAAGAATACATCAGCTAGTAAATATGGTTCTGAATTTTGTAGTTTACTGGTATCTATAAACCAATATTTGTATCGCTAATATCTTCTACCAGTCTAAAACTCAAGTAAATAATACAACTAACAATTCACCGATCGATAACATATATTAATTATAGATTAGAAAAGCCAAAAAAAAAAAAGTAAACCAAATATCAAATGTTTTAACCAGTCAATAATCTCTATGAATTATTAATTAATGAAAAATTAATTCATATAAATAAATATATAATTTTTTTAAGTTTTAAAATTTTCTCTACTTTTTTTATCACATAAACAAGTGAAATTAAACGAAACGAAACAACAAATAGCGTTAACAAGAAGCTGTATTGTAGTTGTAATATGGGTTAGTGTAACCCACAAAATTAGATGCTCCAAAGTAAGGATTTGTTGGTTCAGGGAACATTGAACCATTGCTTGGAACATATTGGTACGTTGGAGTATATGACCAGATATTATTATTACTCTTAGCCGCTGGATTAGAGTTTGACCATATTGATTCATGAGCGTATTTTATAGGGGATGAAGTGATTGGGGAAGATGCGTAACCATATGAATATGAAGACTCGTGATAGACTGGCGATGATGGGATGCTAGTAGGTTGGTAGGTAGTATGTGGAGTGTATGGAGAATAGTTTTGCGGCACAGATGGGGAATTGTACTTTGGGTTTCCACTGTACTTCTCCAACCAAGTTTTCCAACATTCTTCCAACGTTTTTATGTTGGTTTCAAAGTTGACCACATTTAATTGCCAGTTTATCTCTTTCAACCAATCTTTTTCTTCTTTGTTGATTACTTCGATTTGTAAGCCTGTAGCTCCACACCATGACCTGTTAGTGAAGGTATTATCGTCATTGAACTTGTTACCTAAAACTAATGAAACAATCAACTTTGTAAAAATTTCTTGCTCCAATAAGTCGCCGAAATTCTTATTCGAGAATCTCTGATTCATGTATTCAAGAGCAATAATAATTGTCGACTTAGGCAATCTAGTTGCGAATAACACGGAGACAATTAAATTTTCAAATTCTTTGCTAGGTGTCTTATCTTGCTTCAACATTCCGTAGGTACACCAACTCAAGAAGGTGGCCATGTTGTTAAGGTCATACTCCAAAACTGAGTTGATACCCCCACTGCTAGGTTGTTCTTGGTACATTGGTGGCGCATGCACAGGTGGAGGAGGAGCCATATATTGGGGTTGCGAAGCTTGTGGTGGCCCCGATGGATGATAGGTCGAGTAGAACGACCTTGAATGTCTATGATGCGACTGGGACGGATCGTAATAATTTCCCGGAGTGTACTGCGGCATGTAGTTGTATGACGAAGTAGCTCTATGTCCGGCTGTCCCTAAACTTTGAAAATAATTTTGTGCTTGATACATCGTGGATGTTAATCAAATATGATTATAATCTAATAAAAACGATGACTTATTGAAAAGCTCGTTTCGAAATGAATTGTTTTAGTCTCTTTTGGTTGAATTGACTGTAATGGCGTCTATTAAAAATAACTTAATATCTCAATAGCCACAAGTATTCAACGATCAGATTAATCCAATTAATCCAGAAGTAACTGTTCTGTTTCTTCTGCTATTGATTCGATAATACGACGGTATTATCCTAATAATCAATATGTTAATTAATTAATCTGGATGAAAAAAAAACCAGAATTAAACGTGTTTTTTTTTTTAATTTATAAGAAATAAATAGTACCCGATTATAAGTTAATATAACCAGTAGTTTTTTGTATATTTATTTCAAAATAAAAGGAATAAAGGATAGATTAATGAAAGAAAAAGAATTATGAAAAGAATTAGTGTTCATTTTGTAGCCTATACTTGACGGTGTTTACCGCGCAACGACGAAAATTTTTTGCTGATGGGCAAAGTTACACAAAACACCCGGTCTTATTTCTTTTGTCAAAGGCTGCTGTCGTCTTCGGCCATATCAAAAAAAATAATGTCGAACATAGGGAAAATGTATGTGCTAGACCCAAGGAGTGTCAAATACGATTATAAAATAATATAGAAGAGCGTAATTTTGTAGCAGAGTGTTAAGTTGTGGGATATCTGAACTTCTGGCAAAGTTCTAAATGATTGTCAGTGTACTCGAAGGACATTTGATGACCAGATAGATTCCCACCAGAGATCCAGAGCATCCGTCGGTGGTAACTCGCGTGGGTACCCCCATGATACCACAGATTAGATGGCTAGTGCGAGATTGCGAATTTCCTTTTGATTCATACGGTTACGGTATGCAGCCTTGAGTCGCTGATACCGGTGTATGAGTCATGCAACACACGGGACAAGGATTAGAAAAAGGGTGATTAGATCGTAGAAATTCTGTTCTTGGGTTAATAACGTGCTATCGGTTTTGCCCTGTCCGTGTGTGACTTAAGAGCCATCATAAATCAGTAGGAGTAGGCCTAGATTACGTACATGGCGATGGGTTCAGGTAGAGGGGTTTCTGGGAAGGAAGTGATATGTTTGTAATACGACGTGCTTACCTCATGCAATCCGATCTTGTTTGGGATCGACGATGATGCTGGCTTGCAGTTGAGCATTGATCATGAAGTTTTCACAGCCATAAAGGGCAGTTCGGATAGGCTATTTCCGCAATGCTGAGCCCCGAGCCATATCATTTCAGCAAGCGCCAGATTGCGACATTTGCCAATGATGTCGTCGAAGCCTCTGCTTCATTAGTGAAATGTCGCACCAGATGGCTGGCTATTGTGGATTGCAAGTCATACTTAGGTACAGATGTATCTTATATGAACCCTTGAGTTGATGTGTAGAACGATCAGAATGTTTCTAGTGACGATTATCATTCCCCGATAAACAAGTCGAAATCACTTTTGCCGAGTAGAATATAACGTGTAGATGAGTTTGAAGGGATTGGATGCAAAATCGGATGCAAATGTCGGGGATCATACTGTAGGATTACTTGCCGATAACTACTCGATAACAACGATACTTAAAATAAAGGGAAGTAAATTAATCTATATATATCCTAGATAAGATCAGTATATACACTGGGAGTTTATTTATGCAATTTAACGAAATCTAACACCGATCTGATTGGAGGTAATTGTGTTCCTGTGGTAGCAATGGTTTCTTCGTTGGGGGTGGATGGAGTACTGTTCTCATGCTGTTGTAAGTTTTGGGCTGCTGCGTTAAGTAAATTAAGCGAGTTCATAGATTTATCCAGAAGTGCTTGTTGAGGACCCAAATGAGGAGATTGTGATGGGGTCTGTAGTGGAGTTTCATTTGGCGATATCATAAAGGCAGGGTTAGTTGGTGCATGCAGCATGAAGTATGTAGCGTCATTATGTGAGTAACCTTGGGGTTGGTGCATAGAAGAGCTCGAATGAGCACTTGGTAATTGTACTGGGGAATTTGGTCTCGATTTCTTAGCTGAAGGCATGTAAAATTCAAGATTCAATGAGGTCGATGAATTTTGCTTAGTAACATTGGAAGAATATGTAGGAACTGATGTGGTAGAATGTGTGTTATTATTGCTTCTGGTATTTGAATTTAAAGGTTTGATAGGTGTTAATCTTTGCAACGATAAACTATTTAAAGATGCCAAATTGGTAGCTGACGATGATTTCATTTTTCCTGACATGGAAGATAATGAATTTGAGCTAGCATTGAAAAGTTTATTATTCGGCTTCAGATGATTTTGGTGAAAGTAATCCTTTAAATTTGATAGCGATTGATTGCTTATGGTAGAGCCATTGCTATAATTATCAGGGGTTGTACTTAACGAATGAGGAGCAGAATTTCCACTTGAAATGCTACTGGCTTGGCTAAATACATGATTTCCAGATGTTATTGATGTAGTAGAACCCGAGTTTGATATTGGATGACCTCTAGAAGTGGGTGATTTGGGGTTTATTGAATTTATTGAAGGTAATTTGATAGTTTCAGAAGATAAAGCCTTACGAAGAGAATTTGTTTGTTGAGATTGTTGTTGAGACTGTTGGGGTTGCTGTTGTTGATGGCCCATCTGGTTGACTAACAGGAAGTTCGTAGGCGATGATGGTAAGGAAAATACGGCTGATTGTTGTTGTTGTTGGTAAGGACGGGGGTTAATCGATACAGGCGGTGTTTGAGTTTGATAGGCAGTTCCTTGCTGTTGTTGTGGAGGGGATTGAACCGGCAGTTGAGACGTTTGTTGTGCTTGTGGAATAAAATATACGGGGTATGGTTGGTGGTAGATGTGATTTCCATTTCTGTCAATAGTGACTGGTATAGCAGCAGTAGGCATTTGGGTATAAACCTGAGGTGATTGTGTCAGTTGGTTCATTGATTTATTTGGTTCATTATCGGAATCAATATTATAATTACCAGCAGCTCTGTTCTTTTTTCTTGAAGTAGGATTATTATGTATTCTTAAATGTCTTGTTAATTCGTCAGACCTTGAAAACTTCTTAGTACATCCTGGAAACGTGCAAGGATGTGGCTTTTCTCCAGTATGAGTTCTAATGTGTCTAGTCAAATGCTCTAGCCTATGAAAGGCCTTGTCACACATGGTACACTTATATGGCCTATCTTCCTTATTCTTCTTTTCCTTAGGTGGCATATTCTTAGCACTGCTATTTATGTTAAATGCTTAAACGAGAGTAATTTATTGTTATTTGTAGGAAAAGGGGGGTCAGTATCGTAAATTGTAAATGTGACTTATTCTATTAAAGCAGATGTTCCTTTGATAGTTATTCCAAAATTTCAAAAGTTAGATTATTTTAATATTTAATCTGGAAAATAAAAAAAAACAAACCAGTTGAAAAGAAGGAGAAAATTAATTCAGATTAGTTATCATTTAATCGACTATTGTAAAAAGTTCGATGATGGTTAGTTACCTATGAAAAGTTTTTCCGACGGTATCCGCACATAAAATTTTTCCGGATTATTGGGGAAAGTTATTGGGGTTAGCGCGGAATTTTTTTACAAACCATACAGTAGTTCTGTTTTCGCGCATTATAATCCCGACTATATTTAGATAATATTGACAGATTACACCGTGGTCATGGGATAAGCGATACCGCCTCAAGTCTAATGTACCGTTTAAGCATCTAAACTCCATTAGTGTTGTGGTTTTACTATTCTTATGATTATTATCTTGTTGATTAGGTTGTGATATCGATAGTACTACACTAGTTACATTCCTGACTACGGTTATTTTGTGTTCACTATAGCAGGTGGATGAAACCACATCAGTATGATAAAAAATGATTAAATGCTGCGGGAATTAATTATACCGAGAAATTAATAAAATTTATGGTGTTGGGGTTAGTGGGGGAGATAGGTCCGGGGCATATGCCGGATTTAACGACGAATTTACAAACATAGTATATTTATGATTATATATCATAATTATAATCTAACCATTGATCAAACCATTGCAAGTTACTAAGCTGTGAATCGATAGAATTTTCAACATAATTAAGAGGATCATCCAAGTTGGGAGCAGTTGCGGAATCAGTTGTAACATTTGTAACCGCTTGTAGGTTGCCAGGCAAATTTTCTCTGTCTGTAATTGATATCAGTCTCTTTGTTTTCTTGTCCGATTGTTGCCACGAATTTTCTTCCGGCGCAGCACCCTGTTTGTTAAGGCCAAATTGATTAAATGTTTGCTTGTTCACTTCCGCAGAACCAGGGTCAATTCCGTAACTAGTGATATCCTTCATATCTTGCTCTAATCTCAACGATAGAATACGATTTGCCATTTTGATCGCCCACAAGCATTCTTTTGCCATGGTGTATCGACTCTCGATAACTACTTCTCCTTCTCTATTTTTCACTGATGCTTCGCTTAAAACAGTTATTAGCCTTATTGAATTTTGCAAAACTTGCTTACATACCAGGCTATTAATTCCACCATTGATCAACGTAATTGCGTTTATACCGGTATCAAACAATAATGATAAAAATTGATACCATGGTGTATATAGCAACTCTGCATTATTAACTTGATCGAGTATGTCAATAATGCTTTGACAAGAATCGAGGACCATGTCTATCTTCAAACCCTGGTTCGAAATTTTGGTTCCAATGTAATTGAATAAAAGCTTTCCGTGTACGCAATTAATTAAATCATAGTAATGTAACTTCACCTGTGCTTTGACTAATGGCAGAATTTGCGTCGTATCGTCAAATAATGATTTATTGCCAAACCCATTTTCATCGAACCAAGAATTCAAACGATTCAATTCAGCATTAATTTGTTGCAATTTGACTAAACCAAATTCATCTGATACGGAAGTATGAACAAAGTTAGAGATTCTTGCGACATGTAGTAATGTAAACGCTGGGACAGTTAACCAAGAGTCTTTTTCTGATTCAAAATCAAAACTTTCAGTGGGTGATATATTATCAGTATCATTTAAACTACCATATCTTCCTGACAGCAATCCAAATAATCGATCCATAGTATAAACACACCAGAATATTCTCTTAACCTTTAAGCGTATGTATGGCTTCGCCGTCAACAGTTTTGGATTATCTTTTCCTAAGCCCATTGACCGTGTCATTGTAATTGCACGCCCTAAAGCCAGATAGGATGAAGTTTGTCTATGTGATATCCGTAAATACAATGTTATTAGCAACCAAGACTGTATCAATTCAAATGATTCCCATTCAAAACTCAAGAGGGAAACCACTTTATAACTGTATTTGAATAATTGCTCCTCTAATTTTAGCATTTCCATGCTGGGTCCGTCTTTTTTCTGAAATTCCTGAAATCTTATAGCTAATGCGTATACAAGGTATAATATGGCCAGAAATAATCGTGTTTGGTTTGTTTTAGCATCTCTTTCAGTGGAGTCTAAGTTTACTTCAGATTTGAATAATTCCTCATAATCCTTTACTTGATCTCTAAATAGGTTTTCATGTAAAATTGCAAATACAGAGTTAATTTCACGGAAAAAGAAATTAAAATATACGTCCGGATCTAAAGGTAACTTGAAGTCAGGTAAACCAGGAAGTTTTTCATTAGTGATATAGTGACATCCTGACATGTTCCATCCAAAATACTGTTTCCTTGGTAATATAACCTTTTTCTTATTTTCTTCGGATAAATTATTATACATAGTTTGGCATAATTTATTAGAGAGCAATACTTGATGACGACGCAGATACCTCCACTTGGCACTTGACATGATCAACTTTTTCTTGACTTCAGTATTATTATTCTCAACATCTTTGTTACCTACCGGTCTGAATGTAGTAGTACAATCCTTCAGAAGTATTGATTCCAAATAGTGAACTCTATTCTCCAAATAAGTTACGTAAGTGTGATTCGTTTCACTTGCATTCTGGGACACATTACTACTAGGCTGGGCGGTATGATTACTCTCTGTAGTGGGGGATTCTATTTTTATTCTTTTAGATGGTGCATTCTCGTAGTTCCCCATATTGTTATTTGGTACACTATTTTGCGTTGAGTAGTGACATTCCTTTTTATGTTTAACACAAGTATTACATGGCATAGTACCAGAACACTTGATTTTTTGATTCCGACACCTATCGCATGCTTTACTTACTCTCATTCTGACCTTCAGTGATGGTACACCTTGTAAATGTGACTGACCAAACGATTGGTGTTGTTGCGGAGAAGATGTATAACTTGAGTCCATACTTAATTGGGGAGTAGGAGCTTGTGGAGGAAGAGCAAATGCCTGATTGGACTGATAATTGGTATACGGTAAATATTGATGACTCGAAGTTTCCATAGGACGAGAGATTCCTCTCAAGTTTGATTCAATCGGGTTGGGTTGCCCTCCTTGAATTAAAGAGACTTTTTCATAGGCATTACTTTTGAATAGTTGACCTGATGAATTTGCAGAATTCTGGTTATTATCACTTGGATTTTTATCCATATTCTGTTACAGTACTGTAAGGCATAAATCTAAACAGATAAATATAAAGAAATGGTTTCCGTGAACGGTCCGATCAATTTTTTTTTAAGTTTTTATTCTCCGCGCGTTCATATTTCTGCTACTTCTATAGTGCAACAACCTAAGAGTATTTCAATTGAACACTAAATACAGCTTTGGAAGCTTGAATGTATTATTGATAGTTAAGCATGGTAAATAATATATTCTTCTGCAAATACGACTTATTAAAATGTATTGTTCTGGTTGTATAATTTTAGAACCAACTTCAATGCTACAAAGCTACAATTTTGCATTCAATTATTAATTTGGTTATGTATTTGTGACCCTTTTGATAAAGGAAGATATTAAAACAATATGAAGAATAAATAATATTATTAGCATAGGTGTAACTATTGCCTATTTGATACAAAATGATTATACTTGGTTGTAGTTTCTATAGTTATTAGGGGTTTCTAATTCGTCGTATGGTACCTGTACTAAGGTAGACCTAGGCCCATTTGATAAAACATCATGGTTATTGTGATTTGGAGCTTCAGGGTTATTTGGATCAAAGTTAGCGTATGTAGGAGCTCCGTAAGTCAGAATGGTTCTTGCATCGTCCTTTTCATTACCATCATAAGGCTTGAAGCTATTGTCGAATTCTTCTGGATGTCTGACTCTGTAATGCTTTACAGCGGATGGGAATAAGTCGATACCCCACATCACTAATAAAACACCATACCAAAATGAGATGGACCACTCGAATATAGCAGAAGTACTATCTTTACCGTTTTTCATATAGACACCAAATAATAACGCTAATGCTGCTGCTGCTAACATCCAGAAAATCTTCAAGAAGAAAGATATCATATACACATTAGCCCACCTGTGCTTACCAAAGATAACCTTTTCGTGATCTGGACTCAATCTGTGAGGATAATTTCCGAAAATGAACGAATTGAAGAAGTTGAAGAAACAAGCAAAGAAACAACCTGCAATGAAAAGACCGACCATAGATAAGTGTACGGAATGATAATTTTTAGTATCGAAAATAGACACAAATAATATACCCAATTGGCCAATAATTGCACATATTATACTTGCAATCGCAAGCTTAGGTTGCTTTGTAGAAACATATGGCTGCAACTTTCTGGCTGTACGAAGATAGTATTCCATTATTAAAGTTCCAACGAAGAAAATAGCTTGGAAACCAGCGCAAGAGATGAAAAGAGGCTTCAAGTTGGTTGCTCCAATATCAGAAATATACACTGGACTTTGGTCCGTATATCCCATAAAGGCATACACCGGGTGACCCTGAAGCGACCAACAGGACAACATTGCAATCAACATACCCCACCATACCACCAATGCAATGAATGGAATGAAGTAGTAATGTATAATTTTAAACCTAAGAAGCGGATGTCTGGCTTTATGCTGCATCTCTATAATTGCTTATTAAAAAAATAGCCGTTAAATCTCAAATATGCTAGGCCCTGATCGGTTTTTTGTGCAATATGATACTATTTATATTAGTAACTCTCTGCACAGTCTTCAGCTAACCTTGAATAAGTTGAAAAGTAAAACAAATAAAAATTGTCATCATTTAGCAATATCATGGAACGCACAGCAGCAATGCCCCAGTGAAAAAAATCACCGGATAGGGTATAAGAACGCGCGCACGACTCATTATTACTCTTCACTTATTCCTCACGCTACCTACAAGCCTTGGTATATTAGCATAATCTTAGCTACCGACATCACATTATGGCACTGCCTAACCGATCGTCTCGAAGACACTGGTCCTGGGAAAAGGCGTTGCACTGCACTAAGAAGACCATCAATTTACATAGTTGGCTGTGAATATTCTGACATCTTTGTCGCGATGACCGAAACAATTCACAAGCGTCGTGACATCATCCCCAGCCAGCAAAAAGTCGTTAGATTCACGACATTCACGACATTCACGACATCAAACTACAATCACGACATTATTTAAAATCACAATAGGCACCAACAATTTGCCTCCAGGCAGGAACACCAACTCTACTGTGTTCGGGCCAGATATGCGTCTGCAGATCTCGTATGTATTTTGCCGACATTCAACGACATTTCTTTTGGATTCGTACGACATTCAATATATGCCGGAATACACCATTGAGATGACCTGGTAGCTTGCAGATTCTTTATTGATATACTTAACTTAATAGTATAGGAGGGGACATTTCACATATCCAGCTCAAAAGGGGGAAGTGTATAAGCATATGAAACGGGTCAAGGCTAGACCTGAAGTACGCCATGACAAACGCTAAAAACTAAGAATAGAGCAGAACCCATACATGACCCAATATTTGAATACCCCTATACCAATAGAATGCAGCATCTTGTAAGCTAATTGTGTGACGAAGGGCAAGCATAGGTGAGGTAGCATAGAACAATACGTAATACTAATACAAGGCCGGAGTGATCGGTCATTTTATGGCAGATTTAAGGTTGGTTGCGTCGATGAATGCAATTTCATGCATTGTAACAAGACAATGCGAGTCTTTGAAACAATTTAAGTACTGCACTTTGCAGTACAATATTTAGTAAGAAATTTATAAAATCCGATTACGCTGCGTCGGCTTGTACGCTAGAAGGTTGGCGCCTGCGGCATGAGTAACTGACTGTACTTGACCTTAGGTAATACAGGCTTCAAGTTGCGATTATTGAGCTTTAGGCTTCTTGTTTACTGTATGTTTGTAAAATCTCATTTGTCTGCTACAGTAAGGTAAAAAATTTTTTGTTACAGATGCCTGATGATCTTAACTCCAGATGGTTAGCTCGGGCATGTTATTGTAGTGGTGAAACTGGAGTTGCGATTTTATTTATTCATGATATGCCGGATACATTTACGCACCAGGCCACAGGAACACTTAGATTCGCTACGTTTTAATTTCTTGATATATATATGTATTTCTGGCATCTATTTTTTGTGATTGCAAATTCTTTATTAAAATAAATAACCACTCTAATGATAATATGAAATGCTTGAAGACCAATATCTAGATATTTACGTACGATTATCGTATCATATTCTCACTAGAGATACAGAAATCGAAAAACCATACAAGCAATTTTGTCTTCAATATTGCAGCCTGTTGAAACAAATTATACAATCGTCTCAGCTTTCCAGTATTAATCTTATAATAAGCTGGTACTACTTATACAAATATACGAGCAATACAGTGTGTGTGATCGATGCGGAAGAGGACTTGTCATTAATAAAGCATCTTATCTTCACATCATTCATTTTGGCAAATAAAACCTTTGATGATCAATGCTACTCCTGCAAAACTTGGTGCAACATCGCAAACAGTAGCGCAACAAATTACAAATACGACTTAAAGCTTATAAACAACCTTGAGTCACATTTCTTGTCGGTGGTAGACTACAGGCTTTCATTTACAGCTATTGATGACAGTGATTTCTGGACTTTTATGAAAGTAGTTTTTAATGCTACCAGTGTGCCTGGTCACGTGCTTCACCACTTTAAGTCTAAAATCACACCTACAGACGACCCACTTCCATCTATTCCCGTTACACCTATATTATATGACAACTTTGCGTCCCCTGCTACTGTTTCACTTAAATCACCTTTGACTCCATTAACGCCATTTTCTCTTGATAGAAAGCGTACATATAGCAACATGAATCACAGCAGCTTTGAAAAGTTGTGCAACAGCATTAATCTAGACGAGTTAACCAATTTCCAATTCAGTTTTACGGCTCAGTAAAAACATCATTCAGCATAATTGCATACTGCGTTTCTTTTAGCGCACAATTTTATTTGTATAATAGAATCTTACATTTTCGTTTGCAGTAATTCGCCTTCACCTAAATTTGTATAATTTCCTATTGTTCTGGAATTCATCAGACCATAAATTTCAGTTTTTATTTTTATCCTACATTTTTCCTGTGTATGTACTGAATTACGATCTCTTATTGTTTGATGCATGCACATACAATCTTGCTTATGTGAAGGTATTATCCAGCACTTATGAAATTTTCTTTATTCCGAAAGGTTACGCTACACGCGAATTATGACTTCCTAATACAGCTATAAGTACATATTATATGGTAGTACTAGGATTGAAACGCAGACTGCTTGATATAGTAATAAATGCATGTAAGTGCAATATGGGTTCAAGGCATCGCACTTACAAACCACATCATAAACTTTTGTATTACACTTGATCCAGGTATACTGAACACTCTTAAGAATATGGTTATATGTGGAATTTGTAATGTTAACGAATCAAAATATAAATGTCCCAAGTGTAGTGTGAATTACTGTTCGATTGTTTGCTTTAAGGGCCCTGCTCATACTCATGTAAATATAGAAGAAAACAAGACTAAGAGAGAAGACCCGATAGTAATTCTGAAAGACGAACTGGTCGGCAAGTTTGACAAGCTATTAAACGACTCTGAGATTCAATCAATGCTTAAGTACAAATCCCTTCAGTTTCATTTGTCGGTTATTTTGAAAATTATTAATGATCCTTCTATCACTGGTGAATCGGTCCTAGAGAATAGGAAGGAAATTGCTAACCTCAAATTGACAAATTTGAGAAGTGGTGGGTCAGAGCAGAACGAGTTGGTGGAAGATTTTGTGGAAAGGGTACTATTCTTGTTAGATGAGGACAGATAAAGGTAGATGAGGACATATGAAACTACACCAAATAATAGAGTAGTATCTACGAAATACATTTTCAATTGTATATATTATGCAATATTTTAAAATCAGATGACAAGTACGTCCGCGACTCTCAAAAGCATTCATATAGCTGATTGCAGGCGGTCAGTAACTTAGAGATCATGACATGTGTTTGAAAATAGTAGTAGTACAAAGGGCTGTAACAGCTTGTATTATAATCATATTTAGTTTATTATATATTAGGTAGCACTGATCCATCAAACCTCACAACTTTCCGCCCCAGATGTGCTTAACGTGTACATCATGTGGTTTATTCAACTTATATCTAAAAAGAAACCCACCTAAGTCACCGGTTTTATTGGTAGGGTCAATTAACGCACTCGAATCGCTTAAGTGAAGGTGTCCAGTTGTAATGTACAATTCATCGTTTGACTTTCCCCCTATGGTTACACTGGTTATTCTTTCTGCCGGTATTTTATATTCCTCAACATACTTGCCGTGCTCGTCGAAATGTAACACTCTGCTAGTTGAAAATATGGCTGAAAAGATATCACCAGACCTCGTCATCACCAACCCATCCGGCTCGGGACTACTAAACTGCTCCAAAACATCCACTTCTCTCACGTCAATATGCTTACGCTTGTTCGATAGCGTATTAGGGATGTAATCGTAGTCGTATTTCCAAATCGTATGAGTCAACGAGTCGGTCCAGTAAAAATGTTTTCGGTCCTGGGAAAATGCTAATCCATTTGGTATGTAGCAGTTATCTACCATCGTCTGAATAGTCAAATCATGGCAATTGATTCTGTACAACTTTCCTTCTGGCGAGACCTTACCTTCTTGTTCAGTAATCTCAAAATCGGTCATAACTCCGATCCACAAATGCCCCCATGGATCAATGATCCCGTCATTCGATCTCAATCTCTTTCTTTGGGTCTCGTTGTGATTGTATTTCAAAAAATATTCAATTTTGCCCGTCTTAAATGAACCCTTGCCAATCCCCTGTTTGCCGCATATAACAATCACATTATCATCACTGGTCAACGCTATGGCTCCTATCGACTCTTTTGGATCCTCGAACTTCAATTTTTCATGGCTTTCATCAAACTTTCCCTCAAGTAACGATGCTCGGTGCACTTCTCCTTGTATAATGTCGACCCAAATCAAAGTGTTATTTGACGGATTGTATGTCACACCTTCTGTTAACCGGCCTCTATAATCTGGAAATAATATATCCTTGGCTTTAACTTGAAACTCACTCATATCTACAGTTGGTTTTATTCATCTACTTTTTGTAATGGATTAATTTATTTCAAATTGTTATTTGAGTCACAATTGAATCTGGAACTTAGCTAAGGTCTAATTCAGATTTGCGAACTTCTGCAGAATGCGTCTCTCACATTCTTTGTAAAAAGCCTCGCCTAATCTAATTACAATTCTATACACAAACAAGAGTCTAGTATGCAACCCTGGGCATCTATAGTTATTAGCGATATTAAAGAGGTTTAAAGTACTATATAAGAAATATTAAGTTCCTATTTTCCCTTTTCTTGTAAGTCCAGCCATTTTTTGGCCAACTCTATCATGGTGTCCGTGTTAACTGATGCATCGATCACATCAATAGGCACTTGGTTCTCACTATGCTCCTTCTTGGAGAAACGTCCAAGATTGGTCTCGGATATAAGTCTGAGTTCATATTGATATATTTCTTTTGGGTTGGTCTGGATCAATTCGTGCCAGGTGAAGAGTAACGAATCTGTTTTTCTCGAGAATGGGTTGAAATCTACGATCCATACCTTGTCAAATGGCCGCGGAATGTACAAATCAACAATAACGCTATCTTGCTCTAGATTGGGCTCAATGACTTCTGTAAACATCTCATCAATCTTCTGTCTGAATTTGGGTACCAACTTTTCTAAGTAGTCGTAATAGTTCAAGTCACGTTGGGACACCCCCACTATGGTGCGGTTCTTGATGAAGACCCTGAATTCCAAAGCCGGATTCATTTCCACCCACTGGCGCAACACCAACTCGTAGGGAATACGTGTGTGTTTCTCCGACTCTCCACACTCGTTGAAGGCATCGTCAATGTCGTGTGCAATGTGGTCTGAAGCATTCAAAAGCAAATACACATCCGAGACATCCTCACACTTGGTGGTATTATTTGCCATGATCCACTTGGCATCTTTTGGTGCTGACCAATTCAATTTGGGACTCACCTTACCTCCCAACTGGCGTACTCCATCCTTTATCTCTTGGTGCAATGCAGAAAACTTATCCGTAGGGTTGATTTGAGGCCCTTCTTCATCATCCGACCAGTCACTATATTCATTATCACTATCTGCTACTATCTCATCCCTCTTTTCCTGAGGTAGCCGTATACTTTCTGATGACAAATACTCAATGAACTCATCTGTCAATGGCTTTATCACGATTGATTTGGCTACATACAGCTTGAATTTTGGGTACCAATTCGAGTACGAACACCCTATAACTTGCTCCTTACTCACTTTGAGCTCCTCAAACACAGAATAGTCTTGTCCTGTCATTATAACGCTGTATTGATTGCCATCAGAAGGTCTTCTAGTAAACGGTTTAATATTCATATTCTGGTCACATGAGCATCGACCAAAATCCTCGCGTCGTTTTGTGTCATTTTTTTTTTTCGAACATCTTTCCACTAAATACAACAACGAAGTGATTCTAACGAAACAAAAGAAGGCATATTCTCCATTATTTCACATTTCTGATCAAATCAATTAGTTGAGATTTAAGGTTGTTGTATAAGAGTCCAAATTAGACGCTGAAAGAAAATAATTACATACAATCGATAGAAATATGGCACAATCACAAGGAGGTAAAGGATCACCATCCAACGCCACTTTCAGAGATAAAGAAAAGCCACAAGAGGTTCGTAAGAGTAATATCTTAGCGGCTAGAGCTGTATCAGATGCAATTAGAACGTCATTGGGACCAAAGGGTATGGACAAGATGATTAAAACCAAAAACGGAGAAATTATCATTTCCAACGATGGGGCCACGATCTTGAAGCATATGGCAGTATTACACCCAGCAGCACGTATGTTGGTTGATGTGAGTGCAGCACAAGATGTTGAAGCAGGAGACGGTACCACGTCGGTTGCTATATTGACGGGATCATTATTGGGGGCAGCAGAAAAGTTGTTAAATAAGGGAATCCACCCAACGTTGATTTCGGAATCATTCCAAAGAGCGGCATCTAGATCAGCAGAAGTATTATTGGAAATGTCGCACAAGATTGATTTGGATGACAAGGAAGCATTGATTAGAGCTGCATCCACGTCTTTGTCGTCTAAGATTGTTTCTCAACATTCGGCATTATTGTCGCCATTGGCTGTCAACTCTGTCTTGAAGGTTATGAATGAAGAACATACTAATGTCGATTTGAATGATATCAGATTAATCAAGAAGGTTGGTGGTACCATCGACGAAACTGAATTGGTCAATGGTGTGGTATTGACGCAAAATGTTGTTAAAACTGCTGGCGGTCCTGTTAGAGTCGATAAGGCGAAGATCGCTTTGATTCAATTCCAGTTATCTCCTCCAAAGCCTGACATGGAAAACAATGTCGTGGTTAATGATTATAGACAGATGGATAAGATTTTAAAGGAAGAAAGGGCTTATTTGTTAAACATTTGTAAGAAAATCAAAAAATCAAAGTGTAACGTGTTATTAATTCAGAAATCGATCTTGAGAGATGCTGTGAATGACTTGGCATTACATTTCTTATCCAAATTAAATATCATGGTCGTTAAGGATATTGAAAGAGATGAAATTGAGTTCTTGTCGAAGGCGACAGGATGTAAGCCAATTGCCGATATTGACAACTTCTCTGAAGATAGATTAGGTTCAGCTGATGTTGTTGAAGAAATAGAATCTTCTGGCTCAAGAATTGTTAAAATTGATGGTGTCTCTGCCAAGAATGTCAAACCAACTGTTTCTATAGTTTGCCGTGGTGCCAACCAACTTGTCTTGGATGAAACTGAAAGATCTATCCATGATGCACTTTGTGTAATCAGATGTTTGGTTAAAGAAAAGGCTCTAATTGCTGGTGGTGGTGCTCCAGAAATCGAAGTTTCTAGAGTCTTAATGAGTGAAGCTAACAAGTTATCTGGTGTGGAACAGTTTGTATATCAAGAATTTGCCCAAGCATTGGAAGTTATCCCAACAACTTTGGCCGAAAATGCTGGGTTAAACTCAATCAACGTTGTCACTGATTTAAGAAACAGACACGCTAACGGTGAAAAGAATGCTGGTATTTCCGTGAGAAGATCTGGTGCTTCCAATACCTACGATGAACATGTTTTACAACCAGTCTTAGTCAGTTCTAGTGCTATCACTTTAGCATCTGAATGTGTCAAGTCAATCTTACGTATTGATGACATTGCATTCAGTCGTTAGAGTTGATTAATTTCTTCATACCTGTATAAAACACAACTACAAAGACTGATAGGAATATACTTAATTAAGCTTATTAATATATATATATCTATACTTAAATATATTCAATTAGGTAAACTAAAGGCTCAGTTTGAGGCTGGAACTGGTGTACTATTATTGCCCGTAGTTAATTTATTTAGCTTCTTCTTTAACAATCTGCTTGGATTTAATGCGAAGAAACATTTCTTGTCAACTTTTGCACTTTCCTCACGAGATGTCTCTGGAATTTGTTTGGCTAGTTTGATGCACTTCCTTATCGTTCTAACCAATGTCTCGTATTGCTCTCGTTGCGCTTTATATATATCTCCAGCTTTGGCGTCATCTTTGTTTGTATTCTGTAGGTCTGCTTCTTCCAGGTCGACTTCTTCCTTTTTTATATTCACATTATCCTCAACATTGTTATCAACTGGGATTTTGTCAGTCCTCGATTCAGGATCTTCTTTAATTGTGTCTAATTTGCCCTGAGTATTATCTTCATCATGATGATGTTCTGATAAAAACTTTCTTTTCAAATACCTATCTGTTATTCTTTTATCAATATCATACATTGCAGCAAGTGCAATTTGTGGTGGTGAGAAAAGAAATGAAACGTCACTCAACAATGCATAATCACTCAACCACTTTTTTGCTTTATCATACATTCCACCAATTGTATCCACATTAACATCATACATTAAGGGAGTCGGGTGTAACAATACTGCTTGGAAATCTAGGAAAAATCCATATAATGGACGGAAAGGATGATGAACCAATAACGTGAACTTCAAAGACTGTAAGACTATAAATTCTAAATCAAGAACATCCTTTGGTTCTGTCTTTGGTAGTGCTTTACAGAATGATTCTATTGACATGAAGTAATTTTCAGACTTAGCTGCTAAGAAAACACAAGTGTATAATATATTCTTAGGATGATATTCCATAACTGAGTTTACCAAATAAAATTTCTTAAAAAATGATACTGCTGTAGCTTTCACCTGTGTTGGCATTCGAAACGAACTAACCACTTTGATAATATTCTCACAATAAAAATTTAGGTACTTTAACTCTTCTTCTGGAGTAAGTAGATCTAGTAGTTTCTGCGAGGTAAGTTCATCTTGATATTTATCAAAATCGCCTTTCGAATCAGATTTAAGCTTCACTAGAGCTCTTTCAAACTCTTCTATTGCATGTTGTCTCCCCTTTTCATTTACTTTCTGTTTAGCTTCTCTTAATGATTCTGAAGTGTAAGACCAAAGTTGGTACTGCGTTGATCTTCTATATAAATCATCGACCGTTACCTGAGGCTTTTTTCGTATTGGATGTGATTTTCCATCTTCCTCTATATTCTTGTTAAGTTCCCCTAAGTCTGCCATTGAAGCTAGCTATACGTTATTTGAAAGTCCTTTCAGGTGTTGTAGAGCTCTTTAAGCATTTAAACAAAATATTTCAGTCACGTGTTTTCTACAAACAAATATGCAATAGACATCGATTACTATACAAGTTAATACATACAAGATTAAACCAATTTAACAGATCTAGATAATCCTTTCTTAATACCAGTCTTTTCACCTTGGTAAGGACCTTTATTACTTGAATCATAGACTTGTCTAACAGATTTAAGTTTCTTTTGAGCCTTTTCATACTTCTTTCTCTTCTTCACTCTCGAGTTTCTGTTATCCTTCTTTCTATGAGGAGTAAGACCCTTATTCTTAAGAATTTGGAAATTAACAGCTCTCTTTCCATCGTCGCCCAATCTTTCTTGTAATTCTTCCAATTTACCTTCTTTAGCGGCTTGAACAGCAGCTTCGTGGGCCTTACGACGAGATTCTTGTTTCTGAATTTTGCTTTGCTTCATGCTTTGGTAATAGTCATCACCACTGTCCTTAATATCATTGATTTCATTGACAAGTTGCTCATCGTCAGAACCAACTTCTTCGTTATCCAAATCATCACCAAGTTGATCCTTGTCTTCTCCCAAACCTCTTTTTCTTGCTTCTTCAATAAGCCTTTGTTGTCTCTCGAACAACCTTTCTTTATAAGGCAAATCTAAGTCACCCGTCAAACGTTCACGGTTATTCTTTGCTGCGGCTTGGTCAATTTTAGAAGTATAGAAACGTAAGGTACGCTTACGACGTTGCTTCTCTTCCATATCGACTTCTTCTGGTGTGGCAACTTCAGTGAAGTCATTAACTACAGCCTTCTTTTTAGATGGTAACTTAAGGTTACGTTTTGAATTGATATCAATATCAAATTCTTTATCTTCGTCTTCATCTTCTTCGCTTTCTTCTTCAGAATCTTCATTTTCGTCTTGTAATTCTTCATTATCACCAATGGCATCAACAAAGTTATCTTCATCGTCATCTGATATTTCATCTTCATCAATAGAATCATAAGCCTCATTTACATCATTAAGTGTCTTTTCATTAGCAGGTGTATCAGGTAATTCACTGGCTTGCCTCCACACTTCTCTCGATTGTAAAATGCTTTCCATCACTGGACTATCTTTCATTGTAGCAAACGTTTCACCACTCTTCAAATTATCCACAAATATGGCAAAATATGATGTTATGGCACTCAAATATGCTGACAATGCGACAATTTTAAGCTCTATTAATTGGTTACGTTCCTGTTTCTGATATTTGGCTAATCTAGGTTTTAACAGATTTAATTCTTTCAACAATGGAACAAATTCCGGGAAAGATGTGTTCAAAAGTTTCAACTTTTCCTTGTCATCTAAATTATCTAAGGCATCGGAACCCCCTTCGTTGATCACCAACTGGAACTTCTTATCATCCTTGTTTTCAAAATCTTCTGTAACTTTTTGCCAGTCATTCATCATGTCATCGTCAACATAATCATCCATTGCCAACTCACTCAAATGCTTCTTTTGTTGTTTTATGGCTTCTTCAGTCATTTGTCTGCCGTCTTCGTCATCACTGGCATCATCACCACCATAGTAATTTTGTCTACCACCCCATCCTTTTTCTTCATCTTCTTCTTCTTCTTCCTCGTCTAGTGATTCGTCTTCGTTGCCTTCTAAAGCTCCTTCTGAATCCGATCCTTCGCTCTCTTCACCTAATTCCATAACTTCTTCTTCGGATGATTCGTCTTCATATTCACCATTTCTTGGTCTATAATCTCCTGCTTCATTCAACAATATCTTTTCTTTATTTGCATCAAATGCATCTACTTCGTCTAAGTCCACATCTTCGTGAACCTTGGATTTTCTCGATCTAGCCATCACGAATTATATGCTTGGTATTGAATGAATAGTCTTTCTATACTCATCGCTAAAATACCTAACCAAAAAATTATGCGGCTTAAATTTTTTTGTAACAAATTTTGTGTAATGTCTAATAGGTGAAAAGTTTATGCAATTGTACTGGTAAAGGATCAGGCAAGTTCTCTAGATAAGGATACAAAAGTTCAGGAATGTCGAATAGATTGGAGTCATTGAATTCCAAAAAGCCATCTTCTAGTCCTAAACCTTCTTTAAGGTTTAAGCCTAAGGTTGTTGCTAGAAAAAGTAAAGAAGAAAGAGCGAAAGAAGCACCAAGTCAAATCAAGCAAGAAAATGGAGACCATAAACCACCAGGAAGAGATCACACATCAGGTAGAGGAGGACACAGTAAACGTGGTGGCCGCGGTAATTATAGTGGAACACACTTGGTTTCTGCGGGACCTTTGGCGTCGGGATCAGTATCTATAGGTAATGCTAATGGGTCTAAGCTAGGTTTGACTAGGGATAGGGCGTATAATTCAGTGTCACCTACTCCGGAGTTTTTACAAAGTTTGAAATTAAAGGATCTGAAATTGAAATCTAAGTCGCCCACACCATCCAGAGACGATGAGTCGGACGAGGAGGACCCCACTAAGATTGATATGAACAAAGAATACAGATTTGCGGATGAAGAAACAATATTATTTCCAGTTAGACCAGAAAGAGATGAATACTTAGCAGATGATTTAATCCATCCTGTGCAATCAAAAGAAACGTCTACTGAACCTGAATCTAATGAAGGTTTTGAGGCCGAACCATCGCCTGTCAAAGATGAACCAATTGAGACTAAATTAGAACAAATAAAGGAGCATAAGGCACAACTTGAAACAAAAATTACTGAAACAGTTGATGTTTTAAACCAAGAAGAGAGCACTAAGATTATAAGCGATCATCAGGCAATTTTGAATTTGGTGACTGAAAAATTCAATGGGTTAAATACTGAACCTAATGACGAAACAACGAAAAACAATAGTTATACTTTATTCCACTTACCAAACGTTTTACCTGAATATAATAACCAAGACACTACCGCCGATCAACTAAACACGAAAGACGATTGCAAAACAACTATCTTTGCATCCGAAGTTCCATCCTTACGTGGGCAGATCGGGCATTTAAATATTCATAAGTCTGGTAAAATTTCTATTAATTTGGGTAATAACAACAATCTCGCAGTTTCTCAAGGCTCTGCTGCTCACTTCTTACAAGAAGTTATAATGCTTGAAATGAATGATACCGATAATAAAGAAGATGTTGAAATGATGAATCAAGATGGAGAAAAGATTAAAGGGAAATTATATCGTTTCGGTCAAGCAGAAAGCAAAATTATTGGAACACCTGCAATCCATTGAGCATTTAATTAAATACATTGTATATTATTTTTCATTATAAAATTTAAAGAACCAATATTAAATTGAAAGCTTGGTGTAGAAGGTTAAATCATAGGCTCGTTCCCAATATAAAAGTAGTTTACGATTATATTTCTGATTATTAAATTTTTTATTAATGCTATACATGTTATATACATAATTAATGCTCTAATAATTTCGAAGTCAATGCTTCCAAATCTTCTAATGTTTGTGGTTCATCATATTCAACAACTCCATCATCCTCATCCTTATTGACATTCTTATCATTGTTGAACCATTTTGGTTTCTTAGTTTCCGGAATGACTTCATCAGCGCTAGAGTATTCCATATCACGATCTAAATCAACGTCATCGCCACCTATAGTAGCAACAGTTTGAACATCTTCATCTTCGTCGTCGCTTCCTTCTCTCATATTTCTTTCCATTTCTTTTCTCTTTCTCTTCTTTTCTTGTCTTTTCTCTTTAGCAGTTAATTTATCCTGAATATCGGCATTACTCATCAACTCAGTTTCCTTATTCAAAAATGCGTCCTTTTGAGATTTAGCATCACCATGCTTCTTGAAATCCTCTTCGTCTTCTAATTCGTAAATTGCATGCGCTACTCCATCGTCGTCGAATTTCAATTTGTTAGCATTTCCTTTGCCGGCAACAGAAGCCTTCTTAGAAAGTGCTTTCTTGGCTTGTCTTTTAGATACTGGAATAGACAAATCAGGTAATTCATCTTCTTTCAAATCGTGATCTTGACGTTTGACAGCCATAAAGTCATCATCGTCATCATCGTCGCTCTTTTCTGTGGCATCGGCCTTATTTCCTGTCAAATTCAAATAATGATCGGATAAAATAGTTTGATTCTTTCTTTCAAACATACGATCATACTTGGTTCTAACTTTTTTCTCTTCTTCGGGAGCAACATCTCCTTCGTTGTTAGCCTTTGACAAGGCTGCTAATTGTCTTGACATATTCTTCTTTTCTTTATTATCTGTTCCACCTTTAAACTTGATTTTTGGGGCACCTGGCAACCCTAAGGATCTGGCAAATTTCTCAGAAGGTAACTCGTCGATTTTAAAAATGTCTTTGTCTTTTTGAACATAGACTGACCTAAAGTATGAAATAAATGCTCTTTGACCTAAATTTTTAATCATAGGATCTTGGAAACATAAGGATTGCAATTGTGGTCTAATTGTTTTTTTGTTCTTTTGCTTTATATTCATGAATTTTAGTTCAATCTTATTGTTGTTCAATCTTTTTAGCATGCCATTCTCTTCCGATGGTAATAACATCATAAGAGACTTACCAGAACGTCCAAAACGAGCAGCACGTCCAACTCTATGAACGTATGTTGCAGCATCTTCTGGGCAATCAATTTGAACAACCCAGTCAATGGCAGGGAAATCTAATCCTCTTGCAACAATATCAGTTGCAAAAAGACATGCATGTTGTGCTTGCGAAAACTTCACCGTTGTTTCCATTCGCGATGTTTGCTTATGACGACCATATAATTTTAATAAAGATATACCTGGCTGCAAAGTACGAAATGTTTCGTATGCATATTGCACTTGTTTCAGTGATGAAAAAAATACAAGTATTTTACTCTTCAAGTGTGATTTTATGAAAGACCACAAAACGTCAAGCTTTTCATCCAAAGGAATCTTGATATAATATTGTTCCAAACTTTCTGGAGTAGCTGACAACTCTTGGTCTGATGAAATTCCCACTCTTTTTGGATTAGCTAAAGATAATCTGGCTAAATCCTTAACACTGTCCGATTGAGTTGCAGAGAATAACAATGTTTGTCTGGTTGGTGGTAAATGGCCTAAGATATTATCGATTTGTTTCTTAAATCCCATATCCAAACACCTATCAGCCTCATCCAAAACTAATACCTGTAAATTGGATGTTTCCATCCCAACTGCTTCATTCAAATGTTGAGATATTCTTCCTGGTGTTCCGACCAATATATTCATTTTTGAAACTCTTTCTTTCTCATACTTGACATCCTTTCCACCTGTAACAAGGCCAGCAGAAAAATTATTATATTTTCCAATTTTCACTAAAACTTCGAAAATTTGCACCGCTAACTCTCTAGTTGGTGATACTATCAATGCAGCAAGTCCATCATATTCGGTGATTTTGTTTCTTATCAAAGACTCAATAGTTGGAATTAAAAAGGCTAGAGTTTTACCAGATCCTGTTTTTGCAGTACCCATAACATCTTCACCTTTTAAGGAAATTGGGATTGTTTTCTTCTGAATATCTGTCAAGGATACAAAGCTCGCTTCTTTTAAACCCTTTATTGTTTCTTCTGAAATTGGAAGGTCACTAAACTGTGAAATCAGTTTTTCATCCACTACTGGGTCATAAGCATCAATCCTTTCTTGTAATTTGGCTAATGCTTCTTCTTCCTTCACACGGTGAGATTTACGTTGTGATTTTACAACCTTACGGTTACTCTGCTTCTTACCCATAATTCTATACCTTATCTTCTACTAATTTGACCTGTTTTCAATCGATAGTATTAATACCATCTCATCTCTCTTGTGCGTATAGAACCAAAAAATTTTTGGATTCGTTTATATGCAGGATGTAATTTATGTATATACGTATTTGCATCTATAAAGACAAGTTAACGCTAGAGTCCTAGAGTCAGTCACTTCTTTGAGTATAGTCGTACCTGAGGCCGTCAGTTAGAATTGCTTCATGTCTATAATAATGAATTAAATCATTAAAACTGTATGTTACTTTGCCCAGAATGCTTTCTGGTTGATGTGTGGCACCTTATTCACAGATTACTAGAGCTAATTACTATTCTGCTTTAACCATCAATTAGTTTGGAGTAATCGGTTGATAATTGATTTTAATTGACTAAAAATTGAGTATTTCCGAATATTGCAAGCACAAGTCGCCATATTTGTCGAATAATTTGGAATCTAACACGTTGTAGCTCATATTGCCTCGAGGGATATTATATTTAGAAAGAACCCTTTCAAATGGCTCCAGTAATGTGTTTGTCTCTTTGTCATTAGACTCGTGGTCGATTTCAATTTGAATCAATAATCCTTTGAAAATACCATGGAGGAACACGTTCGAAGTTCTTATTACCAAACTTCCATTCTCCAACTCGTATATCTGGCCACCGTCACCTTTAATGTTCTGCTTCTGTGTCCACAAACTCTGCAATTTTTGGTTCACAAAAAAGTCGAAAGTGTCATTCAACCCTGTAGTAGCCCCCTGGTGCAAATGACTATCTGGAATTGAAAATTCCGTACCATTCAGAATTTCTGCAGACTCCTCTTCTATCACATTACTGAATACGCAAGCAGAATTCTTATTAATCAATGAAATACAAGACCCCATTAAATATGATGGTGCTAATGTGTACAAAAATTTGGATTCAGATGATGTCACGCTCGTCTCTGCTAGTTCAGGTGCAATAGAATACGGGTTGTTCCTAAATATTTTAAAGCTGAAGCTCCATTTGCCTTTAAGTGTTGGTAATTCGTTAGACAATTGATCATGAAATTGAACTATAGTTTCTGGGGTAGCCTTTTGTATCAAAATGAGTCTATTTCTATAGTTAGTACTACCATCCTAATAATGAATAAAATCAATTCCTTTAATCCTAACGTACGCTGATACCATTATTATAGGTTGAGCTGGTAATCTATCTTGGTGTTGTTTTATCAATACATTGACCGATTGTTTAGAACATCATGTTGGTATATCTCGTTCATGAAATTTGGTTATGTGGCCCGAGCCCGTGATTTTTTTTTCATACTTGAGAAGAGCATCTACAACCAAACTACTAAAAAGGTAATAGTGAATTAAAGCATCTGACAGAGGTAATGACAATAGAGGACTGTGTTAAGCAAGAGGCTATCTTTGCTGGAGTAAACAAGCAATCTTTTGTTGCTGATTATTCTCCAAAAGAACAAATAGTAGCATATGGTGCATCAAACAATGTTGCATTATGGAAACCGTTATCCAAAGATAACAAAGGGGTATACAGCACGTTGAAAAAGCACACGAAAGAAATCACAGGAATTAGGTTTATTCCTAATAGTCCATATTTAGTATCAGCTGCTGAAGATTTTGAAGTGAATGTTTGGAAAAGGCAAGGAGATGAATATGCTCACCATAGCAGTTTAGATTTCCACAAACATTCTATTACTTGTTTATCCGTAATCAACGAATTTATATTTGCCACAGGAAGTGCAGATGGGCATATTGCATTATGGGGAGTAAATAACGAGACCGAAGAGTGGGGTTTGATACACAATTTTCAAGTGAAGTCTAATTTCTACCCAATGACATTAGCATTACAAGATGTAGATGCAAATGGTGGTTACGTTTTAGCAGTAGGTGGAACAACTCCTATTGTTTATGTCTATTCTTTTACGTTATTACCAGACCACGGTAGCATTTCACATTTTGATCAATCAGCAACATTAACCGGACATGAAGACTGGATTAAGTGCCTTAATTTTGTAATGGAAGAAAACCACAAAAACTATATATTAGCCAGTGGATCACAAGACAGATACATCAGATTATGGAGATTGAAGTTAAATGATCAGATCGACGACTCCGATGAAGATGAACTGAAGTTAATTCTTTTATCAAACAAGCAGTACAAATTTAACGTAGGAGAATCTACAAGGGCTGCTATCAGTTTCGAAGCCTTAATTATGGGACATGATGACTGGGTTACTGGTCTTCAATGGCACCCATCCTACCAGCTGGACTCGAGTGAAAAGAGATTGCAATTGTTGTCATCAAGTGCCGATACTGCGTTAATGGTGTGGGAAATGGATGCTGATTCGGGTATCTGGTGTTGTGTTAATAGATTAGGTGAAATGTCAATCAAAGGTGCTTCTACTGCCACAGGTGCCTCAGGGGGGTTCTGGTCATGTTTGTGGTTCAATGATGATAAGCATCAATATATCTTGGCCAATGGTAAGACTGGCTCATTTAGAGTATATAAGACTGTTGATGACGAAGCTAAAACATGGGAGGCAGTTTTAGGAGTGACTGGTTCTACAAGAGAAGTTACTGACTTAGTATGGTCCTTGAATGGTGAATATTTCAGTACAACTTCTTTGGACCAGACTACAAGATTATTTGCTCCATGGGTAAAGAACAGAGATTTTAAGACATGGCATGAATTTTCCAGACCTCAAATTCATGGTTATGACATGATTTGTTTGGATAACATAAGTGCAACCAAATATGTATCTGGTGGTGATGAAAAACTCTTAAGAGTTTTCGAAATGACGCACTCAATTAGTAGATTATTACACAACTTTTGCGGTATTGATATCGTTTCTAGTGAATCACAAGAGGAGTTGCCTGAATCTGCCTCGTTGCCCGTATTAGGCTTATCTAATAAGGCTGCTAATGAACAGCTTGAAGCTGGTGAAATGTCTCAACAGCAACAAGACATAGAAGAAAACGAAGGCACTGAAGCAAACACACCTAAAGAGGATATTTTAGAATCTTTAACATCTCCTCCATTGGAGGATCATTTACAGAGATACACATTGTTCCCTGAATTGGAAAAGTTATATGGACATGGGTACGAAATAACATGCTGCGCTACGTCTCCTTCTGGCTCGTTGATTGCATCAGCTTGTAAATCTAATAATGCCAGACATTCAGTCATTCGTATTTTCAATGTTGCGGAAGAATACCAACAATGTGCCCAAGTATTAGAAGGACACAATTTAACCGTCACAAGTTTAGAATTTTCCCCAGATGGACAGTTCTTAATGTCTGTCTCCCGTGATAGACAGTTCTCGTTATGGAAAATAGTAGACGAGAAAGCAGGCAAGTTCGAACTTTTTGAGCTTAATGCAAAAGCACATAGCAGAATCATTTGGGATTGCTCCTGGGCTCCTGCTAACCCTTACGGCAACTTTGTTGTTACTGCTTCGCGTGACAAGCAAATCAAATTATGGCAAGTAAATGAAAAGGTAGAGGCTGTTGCAGCTATCAAGTTGCAAGATGCTGTTACGTCTGTTTCTTGCTATAGAGCCAGTTTGTTTGAAAACAAGATACTGCTTGCGGTGGGTTTGGAGAATGGTGATCTTTCGTTATTTAGTGTTGATCTCAGTGAACAAGAGAAAACATTCAAATTACACTTGAAATTTGATTCTACATTAACTCCAGCTAGTAGAGTATCTAAGGTAAGCTTTAGTAACAAGTTGCATGACAACAACAAGAATTTAATGCTTGGTGTGGCAAGTAATGACACGTCTGTCCGTATTTATAGTATAAACAAGGAAATTTTTGTATAGTTTTCCCAACATGAATGAAAGAAATAATCATCACATGGTTCTGAATATAGAAGAATTATGCTATTGACTCCAAAGTAACAAAATGTAGGATATGTTTTGAAGTCTATATGTTTGAGTGGTTTTGTGTCATTTCCAGTTTGTGTCATTTTTTAGTTGATCAAATCAACCCCCAAAGTCGAAACTTAACGACACGAAATAACATCTAATAATATTAATCAATTATAAGTATAAATTATTGAAATCTCATAGCAATGGCCGACAAATTTCCAGCTTTGGATTCTATAGATAAGGACGTACCATCAAACAGCTCCACCGAGGACATTGGAGACAGTGATTTCTTATCTCGTGAAAAGGAACTACTTGGTGATGAATTCAAGACCGAGAACGATAAAGACGCTTTGGAAGAAAGTGACGATGAAATAAATGACTTCAAAGAGCAATTTCCAGATGTCGAAGGTACTAAGGCAGATGAAGAGGAAGTAAGTGAATCGGAAGATAAAGGGTTCGATGAAGCTGATACCGGATTTTCCAGCACCGCAGGTGAATCTATCGAGGATTCTAAGCATATAAAAGAATGGAGGGAACGTCGTGATTTGGAAATTTCTGAAAGAGAAAAGGCCAATTCCAAGAAGAAGGAAGGAATTATTTCCAAGGCTCAAGAAACAATTGATGACTTTTACGAAAACTATAACAATAAGAAAGAGAAACATTCAAAGGACATTTTGAAAGAACAAGAAGAATTTTTAGAAAAGAGGGACGGCTTTTTGAAGAATGGAACCTTATGGGATAGAGTTAATGAGTTGGTTGAAGAAGTTGGTGAGTTACCTGATGATGGTAGTAGAGATAAGACCAGATTCAAGAAGTTATTAGGTAAATTAAAGGGAAAGGAGAATGTTCCAGGTGCTGGTGGTTATTAGTTTTAGATTATTATATGTAGAGCTTGGTTTGTCTTTGGCACAAAATAGTTTCTTGATTTGCTTGTAATTATTTCATCATATTAAAATATATACTGAGTACGAACAAATAAATAAGCAACGTCTTTCAAGAATTACATGATTTTATTAATCAATCTAGGTAAAGATTCCTTCTGTAGTTTCTGGTATTTTTCTTTGTGCTCTCCTTGTACATTTCTTGCTAAAAAGTCATTTAAATTCATTAGCTTTAACACCCCAATGCACATCAACACAGCTTCAAGTCTATTCCAGCTCTTTAATCTTAAAAGTCTAAATTGAGGATGGTTTCCTTTCACCACCCTCCACTTGGATAACAAAATAAGACGGAATAAATAAGAACTCAAATTGTTGATAAAGCCTTTGGAAATATGACGAATATTAGTAGATTCTGTCGTATCATCAGAGACTTCTAATTTATATCCATAATCAGGTACAAAGTCTGCCGAGTTAACATAAAGAGTAACAACTCCGGCCACAAAACCTATCACTTTCATGTAACTCTTAAAAAATAGCTTAACATGTGATAAGTACCACCTATTAGTAGCAGGATGAGCTGGGTTTCTCAAGTATACTAGCAAAGGGGATGTTAGCGAGATAAGTATCATGGATATCAAATTTGGCAAATAAATAAAATTAATCAATGAATTAGCTCTATGGCCGGCATAGGTTAAATAATTCTTAGTAATCGCCGACACAGTTGTTCTTCCTTCACCATTGAGGAATATCCCATGCTTCAATTCATAATAACGGTCTAAGAATCTACTTTTAAACGACATCAATCCGAATGCCAAGTATGCCATTGCATTATGCTGCAAATAAGTCAAAATCAAGCCAGGCCAGCTTATTCTATGCAGTTTAACTCCAAGAGAAAAATTAATCCAGATTGGATTCAATATCGTAGTCTTCAAATAGCTTGATAAGTATCTTTGGTTCAACTTATATCTTGTCGGAGTCAAATAATTGGACAATATTTGTCCGAAAATCATTGGATATATGACATATTCCTTGTTCGAATACAATCTCCTGAACACTTCAGAGTATGTATTCACCTTAGCATAGCGTGAAAACCTGGATACAATAATGTTCAGTGCTGAAGGAGGGTTCAAACTCCCTATATAGTTGATCCATATATAGACCGATAAGTAATCTTTAGGTATTCTAGCATTATCTGCAACAGAAAAATATAAAAAGCAACAAGTTATAATATTAGAAACCTTAGCTATGTGTCTTTTAACGTTTTCAGTCTGTGTTTTCTTTGCAATTTGTTCATAATTCATAGTAACAATACGACGTATGAACGGATTCAACGATAGGAAGCTTGACCATTGTAACGGTTTAGGTATTCTTGCAAGCAACAAGATTATTACCCATTTGGCCCACTTTTGAATTGAGGGATCTAGCTGGTTCATTTATACTTTGACAAACACACACTAACCAATTTATTTTATGGCCTAATCTTTTAAGTGGAAGATACGCGAGAATTCATTTATCGCATTTAAAATATCATCAACACGAAAAGTAATCAAACCACCTATATACTAAATACATAATTATGAATGGATCAACATCCTCTGACGCGGTTGATCCAGGTTTAGGAGTCACCACTCCTTCTCCAGTCAAACAATCATTAAGGCTAAGTTCTAGCTCATCAAGTAAAGATGATAAACAAATAACACCATCCATTAAACGATCCAATTCTACTAGATCCAAGGGGATAAATTTTAATGTTGCTATATCTCCTTTGGCTATAAATCAAACACCTCCTTCCCTGAAAGGTAGCCATAGGAAAACAGGATCATATGATGCAAAAAATTTACATTTACCCAAACTACCTGAATCTTCGCCAAGTTCTAGCACTCCGGATTCGCCGATTCCATCAGCTTCAGAAGAATTAAAATATGACCTTCCATTGCCACTGATGGAGCAACTCATGGGAATGGATATAGACGACCAATTAAGATTGCTTGCGCTAAAAGAAATGAGCATAGTAGAAATAAAAGATAGTATAGGAAACCTAAATTCTAAATTGCAGAGAAACGAAAAGGAGTTGCATAGTTTACGAGAAGTCATACAGAAGTCATTATACAAAGAATTGAATTCGTCAACCTCAAAGCTGAAAAACGAAGCACAATCAAATACAAATGTCACAAGACCACAAAGACAGAATAGTAACCCTCGAGAAGAGGCAATTGCAAGCACCAAAAATAGAACTAGAAGGAGAACTTTATCATCGTCTTCTGGTGGTGCTGCCCCTGTATTACTGTCTCAGCAATCAACGCAAAATCCTGATAAGCAAGATAGAAGAAACTCTACATTATGGAGCAATTTATCGAAACCGTTGAATTTAATACAGCAGTTTGATTCAATGCTACAACATGAATTTGAAAAATCTATGATTCCTCAGCAAAACCGTGAGATTCCAAGTAGAACTACACATTCACATAAATCAAGACATTCAGAGGATTCAATATCCAGTTTGGGATCGATCTCCTCGCCTCTAAATTCAAAATCTAAATCTATTAGTGAAAAACCATCGAATGATGAGTTAGACCAATATTTTGCTCAGCAATCAGGTATATCAAAATCTAAAACCGATGGTGTTATTCCTAAGGGAAATCATATGAATTCAGACGATATGCTCCAAGCAGTTTCATCTTCAATTTGGTCATTTGTTAACGATGTGAAAACAAATGTACTTTCATCATTAGGAGATGAAGAGGCACCTGAATCTGGAGGCCATGTAACTAAGGGACCATTGGATTTCACGAACTCGGACAACCAAAAAGACATCAACGATCTCACACTCTATAATTTGGATATCGGATCTACAGTAAGCTTTGAAAAAAATGAAGACTCTGATCTAGAAAATACATTTGTCCATAATACGATGAGTGTCGACGGTACTATCGTAGACGATAAAAGCAAAAATGACTAATGAAGATACGAAATGCTAACGGAATCAACTGTTCTATCTGATTCTTTATAGAACTATTTATTATTTAAATTATGAAACTATTCACGAGCCGACAAGGAAATTTTACAAATCAATATACGCATTACACAAATCGTGCTAGACTATAAGCTTTGTAACCCCTTAACTAGTTCTGATTGCCTCTTATCATCTGATTCTTTGCCACTAAGGTCCCCAACTGATCTTAAATCCTTCATTACGATATCTTTCAATTTATCAAAATATACATCTTGCAATAAGTTTCTCAAATTATACTCGGACTTTTCAATCAAAGTACCCAAATTTATTAAATGGGCAGTTTCTATGTTCAATGCCGCATCTAAGCTTAATGATTGCGTAGATTCCAATTGTCTTGTTAAACTACCTGCAAGTGACAATGATGACAGCTTTTTGTTTTGTAAATCAAGTATAACAGATGAAGTTACCTTGTATGTTGCACTGCTTGAAGTTTCTGGTATAACTTCAATCACATGAATTGAGTCCCATTTACCTGATCCATCTTCTGTTTCCTTCTTGAACAACACAACACCCGCAAATCCGTTGTCCAAAGTTTCCTGTTCTTCGTCTTCTTCATTTGTGTCCCAAAAATATACTGAAGAAGTACCCGACCCCTCATAATATAAGTCACGGTATATATCAAAACTGTCGTTGGCCTTAACTTCTAATTCCCTTAAAATATTTGATGGGAATGGAGGTGGTAAGTCGTCTGAATCTTGTGCCACTGCTGGGAAATACTTATTCGACCATGGAGATCTATACGAGTCACCATCTCTATTGTAATCACAGCACAAGTATTCTTTGCCTGTTTCATCACATTTTTGGGTGCGTAATGGAACATCTACCGACGATAACAAATCTTGGGTCAATTCTTCACTTGTTTCAGAACCATCGTTTTGAATGAGCGTACATATATCGTTCAAATTCTTGGATATATTCTTTGGATCTAAGCGTCTCATCAAATCCAATGAGGCATCTAATTTATCATCATACGAGGTCATTGTGGTGCCAATTGATTAAGGTAGCGTTCCAACCTTTGATCCGTCTTTGCAAGGGATTTTAAACAACAATAATAGTTCGATTTTGTGTCATGTTGTTCCATATAAACTGTTTTTTGCAATTTCACAATTACGCCAACCAATTACGGATATCAGCCCAAAGAATAGCTAGGATATTACCTCTCATGGAATATATATCAATATTTCAGTTGGATCTAGGTCCATTGCAACAAAATGCGCTCTGAAGAGTATTTATCAACACATTCAAAACTGCATTCACCAACACATCAAAATCAGTTGTAATTAAACCACTAATCTTTAACTCATAGTTGATATGCATAAATCTATAAACCTACTAATTCATTTGTGAGTATATTTTACGTATACGTCAGTACTTTTTGTATATGAACATTCAAATCAAAGCAGCAATTCGGATTCTCGTTAAAAGCCAATACGTTACTAATCTTGGTGTAAACTGGATGCATTATATACCTATTGATCATACGTTATGACATTATACAAAATTTTGTATTTAAAATGAAGATTATACAAAAATTTATCAAATAATAGATTTCACACCTATCATCATTTTCAAATTGAATTTACGAAAATTCTAAACTCCTGTATTTACCCTTTTTACCATAATTATGCCCAGGAATTATTGTTGAACTTATCCTGGAACTTATTTGCTCGAGGAAAAGACATATTCTCGGTATTGATATGATGAAGACCTTTCCATCATACGTACGTAAGTCTTTCAGTGGGGGATCTGGAACGAATTCCTAAAATGATAAATAATCCTGTATATACTACTAACACCCTTCCCTATGGAAAAGTACAACAGCTTCTTCCTATCTTTCTTTGTTTATACTAGCTTCATCATAGAATTGTAATGTTACCCGATGAAAACACTAGGCTCTTAGAAAGAAGCTCTAGTTTACAAAAACCTTCTTCAAGGGGTGACTCGCCAGGACCAGGTAACTCTAACAGACTTAAACGGCCACCATTAATTGCAATCCCCACATCACAATCTATCCGAAGCTTAAGAAGCATTAATAATGTTAATGATCCTTTGGTTAACTCATACATTTCAAATAAAAATAAGAATTCGTATTCCGGAGGTGGAAATGGTGCTTCAGATGAACTTGATGAATCAATTTTCAAATCCAGGTTTTGGAGCAAATTGAATCGGGTCGAAGGTGACGATTCGTTTGATCTTTACTCATATCTTTCATACTATTGTCCAATTTTGAAGTGGTTGCCTAATTACGATGTTAGGAACAATTTTTTGGGTGATTTTTTGGCTGGGTTATCCCTAGCGAGTTTTCAAATCCCGTTGGTTATGTCGTTTAGCTTGTCTCTTGCTCGGCTTTCGCCTGTGTCGGGTCTATATGGAATTATTATTGGGGCATGCTTTTATTCCATATTGGGATGCGTTCCTGTTTTAATTGTGGGACCCCTGCCGTCTACTGCTTTGATATATGGAGATGCTATTGAAGCAATAAGGCAGCTTCCTAATTTTGCAGAGATCTCCAAATTGCAAATATCGTCAGCAATCTCCGCAGCCATGAGTGGTATATTACTCGGTGCTGGTATATTTCGTATGGGTTTTTTGGATAATGTTTTATCAAGAGCTTTATTGAAAGGTTTTATTGCGGCTATGGGTTTCATCATGATCATTAACGAGCTAGCAACCGAGATGGGCATTGACGATTTAATATTAGACAACCCATATCTGACGACTTTGGACAAGTTATTATTTGTTTGTAAATTTGCTCGTCAATCCCATATGTTTACTTTGCTTGTATCATGCATCACCTTGGTCCTAGTTCTAAGCATTAGAAATTTCAAAAACACGCTAGTAAATAAGTATCATATTAGGCAAGCAGTTTTTATTCCTGAATTATTCTTGATGGTCCTGGTTGCTACCTATCTCTGTTGGAGGTTTCTGTGGCACTCAGAATATGGAGTGGATGTAATCGGTAATATTCTGGCGCCCGCTTCTGATTCAAAATCCACGGTACAATTCTTAAACCCTTTTAAGTTGTCATTAATTCCATTATATAAGAAGGTATTTTCAACTTCGTTTTTATGTACCATATTGGGTTATTTTGATTCTACTATTGCTACAAAGGCACTCGGTACAAAATACAACTACAATGTTTCATCGAATAGAGAGTTGGTTGCATTAGGAGTTACTAATTTTGTGGTAAGCTTGGTAGGAGGAATTCCAGCATTTGGGGCCCTTGGTAGATCCAAGATTAATATTTTATCAGGTGCTACCACTCAAATGGCCAGCATAATGATGTCCGTAGTAGTCATTTTGGTGATCATGTATCTATTGCCTTTACTTTATAGCTTACCTAAATGTGTTTTAGCATTGAGTACCACTATCATTGGGATTACTGTGTTAGAAGAAGTGCCATCTGATTTGAAGTTCTTCTGGGATATCGGCGGATATGACGAGATAATAACTTTTCTATTTATATTCAGCACAACTATTTTATGGAATGCTGAAGCTGGTGTTTTGTCTGGTGTCGCATTTGCAATAATCAGAGTTATTAAGCATAGTACTAGATCCCGAATTCAGATCTTGGGTAGAGTACCAAACACCACCGTTTTCCGTAATGCCGACGAATTAATAGAAGAAAGCTTTGTAACATATGCCAATGAGAATGACTCAATCAGCGATGAGGAAACCAGCAGCGCAACAGACGACCCTGACGACAAATTGATGAACTTGATAGCCGAAATCGAAGAAATCGAAGGAGTTCTTGTTATCAAGATTCCTGAACCACTCAATTTCGCAAACGTGGGAGACTTGAAAAACAGACTAAGTAGAATAGAAAAATATGGATCACTCTTGATCCACCCATCTCAGCCTACCAGACGAGACTTCAACAATACAACCATAAAATTCATAATCTTTGATTGCAAAGGTATGAATGCCATCGATTCCTCCGCGACCCAAGTCCTATACGAAACTATCAAAAAATACATTGACATTAACGAGATCTTCGTGTGCTTTTCTAGGGTGGCAATGAACAATGACATTCGTCATAAATTCAGAAAGCTGGGGATAATCGATCTTGTTAATAATAGTTATAAGACCTATGCTAATGCGAATAATGTATCCAGCAAACCAGCTGCTACTGAAAGCGGAAGCTCTACTAATTTATATTCCTACGGAACCTCTTCTGGCATGGAAGATGGATTTTTCCTTAGTATAGAAGAGGCCATTAAAGCATTCGGCCTACAAAATGTTTAGTTATGTAATATTACATATTCTCATATCACCAGTCACGAGCGATCTAATTGTAAACTCTGCGACAGAATTAGTTGAGAGAATGACAAGATCTTGGTCAAACTTGCTCTATAGAGAACATTATTAGAGTTTTTGTATTTATTCTTATCGTAAGCAACTCGTGAACGTTTCATTATTCATTTTATGAAGTTTCATATTCTTAGCTAAATGTTCAGGGTACAAGGAATTAATGTGGTCACTTTTTCAAGGGCCTTAAGTTCGAATAGTTCGAAGAATATCAAGTCTTATGCATTTTATGACTTAGTATGTCGTACTCCGACACATCCAAGAGAGCCTATAGAAGCATTGCTTATGACAAACCGAGATTTGCAAAAGTTGAAGAAAAACACCAGGACAACGTTTGAAGGTAACTACGCAATCGACGATTCGATATCGCCGGAAGAAAGAATAGCCAAAGTTTTTGGAGGAAGAATAAAAGGAGAAGCACCTCAGTCTTCTAGTAGGGTCCGTGTTGGAGAGCCTAAGGTGATTGCGGGCATCACAGTGCCTGACAAGCCAACTGAGCCAGATAATTGTTGCATGAGTGGGTGCATTAATTGCGTGTGGGAGTTGTTCAATGATGATTTAAAGCATTGGAATGATAAGCGTAAGGAGGCTTCCCTAAAGTTGAAAGAAAAAGGAGGAAGATGGCCTGAAAATTTCCATGCTCCAGTGAAATATTTGGATCGTGAAAATTTGCCCAAATCCTTGGCTAATGCTGATATTTCAGAAGAGAACAAGAAACCAGACCTGGATGTTTGGGGAGATGTACCTATAAGTATCAAGGTTTTTGTAGAGACGGAGAAGAAAATGAAAGCTAAAAAGAAAAGAAGAGCTGCAGCTAGTTCACATGCTCAAGCATCTTAATATTTTAGACATATCTATTGCATTTATATAACTGTAGCTAATCTTATAGTATCACTAATATCATTATTCATTTATTTGTACTTATACGCATAAGAAATAGCATATGGAAATAGCATATAGCCTTGCGGCATATTTATGGTTATTTATTGATCTAAATCAATTCCTTTCTGCTTGTAAAATGACTTAGCTTCGTCAATTTGTTTTAATAATTCTTCATATTTGTCTTCCTTATCTTTGAATGTCAACACACCCCAGCCTAAAGTACCCAATGAATAGGCACCAAACGTAACTAATACCCACCATGGCAAGAGAGGTAAAATTTCATCATGAACTTTTTCACTAGTTGGAATCACTCCCGAATATAATGCAAAGTAAACTGCCGATAACGCGAAGAAAGCTAATAATGTTTCAGTAATCTTAGTCATTTCTGTTATTTCAATTAGGTTTAAATATGTAACTCAAGTATACGATACCTTGTTACGTGTTTTGCTTTGAAGTGCTAACAACAATTTAATTGGTCCTGCATATATGCAATACTACTTTCTTCTATCATTAAATTATAATATTACCTATTTACTCTTTCAGAAGTGAATCTTGTTTGATAAAGCCAAGCAAACCTTCTAGTTTATTCGCCGATGAGTCGTCAATTGTATTTAACCTCGATAATACATTTTCTTCTGTTACAGAAGGATCTAAGGCAGATTCCATGTCGTCATTTTCTTCGTCTTCTTCTTCTTCTTCGACATCTTCGTCTCCTTGAGGCTTTATCTCGTCTTCCTCCAGAACGTCAACTTCCATAGCATCTTCATTTTCAGTGAAATCAGTATTTATGATTTTTTCAACCTTAGCTGACTCTATCGGCTCTTCCTTTACTATTTTGCTTAATTTATACCGAATTATTCTTCGAATGGTCTCCATGGTTTGTTTATTGATCCATCCGTCCTGGAAATCGGAAACATCTCTATAGAAGCCATCACCCAATTTTTCTTGAGCTGATTGAATTAAAGATATAATGTCCGTATCCAAAATGTCCCCAACCTGGTACGTGACTGTGCGTGGGAGCTTCAGACCAGTAAACAACAAGTAATCTGATACTGCAAGTGCCCCATTTTCATTCCTGTCCTCTATGGAGTTTGGTATTATTCTTTGCGGATTCGATGAAGATGCGACATTAAAATGCAAGCCCGGTATTCTGAAGTATTCACTTTGGTGCTTCCAAAAAGATCGGTTCTCCTTCGGATTTACTCCGAACTTCACATTACAAAACCTCCATGGACCACTTTTGTAGATATACGATACGTATGGTAATGCCTGTTTGATAACTCGTCTCATTTCTTGGGGTACAATATCTTCCAATTGTTTACGGAGCCAGATAGGTTTAATATCAAAAATCGATTTCAACCACTTAATGCACTCCAAAAGATTATAGTCTAAGCTGTTTACAGCCAAATTTGTGTTTAATAATGTCTCATAATTCTTGAGCAACTCCGGTGCAGCTTGATTAGGTATGTTTTCAGTGTAAAAATCAATAATAATAGTGTACAATTTTTGAGTATTTTTCTTCGATACAACTCGTACCTCACCACTATTTGCATCTTTAACTATGGTAGTTAATGGATTTTTCTGATATTTATAGTCAAATGGAAATCGAATTGGGCTAAATACAGGAGGTGGGGGCAATTGGTGATCATTATTAAGATACTTTTCAGGTAATTTGTAGTCCAGTATTCCCGAAAATTGTTCATGCTTATCAAAGTATTTCTTCAAGCCCTGGTAGCTTTGTACATTCAATACTGACTCGTTAAATTCCTGAACCAACGCATTATTTTTCGTAGAAACTTGAAAATCTGCCATTGCCTTGAACAGAAACGTCTTATTAATGATAGCAACAGGTTGAACTTTATGTGATGCATTATTCTTAGCCTCGTTAATCTCTAATAACTGTTTTACTGTGTAGTTCGAAGGATTCTTGTAGTAATCTTTGGGTATGCTTTTCTTAGGTATGGAAACCTTCAACAACACCTTTTCATTTGTATTCATCAGCGATTGAATTGGGTGATGGAATGGATCATTTCTCAACCGAAGTTCAAGTACATTATCGTTGGTACTATGACCAGACGTGTTGATGGGCTTATCCAATGCGTTCACCACTCGGTAAATCTTCTCTTTCCCACCGATCATTTCAATGGCCTTGTCCTCATTTTTAACTATCAAGGGTAATTCGACTGCCGCAACATGGGGAATATCCATAGAATGCTTCTCAGCAAGACGCTTATCCGTCATTTTGTACTTTTATAAATAACGAAATTAGGATGATGAATTGTAAACAAATAGATAAACTAGTCAGATGCGTATAGC